GATTTAAATCCTGAAAAGTTTAAGGTCGTATAAGCTGTTTTATGATGACAGGTGAAGATAAATTTAGCCGGAGTGAAAAATTCACTGCGCAGACGACGTAATGCATAATTATGTTCTATGAGGTAAACTGATGATGAGGGTTTTTCGTTTTCTTGACTTTGTCCGTCGCCGGGCATTGTCAAACGACACGAGTGAACTTCCGCATATGTCTATATATGCTTATCCAAGCAGATCATCTAACGCTAAATAAAGGTTAGATAACTCTTTACTGGTTCGTCATAAGTGAATGTGTTTTTCCAAACCTTTACGTGTATAGGCCAGGCTTGTTATGGTCTAGTACTAGACCATTTACCCTGTGGTAGATGCTGGAATAGGCTTTATGTGGATTTTTGTTTATCTATAAAAATCTGGTATGTGACCACAGGAACCCATGGGCTAAATAAACCGTGATGATTACTTTCTACATGAAAATACATATACCTCACTACTAAATATGCTCAAATTGCGAACATTAAAAATTCATTTTCGGTAGGAAATCTGAACATTTTCATACATTTTCAGTTCCAATCAGGCATTTTATAAAAAAAAAACTTAATACTTACCAATTGCATTTGACTGTGAATATGAAATTTCATAAATCATAAAACTTTATTCCAATAACTGGTAGAAGTAATAATTGACACCATTTCCCGGTATATATAAATTGTTTCATTACAAGAAATATTAAGAATCACTAGACCTATTGTAAAACCACTTTCATTGAAAGATAAACTAAATGTTAATATTCTATTTTGTAACTCACCACTTAAAGCGATATCTATACTGAAGTGGTTACGATCAGTCGGGGATTGCACGGTCACACTTGATTCAACGCATACGAAGTTTACTTCACTCGACATCAAAGTATATTCTGATTCAGACTCTGTAAACAAGTCATCCCCAAATAAAAGGTCAATATATGTGTACAATGTAAGTCAGACCGTGCGAAACAACTAACAGCACCCCGAAAATCCCCCCTGAAACGTAACCCGATACATGGCACTTTTTTCTTACAAAAACTTCAATTTGGTAAAATAATTATGATAAAAAAATTGTTTTAGTAAATCCATAGACAGCTTTTCTTTATCGCCAAGAATTTCATCATGCAAGTCTGTGTACAGTTTACATAAGAAAAAATAAAGCATTGTTATTTGAATACCAGGGGTAACTTTTGAAACTGGAAACTCAACGGAAAGATAGGGGTGAAACATCGTCTACAGTATTTCGGTAAAATGAGAAACAGATGTACCCACGGGAATATCGAAATCTTTCTTTTCATTCCCCCTTTGTTCAAGCAGTTTGGCATACTTTGAAATTTTCGTTTAAAGGACCAGTAATGACTGGTCCAGTAGTTTTCTATAGAAACATTCCAGGACTGGATTATGTTGGTGATATATCTACTATGGTACAGGTACTGATAAAGTCATCATTGTTATATTACTTATACGTGAAATTAGAATCACGAAAAATAACAAACATTTCTTGTAAAATAAAAAGCTCACTGATTCTTTCTTAGTTCTACCCTAATAATGTTTAGTTTTTATATCATCAACGAAAACCCACGAGACCTTGCTCTCTCTTTTTAGTCCACTACAGGGCTGGCTGAAACTCATGTGTTTCCAACGATGTTATGAGATATGATAAACAGTGATATCTGATAGACAGTGACTCGCACAATAACCCGTAAACATGACTAAAAATATCTGCGGAACAAAATTTAAAATTAATGAAACAATCAAACGACTTTGCATTTTTTCATTCAAGAATTCATGGATTTTTGTAGCCAAATACTAACAAGTGCAATTTCGATTAAAATAAGAAATTACAGATACACATATAGTAAACATGTGGTGAGTAGCCACATTAATTAGAAATCGCGAAAATTTGACAAATTACTGATGGAAACACGAAATCCAGACACGTCAAATTTACAACCGCCATATCTCTTCAGCATTATCAATTTCGCGGAAACCAAGATTTTCTCAATTTTACGGTTACTCAAAAGATGCTTAAAACATAAACCTGTGAATTGTACAATTTATCATGTTGAGGTATTTTAAAAACACACGCAAATTTAAGTTACACAATATCGATAAACAGGTTTTTTTTCCATTCTGCACCAGAGAAAGTACAATATAAGGATACAATTAGCGAAATTATCATACCGGGTTTCCAAATTGTTACATGTGTGCTACGGTTATTTTCCACATATTGAAAACACGATTTAGAGTAAGTCGTGTGACCTTGTGGTATAATACATAATTACGTGACGTGAATCGTGACCATGAACCCGATATGTGGATATATTCGGTTACATACGAACTTTTCAATTCGTAAGTCCTTTATTGTGTTTTGTTTGATATCGCGGCCTGCGCCATGTCACTGGGTATATTAAAAATTTATCATATTGACAACCGTCAATGACATGCATAAGTCGATTTCTCAGTGAGTTTTTTTTTTCTTTTCTCTTTTTCGTCGGCCATGACCAAGTCAAAAATAAAACAACGAATACAGGGATAGACAGTCAGAGCCCCGCGGACTAATGAATTGTTTGTGATAGAAATACTTGTACAAAAGTGTAAACAGTTAGAACTCTAAATAGTTGGAATGGAATACATACATTAATAAACATCTAAGTCATCTACAATATTACGACTGTTATGACATTGTGCTGAAATGAAACTACACCCAGCGGAGCTTTCCATATATTTTAAGCCAATTTTCATGTCAAAACATAATTTTATCTCTAGCGCAGTGTGTTAGTATGTCAAGGGAAACAGGAAGGTGGCGTGTTCCGTCTATACTTGGAGCTTATGTAATAATGACCTACCTAGAGATTAAAGGAAATCTACTTTGCTTTTATTTATCATATGAACTACTGAGTCATATTTGTGCAATCGATTACTAAAAAAACGTATCAACATTGAACTTATCAGCGGTTGTCATTATCGATTCGGGGGTCCGACAACGCTGTATAAATATCCTCAGTTATATTTGTAATTAATATATTGTTTTATTTTACAAAGACCTATTAATGTATCGATCGTCGTATTGTTTAAAATCAATTACACAACATTGCGGTGTTGTCAAAATATATCTTACAGTTTTGTCGAGTCATTGGTGAGGTTAGCTATGTCACAGGTTGCTCATGTGTACCAGGAAGAGTTCGAGAATCCGACCTCTGCTTGACAGTACAGTAATCATTATTTCGTTATACTTATCCACGTAAACATTTACGAGAAAAAAAAACTCAAAACTTTTCCTGTTACTGGTAATGTAAAAATTTCCGACTTATCATATATTACGTCATTTTTTTTCTATGAAAGAATGTAACTTTTAGTAACTTAAATTAGTAAAAGAGCATCGTGTTGCAAGACAGGAATTTGCATAAAATCGCGTAAAAATAAATCTTAGCATCAAAATTAAATTTGCGTCTTATTTCAAAAAAGATTTAACTTAAATATTAATAGAATAAGGGTTATGTCAGTATATGAATATTAGAAGTATACCTTTGAAAAATTGTGGAGGGAATGCATTATGATATGCCATTAAGTGGGGTAAAAACGAAACTTTCATGCAGTTGAAACTCTTTTAGCCTCATATTTACGTTTTATTTGATGGAATTATCAGTTTAGGATTTTAATGTTAGAATATTGTTTCTTATGATTATCTGATGGTTATTAGAAATAATACAAGGCTGAAGTAGTACGGAAGGCTGAAGTAGTACGGAAAACAGTTTCATTTCATTACAAAAACAGTAACATTATATATTCGGATACGTTTAGTTTCGATTCTATCTTTGAAAATACGTGTTTCTAAAAAAACTTTTTATGTGTTGTTACTAATTATACGAAAATACCTGTATTTTGAAGAAAAGAATAAATCATTAATATGTTCTCAATCGAAAAGTGAACTTTGATACTTTCTGCTTTCTAGTTATGTAAACAATTCATGATTTTTCATTATTACTTACTATTTATTTGACATTACATAAATTTTTGTAGAATTATATCTTAATATCAATATAACATGCATATATATGAAATATGTGTTGCGGGTTGAATTGTCTTATACAAGAGCATTTGTTCTTCCCTAAAACATGGGCAACGACACTCTCGTATTGTCGTCAGATTTTATTCTCCACTTTTCATAACTTCATTTAATATGTCCGCATTTATGCATATAGTTTCGTTTCTTTAGTTTTCACAGTGCATTTTAATATCGTCCTAATTTACATTTTCATAAAAATTACATCTAGACCATTTAAATTTTTATAATTATTTAACGTGCATACTTTTCAAAAACAACATATCCCTCGAATTATCACACTCATTTTAATTATGTTACTAAGAGTTCACAAAAACACTTTCATAGCAAGTTAAAGCAATTGTCATTTCTTCATCATCCTTACAAAAACGTCATTATCGATTGTGTTTACACAGTTGGTGATATTACGGAAGTTGACGAAAAAGTCACGCGATAAATCACATCGGCGGTGTGAATGTCATTACTATTAATATATTGAAATATCCAGCTGTTTCTAATCATCTCACCGATAGAAACAAATTGTCACGTGATAAAACATACGTGTACTTTTAATACAAGGGTTGATACGACGAGCATGGTTTATCGGTAGGCAGTAAATCACACCACGCCCATGTCGACAAATATGTTTTCCGATTACACGGGGCTTCTACTTTCAGTTTCACTTTAAAATTTCTTAAGAATAATAAAAAATCAGGAATGTAAAATATGATACTCTTTATGAGTAAAGATGTTCAAGAGAAGTTCTAAATTATAGCATGTACTTACCGCCCAGGTGATTTGCTGGTATAGGTACATGTAAATATCAAATACATACTTGCTCTACACTTCATTAATACACAGTTTGATATCAAAAGTCGGAATGCAGTCAAATAAATAAATAAATAAATAAAAGCGTAAAAATCATTTCACTATTTTGTATCTTTTTAATTGTATCATTTTTGTGTTCTATATAAAAACAACATCACAATAGAGATATTCTACAATAGCAAATGTTATGTCATTCACTACATCAACGCTTTCACAGATCATGTTAACAATTTTGCCAATGAGTACATCACCTATCTTTATCTTTGAATACCTTATCATTAAAAACAAAGTAATCGTAAATTGAAGAGCAGCCAACATGATTCCGATTGAAAATTAGATTCATCCTTAACAATTGTTTCTTGTTTTCAACCAGACAGCGACAAAATAAGGTATGTTTCGAAGCCAATCTTTTTTAATAAAATAGAACCAACTTTTTTTTGCTGCACTAATATTCTAATTTTTAAATTTTATCTTCACAAAAGGACATCGTTAAAACATCCATGGCACAACAGGGGTATAAGTCTCACCTGTCAATATATATATTATGTAATTGTATTGATAGATGGGGCTAATATTTCAGTATTCACCCTCCCACATGTGTCAAGGAAGGCATCTCCCAGTCAATATCCCACTCTTGGTCGTGGGCTTTTTGGTAAAGGAAAGTGTGGTATTCTGAACTGAAAATGTCCCAACATTGGCTGTAATTTGAACATATTCTTGTGTAAATTACAATCAAATTTCTCTTTTACCAAATTATATTTATCAGTTTTTCCATTGAAGAGTAAAACAATATTCCTGAATACTAACAATTACACATGAAACTGACATCACAACATGAAAAATTTAATTATCTGGGTTGTCTATATTGGTACGTCATGACTTTTTACCGTCATTTCATTTTTGAAACCTAAAATACAAAAATGTGCCTTTTCTGGTGATGAGAATGAAGACCAATGCTTTAAAATAAGACAGTCTAACACCCACTCAGGAAATGTTTAAAATGTAACATCTATCATTGATTATAAGCTGCCATTAGTTTCAGAACATTGCATGAATAAAGTTAAAACACAAAATATGATAAAAGCTCAGCATTTTCAAAATTAATTTGTCTCTGTCAAAATTGCTGCTGTTGGTATTATTTTTTTTCTTATTTTTGTAATTTTACAAAAAAAATTGTAAGATTTAATGAAAGGTCATTCATAGGTAGTAAATATTGAAATTCTTTGGCCTCAAATTATCACCATTTAATACTGATCCCTTGAACATGTTACAGATTCTCAGATAACATAATTTGTAACTATCAGTACCCATATAACATTATAAAAAATACCATTTACTTCAACAAAACAATTGTGACATCACACTATTTTGTCTTACACTGACCTTAAACTCTGGACTCCTGAATGAATAGTCCAAATGACACAATATATTTACAGTCAATCACAATGACATTTAAATATTTCATTAATGTTAAATATATCCCTCTTTGAGACTGTCCATTCCCAAAAGACCTAACATTTGTTCCCACCTCCAAAAATATACTGAAAAAAATCTTTCTGATTTCATCCAGATTTGCAATTCTTTGATAAGGTATGTCTATCTGCACTACCAATTTGAATCAATTGAGGAGTTGATGAAAATTTTCAATGAGCATCTGATAAACCTTCACTTGAAAACATCACACCACATCATGGAACCAACACAGAAACTAGGTACATAATTGCAATCTTATTATCACACTTTCCTGCTGAAAGTGTTGCGCTAAATATAGATGCCCTAATATCAGTTTCTATCTGCTATTTATAAAGTCAGTATCATGGATATGCAAATTTATCATTCTGCAAATCTGTCATGAAGTGATAATGCACTAAAATATGAATGCACCAAATGAAGTATGTTTACAATAACTAATCATGGGAAAATTTCATGTTAATGTTTTCATCTGATCATTGCCTCTTTAAAACACCTTACTATTACTGTTACTATTACTGTTAGATGACCGATATTTAATTATGTTCTCCTCCGAGAAGCATGAAATTTTCCAGTGTTAAACTTTCATTCTGGTGATGAATTTTTAAAGCCTTGAATTTTAGAAAATGAGTTAATAGCAAAATAGCAATATGTTGCTGCACCTTGTCCAATACAGATGTCAGAATATGTGTTACAAGAAATAATTCATTTTCACTTAAGATTTTGAAATTTTTTCCTGAATAACAGACTAATGTTTTTTTTTCCGTCTTTCGTTGAAAGATAATAACGTATTACTTAATTAAATACCAGATTTTCATTTGATACAACAAGCTTAAACTGCATAGCAACCAAAAAATAACATTTTTGAAAAAATGAAAATTTTTACACTTACCATCTTCCAGTAGAGTATTTTAGAACTTAACTTCATTTTGTCCAAATTTCGGTCAACATCAGGAGAACATCCTTAATGATAAGTCTATAATTTTTGTATGATAATTCATGTGAAATGACACAGAGAGCCTATTTATCAACAAAACCAGTTTGACAGAGATAGTGGACTAGACACATAAAACCATGAAACTAGTTCAACCTGTCAGTAAAACCTAAATGATCCAGTAAAATATCCAAATATTATAACTACAGAACATGCTTCCACATAAAAATCAGTTAGTCTACAAAATCTGAGCTTTATCAGACTGAAACACCTGTTGTAGAGGAGGATCATTTTCTCCATCTAGTGAGTGACTTTTCTGAAGCAATGGATTATGGATTTGTATTCTCTACTGTATAAAGTTAAATTCCTTTGATACTAATTTCCTTAATTTTTTTCTCCTTTTATATCATTTGTCACTTCCAAGGGGATGACATAGAAATCATAAACAATAGGGATACATCTTGAAATATTTTAGAAGTTATTCTCTCATTAAATCACTCTTTCTATTTGATTGGTGATGATGACAGCTATCTATAGAGTCCGTGAAAAAGACTGGTATGGTATAGACCGAAATGTGTATGATTATCATCTGTATAATATATACCAATGTCTGTGATGGGGATGAGGAGTGTTTCATGGGTAAGGCTAGAAATATAGACATCACTAGATTGGTCAGGACTTCTTTTTCCGTAGGCTAACTTTAGTGCGTATTCTGTCAATAAGTCCACGCATTTTTTCAAAAGTACCAGTAGCTTCTGGGAGATTTTCATAAGGAATATGATCCATAATTCCTTCGCCGAATTTTTCTGCATCAGGCAGATCATTTGCCACACCCTGTCTCTTTTGTATGGGTGTACCGTAATCCCTAGATATGGATCCAGTGGCGGATTTAAAGGCAAAGTTAAGGTCAGATAAGCTACTACTAGGTCCAACCACTGGTGTACCTGGTAGTGAAGAAGTAGGGCTTCCTCTACCCAGTTCCCCAAATGAGGTTATTGAACCAGTGGAGCTCATTCCTGACATCTGGCTTTGTAACAGTTCCTGAGTGCTGGACCCAGACTCTACTGAGCTAACCTTTGAGAGTTGTTCTTTAGAAATGTTGGATTCCTCCACTACCTCATCATCTGGTCCACAGCTGTCCATCACCTGTAGCTTCCCTTCCTTATCACCATCAGCTTCACACAACTTCTCTTGCAGCAATTGATACTGTTGCTCCAGGTCCTCCAATGAAGGTGACTTCTCCCGTCCCTCAGACATCTGTCTTTCAGCTCCTTCTGGAGTTGGAGGCGGGGTTTCCTTGGGGATAGGGGGTTTGCCTGGTGGGGTATTGAGTGGCAGAGGTGGTTCACCAGGAACAGGCAATCTCTTCCGTTTTTTCGGGTCAGGTGTAACAAAGCAATCATTGTCAATCGACATGTTCTGAGCTGAAAAGGAAACAAGATAATTAGTCTTTGCTATCTGTTCAAAGAAGAATACAATTCTGAAATGATTCAGTGGAAATAACACATGTTAAAAAGTGTAGGGACAAGAATTTCTGAGTAGTGAAGAATGTGGAACAAATCTCCTTTACAGAAGACAATGTGATTCAAATACAAGACTTAAATCTGGACAGTTTAGTGACCATTTAATTATGCATGTCAATTAAACTGGATCAGAGCACGGGGAGGAAGCTAGGTTTGAAAGATGTTGAGAATGGGTTAACTTGTGGATGGGTTAACTTGTGGATGAGGTTGAGAACTGAGATCATGGGTGATGAAGATAGTGAAAGAATCTCCCTCTTATTCCATGTCTTTATATCAACAACAACAACATGTAATTTGCATTAACACTGATTAATTCTCACAGTATGCTGATCATTACAGCCACAACATACTGAGTGTACCTTAATATATATTAAATTACAAAATGAAGTAGGTGGATTGCAATCTTATAATTATTATGTTGTTTATTTTGTCTTCATGTTAACTAATTTTGTCTGAGGTGATTGATCAATGATTATAATTAGGATGTTTTTTATTTTGTCTGAGGTGATTGGTCTATGTATACAACATGTATAATATATTTTACCATCATCATTATCTGAAAGGTCCATCTCCTCCAAGCTAGCTTTCTCCCTTTTTCTCCTCTTCTTTCGAACTTCTTCTGCCTCTTCCATCTTCCTCTTCTGTTCACATACAACAGACACATTTCATATCTCTCCTATAGTTAAATGTTAATTTTTCTTCATCTTTTTGAGACTTTGTCTCCGTGGCTTTTACTCCAAAAATATTACTGATTCAACAAACTGATTAAATTTTTATTATTATTTCAATATATATATCAAAGACCTGTTAGGTAATCCCTTGATGAATATGATTATATAAAGATGATAATTACAAACTGGTAAATAGTTAACAATTTCTGGTACTTACAAGTAGTAATTGCTCTAGATTAAGATATGACTCAACATCAAATGAATAATTTAACAAAATGTATTTTACAATTCCAGGTACTTACAAACTTTGTATGTATATACTTCTGATGACTTGAAAAACGGTTTATTATAAGACATGAATCCAATTCCATGCAAATAAATAGCATTGTTTGATAAAATTGCAGAAGTTGTCAAATGTGATATTTGTCCCTTAACTTTGACTGATAACCTAATATAAGATGTAGAACTAGGAACCAGATATGCTGAGAGGTTAGCGAGACATGGCGTAGATTTTAAATAGGATGGAATACAGCACAAGATACATAGTGCATGGAAACACTATATCCCTTCTCTTTGTTTCCTCAATAAAAAGGTTAGGTAAACAGTTTGATCCCTGGATAGACAGGTATACATACCATGCCAGACAGTTGTGCAGTTAGAGTACTCTTCAGCTGGTGTTCCTGCAAGGGTGGTGCTCCCAGCTCCTCATATTCCTTCAAGACAAATCATCAACATTTTGCTTTATGATGTCATATCAAAATATCAACTGATCAGAAGATTTTACATTCTTTATCATGACTTCTGATCTTAACTCATGGACTATGACTTTAAGTCATGCAGAGAATCAAATTTAAGTAGTTTAAAAGTAACATCCCAGACAAAATACCTCTTCAGACTTCGAGTGTGAAGACAGTTTCACAATGAATTAATTAGCAGACTGTCCACTCTCTGTCTTGATTTATGGTTTTTCGTTTAATTAAATCGCCTATAAATATAAACTTATAAGACTTGATGAAAAATATTTAAAAGTCCCCTTCATTTTATGAGAGAGAATAAAATTTAAGAATGAAATTATTCACTTACATCTATGGTGTCCTGTGGTACAGGTACTGTAAATCCTGGATATGCTATAATCTTTTCTGGGTCTATCTGACCTGTAATATTCACCAAATGATGTCAAATAATAGTACATAAATCTAGGAATAACAAAACAGTGAAATGATTAAAAGACACCGGAGCTTGCGATGTTGAATTTTGATTTCCACCGATCAGTCTCTTCATTTCACGGACATAAATTCTTTAAGAGCAAGAAAACTTTTCATTAAAATTTCAACTTGGAAAGTAACTTGTAAGAAAAAATGTAAAGCTCTTACCACGATTAGGAACTGTGTCACTGACTTCACCATCCTCCATACTCTCCCCATTCACATCCACCTCTGCAGGAATAAAAATACTCATTAAAAATATTGTACCTTTTTTTAAGTTTTCCTTCGTAATTTTCTAATCTGGTTTAACTCTTCAAAATAGATCTATAAATCTACATTCTTGGTACAGTCTTGCTCTGTAGGATGTAACCATATTTCTATGTATTCTGATGTAATCAACCCCTACGAATGTATGAAGACTAACCATTTCCTTCGCCATCGAACAAAATTAGTCCCGAGCTTTGCACTTTGGCCTCTTCCAACCAGCCAGGTGGGTATCCTAAAACTCTCATCTTGTAAATATATGACGGCAAGTAACGAGATGTGATCCCTAGGGCTTTCATCAGCTCCTCACTGGAATGTAGAAAAAAGTAAATATCTTACCAGAAGGGGCATATGTACCTAGTTAATACAAAACCTTTTCAAGTCCAAGAGATGGCATAAACCTTTCAACTGATTTCTTAGTGTTTTCGCCGGCTTCATGATCAAGGGATCAATGAAAGATAATAATATGACTGTTGTAAAACATTCCAAAAGAAATAGAAGCTTTTTGTTTTCTTTCTGATGTCGATCCAGCAGTATAATATAGTAATCAGTTTTTAAATGACATGATGCATCTCTGTAAGACCAACAATAGTACCATTGTTCCTTACAATGAAACACTTTACATGAACATTTGAATGTCAGAATACCACATAAAAATCAGTCTAAATACATGATATTCCTCTTAGACTCAAAATTTTGAGAACCCATTTAATCTTGAAATATTGGAACACAAATTTTGTGTTACATATGTATATATATGTATGACTGTTCCCTACCCCACCACAACATGTGTATGACTGTTCCCTACCCCACCACAACATGTGTATGACTGTTCCCTACCCCACCACAACATGTGTATGACTGTTCCTTACCCCACCACAACATATGTGTGACTGTTCCTTACCCCACCACAACATATGTGTGACTGTTCCTTACCCCACCACAACATATTTGTGACTGTTCCTTACCCCACCACAACATATGTATGACTGTTCCCTACCCCACCACAACATGTGTGTGACTGTTCCTTACCCCACCATAACATATGTGTGACTGTTCCCTATCCCACCAAAACATATGTATGACTGTTCCCTACCCCACCACAACATATGTATGACTGTTCCTTGCCCCACCACAACATATATATGACTGTTCCCTACCCCACCACAACATGTATGACTGTTCCCTACCCCACCACAACATATGTGTGACTGTTCCTTACCCCACCACAACATATGTATGACTGTTCCTTACCCCACCACAACATATGTGTGACTGTTCCCTACCCCACCACAACATGTGTATGACTGTTCCCTACCCCACCACAACATATGTGTGACTGTTCCTTACCCCACCACAACATGTGTGTGACTGTTCCCTACCCCACCACAACATGACTGTTGACTGTTCCTTACCCCACCACAACATATGTGTGACTGTTCCCTATCCCACCAAAACATATGTATGACTGTTCCCTACCCCACCACAACATGTGTATGACTGTTCCTTACCCCACCACAACATATGTGTGACTGTTCCTTACCCCACCACAACATGTGTATGACTGTTCCTTACCCCACCACAACATATGTGTGACTGTTCCTTACCCAACCACAACATGTGTATGACTGTTCCTTACCCACCACAACACATGTGACTGTTCCCTACCCCACCAAAACATATGTGTGACTGTTCCTTACCCCACCACAACATATGTGTGACTGTTCCTTACCCCACCACAACATATGTGTGACTGTTCCCTACCCCACCACAACATATGTGTGACTGTTCCCTACCCAACCACAACATATGTGTGACTGTTCCTTACCCCATCACAACATGTGTGTGACTGTTCCTTACCCCAGAACACACAAAAAGAATACTATCCACAGCATGCAGAACTCTTACATATGTTACACAGACATGTCTGACACAACAAATTACCTTATAACACCAGGTACAAAAGTGTTGCTGTCACATTCAGACTGGAAAGATTTATCCAAGTGATATCTGGTAGACCTACAAAATGAAAACATTTTGAGTTAATTTTTCAATTAGAAAGTTGTATATTTTTACAAAATCTTATATTTAATACTCCTATACATAAGGATATTTTTACTAATGTTTACAAATGCTTTTTTCAGCTTTTCGTTTCCTATGTTAACCTGGAACACATAACTTCTTGATAAAATCCATATTTATTATAATGAGGTTATATTCAAGCTATAGCATCTAAAATTATTATGGATACTTGAACATATAAAGTGTAATCTATCAATCAGTGAGCAAACATTTTGTTACATTGAAAGAAGGAAATCCTCAATCACAGGGAGAACTTGTCACTTTAAATTACCAACTATGGTCTAAGCTCATTGCAAGATTTGTATACCAGTATATAAAGTATGTCCTGCAAATCCCAAGAAAAGGATATTTTCACTAACTGTTCATAGCTTTAGATAAGAAAGTAATCTAACATCTTTTAATTAGTGGATTGTGGTAGTAAGTAGCTTAAAAAACCATTTTTCATAAGTATATATGCATTACGCTGGCTTCTGTGCCGCACTGTCCTGACGAAATTTGTCTCTGTTCTGTCTAATTCGAGTGAAGTCTTTTGGCTCTGGACAATCAGCTATCATGTGTTCACCACAACAATTAAAACAAGTAGGCTTTTGTCTGAAAAGCAAACAGAACATTTTTCTGTCTTCAATTATGTAACTTTTTTTACAATACATTTCAAAAAAAAAAAACATTTCTGTAACTTCAAAAGTCTAAGAAATTGCGGGTCAGTATAATATAAAATTAATCCTACTAAACTAAACTCTTCTAAGTAGTTAGCACTCATTGGAATATACATAGTTTGACATGTGCAATATGCTTTCAAATGAATGCACTGTAGAGTGCTTTACAATTATGTACAAGTGATTCTCAAAATTGTGTATACATATTTGTAAACATGAGTATACACACAGGATATACATTTAACAAATTCTTTTAAAAACTTCCTTTTGAATTGAGAAATCCTCTCACACAACTCCAGTCCCTTTCACTATCTCCCCTGATTTTATGTATTTCAGGTACATCCTACATCAGGTACCTGTACAGTTCTCACCTTGGGGGTTTATCACCACTGTTCATCTCCTCTTCAATTGGGAGTGGGTCTGTATATACCTGTTCATATCTATCTGTATAGGAAACTCAAAATATCAACAGTTGTAAAACATTTTGATAGCCTGTTTTAGTCATGCCAAATCTATAACAGAAATGAGGGTTTGTTACACTCTAAGGTTTATCAATCCCATAAACAGCCAGGTACATTTTGAGGCAGTCTCCTTGTAGCAGCTGGTGGCTACCTTTCTGAATAATATACAGGCAGGAGGCTTAAAGCCACCTAACTGAACAAAATACAGGAGGTCTGTTGTGTGCCATTCAGACAGAACAATTAGGGATTAGTTTATTGTTCAAGTACACAATAAATCAGCAAAGACCAGAGAGTTTCTCTGCTTCTTGAGAAAAACCAACTGCCATAGGAACTGAGCATTGTCCCAAACATCTCATATCTTTCTCTTAGGTATTTAAGCCAGCGCTCTAACCTACTGAGATATTGATTCCCTTCTGAAGGCAATATACTTACTGATACTGAATCAATGTTAACAGTTTCTTTCAACATTACCCAGTGTATAAGATACATATATAAATATTAATTATAAAACCATATTTCAATTATCATCATCTCTTTCACATGAACCATCCTAAAATGTACAACCATAACTTAATTCACCATCAGCAACATATTGTTTGCAAAGCAAACCCTAGAATTACTAACATTTAATCCATTTGGCACCTATCAATACACTGTTTATGGAATAATATTTTTCTGACATGTACTGACTACAATATGTATACCATTTATTATTGCATATCTCTCCCCATCAAACTCAAAGTGTGGAGGAAGTTATGAATTGCAAATTTACATATAAATGGTTCTGAAAGCCTTAACACTAAAAAATTAAGCAGATAACAAAGGATACTTGGGTGCTTCCCAGCTGTCTGTGAGGGATGGATTATCAGAAACCAAAGGCCAGCCCAAGGAGTCAATCACAAAATCTCTGTGGAACTGACTGCTTCCAATGATCTTCATCGTTACAAAAAAAAAAGACAGAACATATTTTAGAAGTTGTCAACACCAATGTTAGAACAATACAGATCACAGTCGAAAAGTTGAAATCTTTATACACTTCACAAGTATTTCTATAGCGATTTAAGATATAAACCTTGAATAATATCTGCTCTTTGTCAAAAATTAAGGATTCAACAATAAAAAGACCACGTTATCAAACATCCTCATTTCCTCGCCAATTGTTTTTACTGGTAAATATGATAAACATAACTGTCATACCGCATGAGAAGTCCACATCTTCATGGTTCGTTGACTAGAAGTCAGCTTGCTGTTCAGGTCTACACAAGTCAGATTTGAGCTCTGAAACAATCATACACAGCATATGTTTATAAATTATTCAAAATTAAGCAAGTACACCAGTAAAATCTAGAGTTCACTTTGATTTGAACTTTTAATATAAAAAAAAATTGTATACAAAAAGGAATATTAAAGAAACTTCAATACACTTCCCATATGCTAGGCATGAAAATTCAAATTTGCACACTTTTCAGTTACTTCAATCATTTTCAAACCAAGAGTTCTGTCAAAATATCATTGATATATGAATACCTTTAATAATTTGAATCTAATACATTTTTTCTTAAAGCTTTATTTAATAAATAGATAATAAATTTCCTTCAAGAAATAACTGTATCTTTATACAAACAGAAACAACCTTGAGTTGTATGTCTGGCAGTCTCTCCTTCTTATTTTGCTCTTCACGTCTGATTAAATGCATTATGTATTGTTCAATTGAGGTACGATACTTCCTGTAAAATTCAAACAGAAATCATAACTCATAGTTCTGTTTTGAAAAGGAAAATTCAAAATATAGTCAATGTAATAATCCACGTTTGCTATTATTTTAAATGTTAAAACTGAAAACATCACTTATCACCAGGCATGGGTCTATCAATGGGGAAAAAAATGCATCATACACAGGCTCAAGAATTACCACGGTACTATCTGGTAAATGTATCTTAAGACTACCCCTTCCCCTCAACAACACAAAAATTAAAAATTACTTCAACTTAAATGCTTGTTAAATATACCCATTTGCACTAATTTATGAAACATGATAATTAAGCTTCCTCCTTCAAATCAGCCTTGTACTGTTCTATTACAAAAAAGAGCAGGATACATAAATGAACAGGCTTTTTCATTCAACACCGAACTGAGGCAGAATTCCTTACCTTGAGAAGTTGTTATTCTGGTATATGATCTGACAAGCTGGACTGTTGGTGTCACTTGTAAACCTGTTACAAAGTCAAAAATGCATACAGAATAACAAATGTCACCAAATATATATTTACTTATAGACTCCAAAAATTCATTGGTTTCAGAATAACCAGCAGTTGATTATATACTAATGACAGAAGAATAGAGAGTCAATCAAGGATATGAAAGCTTAACTTCTCCTTATCATTCACTTTTTGGACACTTATTTTTTATTTTTTATTCAACATCAAGGCAATTGAACGGTTATCAGCCATTGTTGAATGGTTATCATACTATCAGTCTAAACAACTAATTTTCTGTAACAACCAAGTTACAACTGTTGCTAATATCATTTCTCATGTTACAGACTACCTTTTCATTTGATGTCGATAAATGTATTACCATTTTTGCTGGTGATGTTGCAGGACAAAAAAAATATTTCCTTCACATTTCAAAAATAATAATTCCATCTACAGAACTCCATCTAAACACATACTTGTAATTACTGTTAAAGATGGGAGTAGAACTAGAAAATTGCAAAGGTGTAGACAAACTTGGACCTCACTATTCCCCTTCTTCAAAATGGTCAAAGCATAATAACTTTGAGTAAACTTACCGTGTAGAGTCAATAATCCTTGCATATCTCTCAAACTTATTTCCTGATTCTTGTTAAAGAAATATCAACAATAATTGACAAACGTTAATAAATAGTCAATAATGTTTCCACAGATCAGTCAGATCATAAGAAATGATCACAAAAAGACAAAACTGACAACATTCAACAACATATAAAAATATTATGATGCTCTTCATACAAGTTTTATTTCAAAGAATATTGGCAAGTTTTATTTTGATGTTACTCAATTAAATAGCTAAATAAAATTTGATGTTCAACACAGAATAATGTACAGACTTTCAAATTTCAATTTGATTGCTATATATGGTTTTAACAGGAATTTCAGCTATTGTTTTTTTTTTCTACAAAATTTTACAAGACCAATTAATTCAGCTAAAAGAGCAACTACCTGAATACAATCAGAAAGGACTTTCTGTGACATTATCTTACTTCGAGTGATATAATGTTAAAGGGATGATGTAGTCTGAATCATTCTCACATGCTATCAACTTTTCATATCCATCTAGAATCAATGAAGGCCACAACTACAGTCCTATAAAAAGTGAGGGGAAAAGCTGTGGCCAGCACCTGTATCAGCATTTAAATATATGGAACATCAGAATAATGCAAACTTTGAATAAAACATCTATCCTTTTCCCGACCCTTTCATTCACATCTTACGTATCATACTCTCCTTTGTTCCAACCAACAGCACTCTATTTGAAATAACCATCATAGGTTTTAATAGATCATGTGCATATCTCCATACAAAGATTTGCTATAAAAAAATCACACATTTCTGTTCAGTTTTTCTTCAAATCGAAGTGAATGGAGTCCCTGCAATCTACACAACTTATGGCTGGCAGTGGATGCAGTCCCATTATGATTATCTTTCATGGTCACACGAAACAGTTGTTGGTTATCTTACAAATTAAAATACAATCACTGTGATGGCAGTTTCTATTGCTATTAAATAAATGATCTTAATCTTTATGAAAACTAAACTTTGGAGGTGGTTGGGGGTGGGATTTCTTTATGCTCTAAGCTTGTTTTCCTATGGAAAGCCAGTACAAATGCTTTATACCAATTGCATGATGAGAGATGCTGAGTGCAAAATGTCAACTGTTTTCACCAAGAAGAAGTTTTATTGATGATAACGAAACTGGACAGGATACACAGAGTGCCCAAAGTTTGTGGATCTGCACACCTGTTAATAGTTTATTGTCATGTTTAACACCTATCATTGTTAGAATAGGTTGCATATAAGCCTAGAACAGTGACAGAACATTCAGCATCTCAAATTATTATGGCCTATTTCATAAAAAGGAATAGCATTTCACATAAAGACTTTACCATGATGCATTTTCCATATAGCATTTAGCACAATGCATTTGGAATAAAGATCTAATCATATAGTATGTCCTTAACAAAAAATATAATTTTACATAGTCAATATGACAATATAAGCCAACTAAACATTTATTACCCTTAATAAGACGTTAGGATATATTTTCTCTTGACTATAGCACATCATGAGACCTTTTACAAATTGCAATTGGATCAAACATTTTGAATGTAGATTTTCGCATTTGGCTTTTATGCAATTTCATATTTAACATGGAACAGTTTGCATAAAGCATTTACCATACCGTGCTGGCTTCGCATATATTCCTATTCCATGTGTAATATAGGCATGTGTACTATTGTACAGTATATTGATGAAATAATAATTAAACCTAAATTCGAAACAGATAATTGTGCATCTGTCTAGTAATATCTGCAGTTTTAGGATACGTTCATGTAACAGCTTAAAGTCAGTAGTCTTATCTAGGGGTTGACGATTTTTAGTACGTCTCCCCCCATTTACAATATCGCTGTCGTCTAGATCTACTTGAATTGATGCTCCTTCGTGTTCCTCTCCAGCATCATTGTTGTTTTCATTTTCACTTTCGCCGGAATCATCGTCAGATGACGATTCACTGTCCTCAGAATCGCCCATGCGAAAATGTATTTTACTTTTGTCTTCTACGCCTTCTTCATCAACCTTGTACAATATAAAGCTTCCTTTTGACTCGCGTTCTTTTTCGAATTCGTCAAAGAGTGAGGCATCGCCAAACATATCCTCCGCCATCTTCGAGCCGGATGTAGACAAAGGTAACATCGGAGTGACGTTAATAATGAAGACTGGTTGGTGTAAACAACTAAGGAAATTGGAAATATATATCTTATGAGTCCATTATCTCGTATTCGAACTTATTTTAACTTGTTTGCGAAGTTAGTGATTGCAAAAAAATAATTTATTTTTTTAACATTAAGAAAGCGGTCACGCAGTAAATCATGATTTGTTTAAACATGGCGGACATTAGACAACGGATAAATCCTAGTGTCAAGTTATCATCGATATGTCTCGGTGGTAGATCGATAAGGTTTCTCACGCTTCGAGATAAGGCATTCATCAAAGCTCCTAAATCCTTAAGTGAGGTATTTCGCTATAATGTTGCGTTATTACTAGCACTTAACTTGAAATACGGGACGTGTAAATCTTAACTTATCCTATAGGAGGCTTATAGCCATCTAAAAGTAATGCTACTGACATACTTTTTCTATCGTGTAACCTTCTAATATTATTGTTTTCTTGTGGCATACTTTTTTGTAATTTGTCGTTAGGGTACTGATTGAATCACAGTATTTGTTCGCTCGGTTTACTTACAGGCACTTATTTCAGGATAGTCAATAATCCGAGTTAAAATCCACAAATTCACTAAGAGTAAGACGTGATGTAGACAGTTGATTTTACTTGTACTGATGACAATCCAGATACGAGTTCCTATGGTTACTGTCCTATGAATAGTCTGGGTCATTTTGAGGCACTGGGTCTCCATGTAGTAGCTAGTGGCTACTATACTGAATAAGCAACAGAAGACCCGCCATATGCCGTCCAGAGCATTTAAGGTAAAGTGTCTTGCCCAAGGACACAACCTCATCAACATAGACAGATAGTAGCATCAAATAATCATGCACCTCCAGTCTTCACCTGAGGTCGATAGGCCTTCGCTCTAACCACAGGTACTTGTATCAGGAACGTAACTGTAGCATCTAGTCCATCTCTGTAAGATAGAAGTATGTTATTCAGTTCAAATATAGATCCAGCAAGAGGAACTATAAAGAGTCTGAGACTGGTCTCCAACGGGCAAGTTTCCTACCTTTTTGTTTGATGCGTAGTGGACTGGATTTTTGCCTATGATAATTACATTCAAGATACAGGTGCCTGTGCTCTAATTGAACTGAACTATCACAGCCCTAGTATCACAGGAAGCACATATTGTGTTAAACGTATTGCAATTTTACTAAAATATCAGGAATTGGGTGTTTTAAACTGCATGATATCTTAACCCCTACAAATTTCTTTCGAAACATTCATGTGATAAAAAAAACATACTAAAAGTCTTAAACAGTCAGGGTAAACTTAGCAATATAATTCTATATAATAATAGTTTGAAATACATGTTGCTAAAAAAGACTTCTTAAGAAAATACAACTTTAATCAATCACTATAAGATCATGGACATCTGATTTTTCATGAATAGAGTGTCCAATTTCTGAACCTAGGGTCAGAATCCTCACATGAATATTCTGCAATGATTAGATCATGAATCTACAAAATGTAAAAAATGATAACGAAAATGATAATGAAACTGACTGTTGTAGTACCATTTGATAGTGTTGTTTCAATTAATGACTTTTACCTACCAGTTAGTTTTTCTTCGATTGGATATGGTCATGGCTTAATATAAAGTATACTCACAAGAAAAAAAAACAAGATCTTTGACAGACCTGAAAACTGACCAATCAACAATTTTACAAATTCATTTTAAGATAAATCATTCTAAGCATTCCCTGATATTAAAAAAATCTCGCTTTACACTTCTTTACATGTTTTAATGCTTAATTTACCAGGGTATTGATTCTGATGATTCCTGTCAGTTTTTAGGTCACCTCAGACAAAGTCTCATTCTAATACCCTTCATCTGGCATTGTGCGTCCATAACAATTTAACACTTTCAACTTCTTCTCAAAATTCCCTGATCCAATTACAATGAAATTTTGCAGAAACCTTCTCTGGCCTAAGATGAACCAGAATAGTGAATTATACAGTCCCCAACCACCAGGTGCCTGAGGGGCGGGGCCAAAAGGGTTCAAATTGACTCGGGTTTTAAAAAATCTTTTTTCTCAAGACACAGATTTGATAGAATCAAATACTCTTCATGAATGGAAGCATCTTAAGGTGCTTTACCAAAATTATGGATTTCATGGCTCCAGGCCTCACATTTCCCTGTGGGGAGGGGGTAAATTTTACTATAGTTTATAAGTAAAGGTGCTTTAGTTACCAAAATGAGTCTCACATTTTTTCCTGGAGAGGAATGGTTTTTTTTTTTAATATTTTACTGTAATTTTCATAGAAAAATTCTATTGTTGAGCATAACGGTGAAAGTTTTGTCGGCAATTGACACTTGGATAAGTTTCTATAAGATGATGAAAAGTTAATTCAATTTGTATTGCTTTCTTTTTTAATGCGAAAAGTTTTTATCTTCAATATAAAATTGTATCCTTTTAACTTTCAGTCACATGGTATTCCATTGTTTTTGGCTAGTGATGTTTTGTGTGGTTGCTCCCAGTTGTCAAAAAACTTCACCAGGATCCATGCACGATATTCCAAAGATGGGATGGCAACAAAACTGTTATTGAAAGGTAAACGATGCATATCTAATTAAAGGTGGATGTTGCTAGCATAGTTTACTGTTTCAAATAATTTGAAAAACAAATAAATGACTATTAACATCAACAAGATTCATGTGTGTGGAAATATCGTTGCCCAACTGTTAATGATTAAGAACAGATGGATTATGTTATTTTTCTCTGGATGAATAACAAAATAATGAGCATCTAGTATAAAGAAACGATTCAATTTATTAGTACTTAATATCTTAATGCTTAAGAAAGAAAGAGATGAATGTTTTTTATTTGTTGTTGTTTTTATTTGTTTAAATGAAAGAATAAGCTTGACATATTAAATGATGTTTGGTTTCAGTAAGATTTAAAGTTGAAGGCAAAAGGCAGTTGATTTCAGTCAATCATTTTACATTTGTTTCATTTTTAGATTTCCGTGTACTTGGAGTAAGTCATAGTACCACTGTCTGGTTCTACAACATCCGTGGAGTGTTTCAGGTGGTGTTTGAATACCAAGAGAAAAAAGTGCAGAGAGATTGTTTATCAAAGCTTAAGGTGCTAATCTACATACTTACACACATTAAAGTTTAATAATACAGTTACCTTTATTGTGAACATTTGAAAATTATTTAACTATCTTTGTCTTAAGCTAGGTTATTACTGTGCTAACCCAACAACTTTCTCCATTACATGTGCCAATCCAGACATTCGAATTCCACATAAATCATTCATTTACTCCATTCCTATACTAGTAGATAATTAACATAACCTCATTCCTTAACTAATAGATAGTCTGATCACCCTCATTTCTAGTAGATAATCCAGTTACTCTCATTCAAATTAAATGATGCAGTCAGCCTCATTCCAAATAGATAATTACTTGAAGTTAACACTAATTTGACAAATGAAATGAACAGTATTTTGTCTTGATTAAATATAAAATGCAAATTAATGAAATTAGCAAATATTATTACATGAAATCAGTTATCACTTTGATTAATAGGTATTAGTCTAAAGAGAGCAGGTATTAATTAATAAACTTGAATTCAACAGTGAATGTTGTTCATCGAATGATATGTGTATATATAAATATGATAAAGTAATTACATTGTATCAGGTAATCATGGTTTTACCGTTAATTGAGAAGGTTTAAATCAAATCAACAACGCTGGTCGGCTTTAAAGTAAGAAAGCTGTATTTACCCCAATTCACATCCCTTCCTCTTCTCTAATATCTCACTACTCATACTTTACCCATTCTGTACCTCTCTTGTATCATCTGATAAAAAGCTGCAATATCTATTGAATAGAATAAAGTTGAATTTAGTTTTATTGATAGTATCTATATTGAATTAACAGTGCTCTTGTTGTTACTACTAACAGAGTAATTACCTTCCTTTTATATTTTTTAGGACATATGGCTTTGTAGGTATCATGATGATAATCTTCCAGAGAATCTTGGTGTAACCCTGGATTTTTCCAGTCCTGAAAGTGGTCCCACACCAATAGCACAGGAAAACCACAATCCGCATCACTTTGTGCTTAACAATGATAAACCAGATGAAGGACAGGAGTTGTTTCCCCTGAATGAAGAGGAGATTGTTATAGAACTGATTCAACAAAGCCAAACAGATTCCAAAAGTTCTGATTCCAGACATGAAAACACAATGTCAAATAATTCTACTGATTATTTCAATAATCTGAATGGTATTTCACTGCTGGATAATGATGTAAATGGCACACACACATCCAACAAAGGAGAAGAAATTGTCCCAACAGTGGTTAAGCAAGCTCTACTTGCAGCTGACAATGTTCAACCCCGTCAATCATCCCAAATGATTGATGACAATACTAAGGATTTGGGAGAACAAGATCTTAAAATTGAGGATGTCCATCTCTGTCACTCCTGTGGATCATTAAACTGTTCATCATTTCAATCAACACAGACAGATGATGGTGAAACATCTTGTGGATTATGTACTGCATCAAGGTTAGAAAAAAACTTTGTGCATAAGCCTCTCTGCTGCAATAAGGCAACACAGATAGACACAGTGCCCCGCAGTGTTACAAAGGTTTCTGTGGGTGTTCAAACTGACCAGTGTATCTCTCTAATTCATGACTGTCCAGAGATTAATTCCAAAGAGTCAATACAAAGAAATGCATCGCTACAGACTGAAATCACCATGGATACAATGGCTGTTCTTACTCCTAATTGTTTACATGCCTCAGCAGATAGAATAAAATGTCATAATTTCTCACAAACAAGCTCCAATAATAAACACCATGCAAAACAAAGTGCAAAAACAGTAGTGATAAATGAATGCATCAGTGTTCTGAAGACATTAATCAAATATCTTGCTCAAATGCAGTCTGTCCTTCAAAATCTTGAACTCTCACCAGTTCTGAAAAGGTTTCATACCATACTTCAGTTATTGATACGAGACATCTGTCTTGAAGAACATTTAGGCTTTCCATTCCAGTTGATACAAGAATATCTTGACATGTTGGTCACAGAGGGAAATACTGATACTGTTGATGACGAGTGGGGAAATTCCTCACAGAGAAACTTGTTTTTACATATTGTCTGCCATTGGCTTGGACAGGAATTCCACAAATTTGAGCCTTTAATTTCTCAAAGAGTTGAGGACTTTAAGCAAAAGCATATTAATTGTATAGACAATCTGCCTCCAGCTGAGAGGATCGTGGATCTGGTGTTCCCAAGTTTTATGAAGGAGCTTATAGTGAACTGGACCAGTAGAACTTCCTCAAGTCCATTTGGATGTATGGGAAGTGACCATGACTACAGCCCTCCTGTAAAGAGACTCTGTGTGAGTGATGATTCATCTCCAGCCTATCCTTTGGTGCAGCATATTCTGGAGTTTGCTAACCATGCCTTGGTGTCAGGAGTGGCTCATGTGGTCTATTCCAGACTCAGACATTCTGTGTAATGCTCAACTGCATTTCTGTGTACTTAAAAACTCTATACGAGAATATGAAACATCAGAAATTTTTGCTGTCTGTGAATGCCATGATATTTACCTCAAACTTCCAGTACAAATGGTGTACATGATATATTCATCATCAGTGTTAAAAGCCATTAAATTAACTCCCTAATCTATACTTGTTATTTAATTTGATTTGACATTTGTACAACATTGATTGTTTACGTTTCTTGTTGATGATGGTGGGCTATCCAGATGGCTTTGCATCCATGTCTGTCCATCCGTAAACAATTTTTATCGCCATTTCTTGAGAAGTCCCAGATGGATCTTTCTTGATTTGCATCTGTAGATTCCCCTTGTTCCTAATTGTGCCCATTTGATTTTGGGATCAACAACAAAAAAAACCAACATGGCTGACATGCAGCTATCTTGGATTTTTTCAATGAAAATTGTTATTGCTATTTCTTGAGAAATACTTAATAGATCTTTCTAAAATTTCGTATGTAGGTTCCCCCTTGGTTTCTAGTTGTCTTGTAATTTTGGAACTGATCAGAAAAACAAAATGGCCAAAAATCAGCCATCTTGGATTTTGACTTTTAAAAGCTTGTTATCACTATTTCTTAGCAAGTGCTGAATGTGCATTCTTCTTGGTCCCTAGTTGAGCCCCTCTGATTTTGGGTCTATAAAAAAAAACAAAATGGCTGATAGGCGGTCATCTTAGATTTTTACTTTTGAATGGTTATCAGTATTTCCGGACAACTACTCGAGATCTTTCTCAAATTTCATGTATGGGAGTATTCAAGTCCCAAGTGGTGCCTATTTAAGTTTGGAACTAATGAGAAAATTTTACCAAGTAAAGATTGTTATTGCTATTTCTGAAGAAGCAATAAATGGATACCTCAAATTTCATACTTATGTTCTCTTTGATCTCTCCTTGTGCTTGTTTGCTTTTGGGACTGATCAGAAGAAACAAAATGACTTCCAGGTGACGATTTTGGATTTGGCAGGTAAAGATTATTAGTTATTTCTGCAAATAATTGTTCAAATATCTTATTAGGAGCATAAAAAGAGAAGAGAATAGAAGGGATAAGATCCAACTTGAAAAGAGCATATAAAGATCAAACAATGGTGGGCGCCAAGATCCCTCTGGGATATCTTGTATTGAAGAAAACTGATTTGTTAACAATATTTTTTTGATATTCACCAAAGAGAAAATAACAAGTGGATTTTTTTTTTTTTTTATTATATAGCCTTATAAAGGTCAATATTCACAAAGCACCATTATAACATAATGCTAAAAATATGGGTTGCCCTAGATGGGGACTACAGATCCAAACACTTGATGCTCACACACGTTTAGCTGACTTCCATTCCAAATACAATTGTATGCCATAAGCTTCCCACAAGAACAATGGTGAAGATTCATCTCAATAACTTATTATATCCATCACACCTTTATATGCTCTCACTCAAAACACCTTTGGACATTTTGATAACCACCTGTACAAGAGACAAACACATGTACATAACCAACACACCAGTGATTAGATGTTTCAAAACATTGAACAATCAAAATGATCTTATTCCACAATAATAGATACTGATGGTATGATTCTCAAAAAATATTAGATTTTAACCAACCAGTATACTTTAAACATCAATTCTATAGTTTAATCCATATTGTTGTTTTAATTCAGTATACTACCATGTATACAATTAAATATTAGTCCAAACACTGACAACATCTAGATAATTGATACCCATGACGTAGTAGATAGCAGACATATAGTTACTGTCCATTATGAAAAATTTTACTAAATTTCCTACACTGCTTTACACAGCTGTGAAAACCTGAATTACATTTGACAATCCTTAATGACTATGTCAGTGAGAAAGCACTTGAGTTACTGACCCGAAGCAATAGAACATAATGAGTCAGTAAATATGATATACTGTAAATATACTTATTATGACATGATAATATTTCACACTTATTAAACACTTTTTTGCAAATAACCAAAATGATGAGTTCCTGCATTCACAATTATCGCTATATAAGCAACATACAGAACTGCATTTCGTGCAATCATATGTTAGTGCAATGATTTCAGTGTGGTAAGTGCTAAAGTAGGATTATCATGAAAATATGTATGTTTACAGTATTACAACACATTTATGACTGAAAACAATCATGACTAGCAAGGCAAATTACGAACAGACCAAGCAATACAAGGTATATGGAGCCTACACTCAACCTAAATTTCAGCAGATTTAAGTTCAACAACCAGACTTACAAAGTAACTAGCAAATTCAATTTCAACAACAAGAACTACAAAATGACTGGAAGATCGATGAATCTATTTCTTGTGTAAGGCCTTTGTAAAAATCTAAATATAGTAAGTGCCTGCAGCGTCCATATAAATATAGCTGGTGCCAGTATAAATATTGTACACCGGTGCCTATATTAGGGCACGAGTTACCCGTGTGAAAATTATATTGTGTGATCATGATAAATGTTTTTATAAACTCTCTCACTGACTAAATGTAATGTGCTAGCTTTTATTCCCCGTAACGAATCTACCAGCAAAGGTACTCATTATCATTTTTCTGTTTTACAGATTACTTCTGATAAATGATAGCACACACTGATCTGTTTCGAGGCCACTTTCTCACTTGAAAAATTATTCTGTTGTTTGCTGCAGTAAGTCTACAGCAATAAGTGTGCTGAACATCTGTAATAGCCTGTAGACACATAACAGAAAACATGAACATTACCCTGAATTACACAGACATCCATGAGAACAAAAAATATTTTTCTACAGATCGGTAAATCTTTAACTATACCAAACACATCCATAAACACATTTATCGTATATAGTGACTATATACACAAAGAACAGCATCTCCATCTTTTTTTGTCATTTTACATTCATCTTAAAATATAAACTCATTGTTACAATAACCAAGTTGTCAGGAGGTTTTAAGTGCCATTAGTTAAAGTTTAAAACTAACTTACATACCATTTGTAATTCCTTTAATGATGTGTTGCATTTGGCTTTAAGAGAGTTTTATTACAGATATGGGAAAACTAGTAAGAAAATATAATAGACCGAAAAGTGTGTTTTATAAGCTGTTTGTTCAAGAACAATCAGACTTGATAAGACCTTACAGACAGCAGGCCTGGACTAGTACAAGATTCAAGTAACAACCAGCGTCATATGTATGAACAGTCATTAATATACATACAACCAATGACCAATGACTAGAAAAGGTCTTCATTTGAACCACAGATCCATTTTATAAAAGGCAAACCTCAGCAATAGAATTACAGAACAATCTATATATAATCTTATTTCAAAACATTCTAAAGTTGTATGCAAAATTTCAAAGACGTCGATTTAGATGAAAATAACGGTACATGTACTAATATATAGATATATATGTGTGTGTGTATATATATATATTATTTATGCTGTAATAAAAACTACCACTGATCTTGAAAAATATGACAGCTCAAGTTTGTTTTATAGATCTTTACTACTGGAATGTATGTAAGTGAATGCTGTAAATAGACAGCACTCTACAGATGATGATAAACTTAATCTATTTCAAACTCTCAAAAGATGCAGAAGGGAGATATTAAAAAGGACAACATTTTAACCCAAACAAATTCTGAAAACTTCATTGCACATCAAATAAGGTGTTTTTAAGGATAAGAAGGCATAGTTGATAATCAAGGTGCCTTGACATTTAAGTACAATACAGTATCAATATTTCAGTGTATCTTGTACTGTCTGTTTCATGTATACAGTATCTAATGTGTGATATATGCAAACAGTCACTTTGAATGGAAATGACAATTATCTTGGCATTCCCAAAAAAGTACGCCATTATGCTGTTATTCTAAAGATATCTTATGTACAAACTAGATAAGAAATAAGTACATCAATGTGTTATGTATATGTTCTTCTATCTATATTAAGGTTTCTCAATTAACAAAGAAAATCATCTCCTATCTAATACTGTGAACATATATATTTCAGTGCTATCTTAATTTAGCATTTTTTCAGACTCTAGACATATTGTGAAGATAAGAATGTTTTAACTGCATTTTCTACAAAGTGTCTGAATTCATCATTGCACTTAGTTGTTCAAAATTGACACTGTGCTTAAATTTGATAGCAACAAAAATAAGTAGGTCTACAGTAAATAAATATCTCAAATTATGCTGTTACAGTGACTAAATAAGGGAAGCATGATTAGGAATGAACCAATACTGGGTAGTGCACTAGAATGACTAGTTGGTACATCCTGTGATGTAATCAAATTAATCATCAACAAACTAATATCTAAGCTGTTGTGTCAATACAGGTCACATCAAACCAATACCAGTGGATAATAACAGTTCACCCAAACGCCCAACATTGTATACATTTTAAAAAGACTGACCAATTGTCTGAAATTTCACTTATGTGCTTACACAGAAGCATCAGATATCAAAACCAGCTCCAATGGGCTATTTAGTCCGGAAAATAGAATAGATTCTAACTTCTAACTGACAGAAAGTAAATGATTATGTACTCTGTGCATTTCTATACGTATAACTTTGAATATGTTGAATATGATCAATGTTATTTAAGTAATTCCAAAGCCTTTATCTCACTTTGTAAGTGCATCTTAAATAAAAGATGTCATCTATATAATATCATTATGAAATGAAATATCTAGGTACCAATAACACAAACATCACATTCCTCTTCAGTGTACAATCTATTCAGGCTTTCTATCATGGAAAGTTTACAACCCTTTAATAGTGCTTAATTGGGTTGGAGCTTTTGTATTTACTTTGAAGTAAGTTTCTTAAATGAAAATATGATACCTTGTATTGTAAATGTCAGAATATATCGTATCACAGCATTCAGGATTTGAGAGATATTTCAGTGGTCTGTTTTGAATCAATCCTACAGTGGCACACTATGGGATTCCTATTGTGTATTCTTGATCATCAATGGCAGTAACATCTAACAATGTATTTTTGGAACATAAATTTTGGCTTTATTTAACATCACTGAAGTACTAACACTTGCAACAAATTTTTGGAAAATAAATCTTAGCTTTATCAAACACCAATGATGTATTTCTGGATCAAGTACTTCTGCTTAATCAAATACTAGCAATGTATCTTTGGATCATCAGTTCTTGTATGTGACATCATCAGTGATACATTTTTGGATCATCAAACCCTACTGAAGGTGACAAAATCTCTCATCAGTGTTTTTTTTTAGATAGATTCACCATGTATGCAACATCATCAGTGTATTTTTAGATCAAAGACTCCTACTGTATGTGACATCATCAGTGTATTTTTTTGATCATGGACTCCTACTTTATGTGACATCATCAGTGTATTTTTAGATCATAGACCCCTGCTGTATGCGACATCATCAGTGTATTTGTAGATCATGGATTACCGCTGTATGTGACATCATCAGTGTATTTTTAGATCATAGACCCCTGCTGTATGCGACATCATCAGTGTATTTTTAGATCATGGACTCCTGCTGTATGTGTCATCATCAGTGTATTTTTAGATCATGGACTCCTGCTGTATGTGTCATCATCAGTGTATTTTTAGATCATGGACTCCTGCTGTATGTGTCATATCACCAGCGTATTAATGGTCATCAAATCCTTCCTCCTGTAGAATGGCTTGTCGTGATGCCTTTATAATTGCTCGAACACGGTTCAACATGTACTGTAAACACAAGCAATATACTTAAGTAACCAGTGTGGCTTTACATCAACCTTAACTGCTATACTTGATACTGGAGACCAATATCTGGCAATGTTGATTGTATTTTCAAGAATTTCAATATTAAGGCTACAAGTACAACATATTTCAGTAGATTAGCAAAGAGGAACAATGAAATTAAACAACGAAGTAAAACATGAATGCTCTGCTTCAATGCATACAAATCTGATTATTCCAACTGATGAATTCCACCGTTGAATATTGAGTGATGGCCATCTTTATATAATACAGTGTAGAACTTGATATTATGACATATATTATGGGGGAAAATATGAGCCAAATCTGTTTGGAAATCCTGCCATAAAATGATGGCATAAGTTTTAAAATCCTATTTCATGGGCTCCAAATAAAACTTATAATTAAATCCCTTGTCTTTGTAGTCTATTGTACAAACCTGGAGTCTCAAACTGAGACAAACACCTTACATTAATAAATCAAAAAGCTCCCCAATATATTCAATTGAAGAAGATTAGTAAAACATGTTTACCTTAGACACTGCTTTTTCCTCAGACTTTGATTCACCCGGCAGACTACAGCTGTTACTGTCGGAGTCTGGGGGAAGTGGAGGTAGGGGAGGGAGAGGGGCCCTGGAGTCTGATGGTGGCTCTGGTGGTAGACAATCTGGCAGTGGTGGTCTGTAAATAGAGACACAACATATCTATTACTGTCTACTACTTACTTTACAGATAAAACAGACATCATTTTTATATACTAAGTGGCAGTCATGACAAACATAACAATGTATCAATTTAGTATATTTAAATGCTTCATAAAACTGTAATATTAAAATTTAGTTGCCTACTTATGATATTTTTTTACTACTATTTACGAAATTTACGAAAAAAAGAACTTATTCAAACAAGCCAAGATCATTATGACAGTTTTGTTGCCTACTAATGATATTTTTAATCCTATTTATGAAATTACCAAAAAAAAGGAATTATTCAAACAAGCCAAGATCGTTATGTCATTTTGACAGCATGTTTTTCTCCTTTGACCTGATTTAAAATCAAACATCAAAACTGCATACAAAAACATTTTATATTTTAATACAGCTAATGTTGAACAGTACTCACAAGTTAGAAAATTCTGTAAATGTGTATGGCTTAGCCTTGTCTATATTGTCAGTAACATCTGCAGCAGACTGGGACAGCTGTGGTTCCGGTTTGATGTTGATATCATAGCTTTGGACAGGACCAATCAGATCACCTGAGCTCCTACTGCTTGATGATTTATGATAAGGCGACCTGTTATTTATGAATATCCAAAGTCATTAAAAATGCATGTTTCCATGTTCAGGCTTAAAAACTAAACACCATATCTGAACTAATCGTTTATAAAATAGTTCTTTTAAAACAATCAGTAAATGAATACGATCAGGTTAATTTGCCAGTACTAGTATGCTTCAAACCGGTAACATGTCATTGAAATGTCACACCTAAATCTTTTACTGGTTGTGTTCTATTGACATTACCAACCTGAAGAAAAAACATTTGGAAATATTGAAGAAATGGTGTTTCGCTTTTGCTAGATTTGAGCTGTACATATACTGTACACAACATGCTGATATTAGCATAGTCAAATTTTCGCTTGAACAAAGAGAACTGTACATAAAATATGAACTATTAGAGTAGACGTGAATTAACACAGCAGGAAATCTGGAAATCCTAATTTACCAGAGCTCTATGTTCTCCAGGTAAGTCAATAGTGAAATGTATTAGGTTATTTAAAACCATATCAAATTGTTGCCGCTTTGAAATAAAAATACAGCCAATCCTGTGTATACAGGCACCAATTGCACTGATCTATTACAAAGAATATTTACATTAAAATATTGTTGTTGGTGTGGTGTTTGAGTAGTAAATTCCAGGGGACTGTTTTGTAAATTTTTAAATAAACATGCTGACCTTTGTCCTGTCATCTATTGGCTGTCTTACTAATGAAGGAGGGTGAAATAGCTTTTACTCTCGTTAGAATGTTTACACCTTTTCTATAAACAGAATAGTCTAATACTGGTGCGAAACTATTGTTATATCCACTGATGCAATCTATGTCACATTATTGCATACATATATACCAAATTTTGATTCTTAAATTTATGCTGTACATGAATAAGCACTGCACACATGGCATTTTTTTTTCATGAACATCTTCCGACACAATACTTAATAAAATGACTTATCTACCTTGAACGTGACCTCTTCTTTTTCTTTGACTTTCTGATATGTTTTGGTGACCTCCTACTGGATTTTGATGAACGTTTAGATGGTGATGGTGAACGTGACCTCTTCAGTGATTTTGACCTCCCAGGAGATAATGAAGGACTTGACCTGTATCTTGGTGACCTTGACCTATCTTTCCTACGCGGACTTTGTGGCCGTGGTATACTTCTGCGTGTTGGTGACTTTGATGATGATCTTTAAAATTAAAAAAATGTAAAATCAGCCTTTGAAAAATCAGTTCAAATTTTTAACTGGCGATACACTCAATTAACACAAACGCTTTAAATATCACCTTACACAACAAGATACTTTTCTAAAACAAATGAATTAGTTTTATCCTCCAATCACTCCGATATGCAATAGCTACAGGAGACTCAGTATTTTTACCCTCTACAGTGACTGTAATCCACAATCTATTGGATATACAGCAGATGCAGGAGACACAGAATCTTTACCTTCTAGTGACTAAAACCAAAAAACACTCAGATATATACAACAGCTACATTACATAAAGTCTTTTTACCCTTTATAGCAAGTTTAACCCTTTAGTAATCAGCAACATGCAGCAAAAACCCATTAACTTCACATTCCATCATTATTCAGACATACAACAGCTACAAGAGATCCACTGTCTTTACCCCTGACAGTAACTTTGCCAAAATTAAACATATACACCAGCCACATAAGATCCATTGACTTAAACTTTCACAGCAGTGTAGTTTGCAATTGCTCAGATAATGTATAGTTTTGAATTTTTGGGGCTAATATTTTGCAGTTGTCCTGGTTGGGGCTAGTTCACTGTGATTAAATTTTGTGCAATGCCACCTTAAAAACAGTGGTATGATGTATACAGGCAGATAATATGTACTTTCTGACAGTTGGGTTGATTTATAAAAACATTTGTAGGTTATTTAACATTTTGCACTATTTTTGATAGATTTGAGCATAGCGAATTAATGCCCCACAACTATTACCATTTATCCAGTAAACAGCAACTGCAATGCAACATTACACAAATATACAAAGGTCGTAATTACTGAACACACAGATTATTTACCTTCTACCTCTAACATAAGCACTAGGTGGAAGTGGGGAGCGTTTTCTTCTAGGTGACCTTGACCTTGATGATGGGCTTGTTGACTTGCGAGACCTTGAGGGCGGAGATGAGCCTCTGTCTCTAGACTTCTTTGACGACCTTGACGATCGGTCCGAGTAGTCACTGAGACGGTCTTCCTCCTGAGTTATGGGTGTATGTGAACGGCTGCCTATAGATGTGTCTGTGGACGCGGTCCCCCCTGTGATAAAACAACAATTTCCTCAATATGAAACAAAAGCCTTCAGAGAATGAATCTACAGCAGCCTACAAACTCATAATAGGTCGTATCAACTACCTGGCAACACAAACTTATCAGCAGTAACCAGTGCTTTAATTCATTATACATAACAAACAGCAGATATCCATTTAACTTAACAAGTATTTATCATAGATCATCTATTGAACTCAATTAAGTACTTGTTATTTTTCTGCTAACCTGACTCTTCCATATCACGCTGGTCATCTGGTGTTGAAGAGGAGGATGAGGCCGCTACATTAGTAGATTTGAGCATGTTGATAAACATGGCTGCCTTACGTTTCCTTTCAGCTTGCATCTGTTTCTCTTTGTTTGCCTGGACTAGCTTCTCACGTGCCGCAGCTGCCATTCGGTCCTTCAGACGTTCTTCAGCTAAAACATCATTTAAATCTTGAGTCTTCATTTTTTATTACAAGGTATATATATATCAGGACAAATCTAATTATCATTGTTTATAGTTTCAAGTGAGTCACCAGTAACAAATCTGTACCAAGTATATCTAGACATAATACCAATGCTGCATTACTGGAAAGGGTCCTTCACATTCTACCTAGATACCCGAAGGTACGAAGTGGATTGATTAATTAGGGTAAATTTAAATCAAGTAGAATCAATCTCAACAGGCAGGAGGCGGGTTCTTGAAGATTTTCCAGAAGAAGTCTGACAGAGTGGACAAACTTGTACATACTACCTAACAAGATCCCAGAGGGATCTTGGCGCCCACCATTGTTTGATCTTTATATGCTCTTGGAAAGTTGGATCTTTTCCCTTCTTTTCTCTTTTTTGCTCTTGATGATAAGTCATTTGAACATTCCTTTACAGAAATAGCAATAATAATCTTTACCTGCCAAATCTCAAATGGCCATCTGGAAGCCATTAAATTCTTCTGATCAATCCCAAAATCAAACAAGCACAAGGAGAGACAAAAGGGAATATACATATGAAATTTGAGAGATATCCATTCAATACTTCTAAAGAAATAGCAATAAAAATCTTTGGTAGGCAAAATCAAAGATGGCTGCCTGTCGGACATTTTGTTTTTCTGATCAGTCCTAAACTCAAACAGGCACAAGGGACAAAAGGAATATATATATGAAATTTGAGAAGGATTTACACAGTAATTCTCAAGAAATAGCAATAACATCTGCCAGGCATTTTTTCATTCTGATTAGACATAAATCAACTAGCAGAACTAGGGACGAAGGGGAACCTACATATGCAATTTGATACAGATCCATCCAGTATGTCTCAAGAAACAAAAATTGTTTATGGACGACAGACCACGGACACAGAGTGGTTTGAATAGACCACCGCCTGATGATGGTGTCTGATAGAAACTAAATGAACCTGCCTCCTGCTCATTGAGATTGATTCTACTAGATTTAAGCACACTTGCAACAATTTACACTATAATCACAAGAGATGGATTTTTTTTATTTACGATTATTTTCTCTAGCATCAACAGAAGATTTGTCTTGCGACTTACTACATGACATCAATGATGTTTTATTTTCACTGGTACCTAGACTTGATGATTCCTTTGTTATAAGATATAGCAGTAGTAAACTTCAACTGTCAAAATCTAAAATGGCTACAGGCAGCAGTCTAGAATATCAGCTCATACTTCAAATGTGGCATCCATTTCAGAACCCACAATGATTGTGTCCATGACATTTATTGCAGCAGAAATAAATCTCATTAAAAAATGTTATTGAAAAGACGAAAAGATAAAAGTACAAATGACTACACTAAAACTGAGCTTCTATTGTTCAAAAAATTGTTCAATATGTACCACTTTCTTAACTATGTCAAACCTGTCAATGCATAAATTCTTTTGAGCAAAATATATATTAATGACACAAACTTTTCAAATATTTTGATACAATTTCAATTCTGTTCAGTTCTCATGGAATTTATCAAAGCACCCTCTCTCCGTGGTTTTCAAAATATAACCAGTAGTGATCAAGAAGGAAAGACTCACCTTGTTTTCGTTCAAATTTCTCCATCAACTCTGCTCGATCCACTTTGTTCTCTGATCTCACGTACTCAGTACTCCGCGAGTGTTCTGACCTTGAATACTCTGACTTAGAACTATCTGGTCTTGTATTTTCCGTGACAATAAAATCTGAATCAACAGGTGTGGATGTCCCTGAGAGGTCAGATTTGTAAGGCTTATCCCGATCACCTGCACAAAAACATGTTGCCTTTGTAACTTAAAAACAAGTTCACATTCTAATACCTTATCCATTATTGTTGCAACTGACATTTACCCAAATGTAAACACCCATAGGAATCAAAACATGATTTTATATTCTTGAAAATGGGATTTCCTGAAGCCACCAAAATCTGTTTCCTATCCAAAGATAACTCAGAAAGAAATTTTTGCAATTCATCTTCAACAATACAATCAACATAGTTTACTGTTAATCTGATCTTTTAAAGACATTTAAGGGTTACATACCATCCTCATCACTGCTGTCATTGTCGAACACTTGGCGTTTTTCCAATGAAGTACTTTCTTGTTCCCGAGGCTTACCCTTGATGCTGAAGCTCACACCTTTAGGTCGTTCCTTTTCCAAGCGTTTTTTTTCCTTGGCAGTTTCCTGTCAAACATAGAAGAAAAATTAATGTACATTGTAAACACAATAAAAATGGCAAAACTTACCCTCTGCTTTAACAGATTTTCTCAACTGATGACCAACATATGACTGATGATTATTTTTTGGTAATAGTACTTATCATTGAATATAAAATTGAATTGCACTTTCTGTTTTCTATCTGACAAGACTATCTGATTCAATATACATTGATTTCATTATAAGTAAACTGTAATGTCAATCAATTGAACTTTATACCACTTAAAACTGGTGTGTATATATATAAGTGTATGTTGCACATATTAATCTTTAACACAGGTGTCAAAATCACTGCAATACTTACTGTGATATGAATATTCTTTTTGAAGTTGTAGTATGGAAAATGAACATGGTGGGATTCCAAAAATGCAAATCTGGGATCATTTTTACTTTTCACAACGATTTCAAATTCCACTCCATTTTTGGCAACATACATTGCCATTCTATCTATAACGGGTTGAAGGTCAGGTGGAGGCGGAACGATCTGTGGAGCACCAGGTATGCTAAAAGAATCCCTGTTAACACAATATAAAATACAACCCAGAGTGAATTTAAGAAGTCAGCTCAATCAGTGGGATATTTGTCATTAAGTTTTGACAATTTCCTTACCAAATCTTTTGTAACTGTATATTGTCAATAATGTTTCAAGCTATCATATTTATTATCAACAAGCTACTACATATATCAAGTTCAAGTTGTAATATTTCATCTAGCTTAATCTCAGAAGAAACTGAAACAAAATGGCAGGCATAGCGCTGACCTTGGGAAAATTTAAATCCAATGATTCTAATACTTGCTTGTCGATCAAAAACCAAATGACTATTTTTGACTCATTGTATGAGGAATCATTGATGCTATAGTTTGTATATGACATTACCTTGAGGAGCTGTCTTCACTGGCCGGACTGTCCCGGCTGAGGTAGAGGTTACCACCCACATCTGTCCCTGGGGGTGGGGGCTGCTGTGAGGACGGGAGAGTGACAGGTTCTAGCCCAGGAGGGAGGGGCAAACTTGAGTTGGCAGGTCCATATTCTGGTGCCGAGATATAGGGAGGCAGTGGGGGTGGTTGTATGGATGGCGTATCTTTACGAGGTTGCTGGTCTGCTCCAGTGCCACTGCTACAACAATCAGAACATCTTAAAACATCTACACATAACATGAACTTTAAAACAGACTTTGACAAAACTTACCTAAGATCACAACCATTTATTGCTTCAAATCAAAATTGGTCTCTCAAATCATTTTAAATGGCAAGTGTTTAGAGAACTTGATATTTATATACCTTGTGTGGAATTATGATATATACACGCACCATAAGTTTGATTTCATATGTTTGTTAGGTTTAATCTATTGTCCCATGAACAGCCATGGTCATTATAAGGAGAGGTCTCCTTGTTATTAACCTCACAGCTTCCTGAGAAACTTAAACTGCCACAGGTAGGGAGTGTCAGACTTAATCAACTTGAATATTCAGCTGAAGTTACATAGACCAAGGTTCTAACCGACTGAGCTATTGCAAACCTTCATAAGTTTGAACTCGAGTTTTAACTTACCTTGTCTTCTCATGCTGCTTGTTTGACTTTTTGAGTGACTTAATGAGTTGTCCATATGGAGTGTCATGGATGCTGACAGGTGGTAACTTGATAGGTTTCAGGTCAGGTGTGGGGGAGGCTCGCTGGATCATCAGACTGGGATGAAGGTAACCATCTGGGTGTTCTTCCTCATAGCCTGTAATACATCACAGCAGTTAATCACTGTTAATAATGCAACAAGATTACTTACTATCAATTCACAACCATCAAATTATTACACTCAACAGTCCAAGAATGAAAACAATCTTTTTATCACTTGCAAAGTTAAGCAGACTCATACACAATTGTTTGTATTCTTGCATTTCATGCAGAAGTCATTTTAACTTTTCATCTATATCAATTATCACAACAATGATTGTTTACAATAACATACTATTTTGAAACAAATATGCAAGAACAAGAAAACAATAATTTCCAAATAATTATTGATACAAAATATAAAGACCATACAATTATATATTGTAGTAAATCTGTACTACAAATTGTCCAAAGTGATGGAATATTTATGGAATTCTTAAGACAGAGTGATGCCGTATTAGTACTTATTTGTGTACCATATATTTCTGACAAATTTTTTAACAAGAGAAAAAGTATCAATCATTAAAAATTGACAATTATGAAGGACATTGAGACTATATCTCAGGTAGATGTATTCCCATATATCATCAGTGGAAACAATACTTACTAGCTGGACTTACAGCTTCATCATTGGAACTATATGTTTACAGAACAACACTTAATGTATACTGCATATCTCTATATCATTTCATTGATTAGTAGAGTCGAAATGTCTGTTTTAATTAATATCGAAATTTCAGACCTGAACTTTATTTTTTAAATTTTTTAAAGAGAATCTACATATATGCACAATTCATAAAAGATTTCAAAGGTTTCATAAAGACATGGTGTGAAAATTGTGTGAAAAGGTTTAGATATTACAAGAAGTGAGACACATCCTTTTCAGGAGGCGAGACTAAAATTTCACCAAGTAAGACTGAACATAAAGAAAATGACTTACTGCTATCATGGTCTTCCTGTATCTCCTCGGCTTTCGGCCGATACTTTCCCGACTTGATCATCTTCACCATGTGTTTATAATATGGGTTCAGTACGTTTTCAAAATGCATGAATTCAAACTGTGAATTATTGGACTGCTTTGTTTTGATGATGATTTCCATCTGAGCTCCGTGCTCTGCTATGAACTTAGCTGTCTTCTCTATGATAGCATTCTGTTTTTCTGTCTCAGGCTGTGGAATAAAACATAGATTTATGAGAGAAATGTTATGCTTTTAAAGTAGTCAACAAAATTAACCTTGACACTGCTACTAGGTAGTTTTTGTATTCCTTAATCATTGCACAATTTATTTATAGTGGGTACTCGGTATCCTTTTGGATCCACGGCTGTTCCCGGAAGGGATTTCCTGATTTTAATGTTTGCGGGACGTTGTGTCTCCACCCCCCCCAACCCCCAACCCCCCCATCCCCGTTGTTGAAAGGGTTTTTTATGTATAAATTCCTCCTAGACCAGATAGAAAACAGTTTATAATGTAATTAAACTAAAAACATACAATGAATAAAACATTCAATTTCCATTTGTGATGTTTTTTGTATTTAGATATTGTTGGTTAATGTCCTATTACCAGCTAGGGTCATTTAAAAAAACATGCCATGTCAGGTTAGTAGAAGATAATTGAAAGTTCCCATAGAAAATATATCAACCTGCAGCAAGTACCTGGCAACTGTTGAATTTAGACCTCAAACCCTTGACATCACCCTCCCCTCCCCTCCCCTCTCCCATCCCCGAGCAGGAAGGCTAGTGATAGACTCATCACCCTCCCCTCCCCTCCACCACCCCCTAGCAGGAAGGCTAGTGATAGACTGTCATATTTCTATTACAAAATCAGGAAGAAAAACATATCTATATTTTTCTATTCCGGAGTTTAAAATAGTTTCAGGAAATGCTATCAGACAGACTGTACAGATTTATGTAAAGAAAAGTAAATGGAGGTTTTCAATCGGAGATACCTTGTAAATCTAAAAGTTAAATGACATACTTACCACTACGACCTCAGGTGGAACATGTAACTCTGGGGCAACAACAAATGGTTTATCCTCCACTGCCTCTGTTCAATCAAATCACAAAAACATTGCTTTAGAAATTTTTAGTTTGAAATATTTTGAAACTAGAAACTGTGTATAACACATGAATTCCCCTGCTTCCTTGTATGGAAGTATAAGTGGAAAAGTTTTCTTGATATGACACTGAAATGGAACAAGACTCAATGAGACAAAGGGAGAGAAAGATATTAGGTTAACATTATATATCCCAATACACTGATGGGGAATGAAAATTATCTTTAACTTTTTTTACTTGTAGTGCCAGAATTTATCTGACCAAATGTCACTAGGTGCACATTAAAAAATATCCCTGTGTATTTAAAAAATTGATTCTGTACAAATGTCAACAATAGCTTATTCCATCTGCCTTGTTGTAGGATAAATACACTAGGAGTTGAATTTTGTAAAGGAGGTACATTTTCCTCATTAGAACCTTTCACAAAAATCCCCCTCCCCCCGAAACTACACATCAACATCTGGGTAATACATTTACTGATATTTACCTATTTTAACCTCTGGCTGCTGCTCAGCTGCCATCTGCTGAGCATAGTCATAGCTGAAGCTGACAGCATTATAGCCCTCAGAAAGAGACAGATAATAACGCTTCCACTCCTCCTCTGTAAACAACAACAAAGTGGCATTATACATAAGTTTATTACATTGATCTTTCAAGGTGGGAGCACAGCAATGTGCAATAAATCAATGAATTAAAAAAAAGAATTATTTGTGTTATTGTCCTGTCAGTCAAAACTATTGTATAATTCAATCAATCATATCAGATCTCTCATTCTAATTAGTTTCCTGTACTTTGTTACACAGATATAATAAAACCCTGTTAAAATCAGCATTTACAATCAGCAAAGTCACCTATTATTGACCAATCAGATTGTCCCTTTCTGCAATGTTTGGGAAAACGAAACAGTGCTATGAAGTTATTTATTGTTTGATGCAATATGAAAAAATATTGATTTAAAAAAAATATATATTCCAGTGTTAAAAATGTGAAGACAGTACAAAGAGGTTAAGGCTTTCTTATTCCATGCTAATGCATTTGTTTGGTGTCCATGTTTCAATGGATTGTTCCTTCAACTTTCTGCAAGTTATAGGACATTGTTAGGCCATACAAGACACAAAATTTTGCATCCATAAAATTACTTTTAAGATCTGGAGAGGCTTTTTTTTTTTTAGATTTCTAACTTTAAAATATACCAGTTTGTCACACTAGTGTATGGGACATTTACCTTCATACATGGTTTTCTCTGCCATATCTGTCCGCAGCTCCAGATAACGCTCTTCATCACACAACTTCTCCATTTGTTCTTCATCTTCTGTCAAAGTTTGATCTGTGTCCTTAACATTGTTGGCATCAAATGCTGAAAGGTCAAACAAGTGACCCCTTCCGTCATACCTGTCGGCAGATGAAAATGCAGTAAGGACATGCTCATGGTTCCAACTGTATCATTAAAAACCTAAATACACATTTTACACAGGAAGCTTGTGTGAAACCCAGAAATACTGGAGCAAGCATAACAGAAGACTACCGACATGCATGAAGCAGAAATGTTTTAAACTAGATAGGGACATGTGTGATTATTATAAGATAAAACTGCACATCAAAAGTATTCATCTGCATTTGTTTCACTTCAAAAACATGCAATGAACAGCTGGGTTTTTTTTGACAATAACCCACATTAATTCCTAGCTGCACTTTAAAACGCAAATAAATTTATGTAATTTTTCATTTGGTTTTTATTGAAGAAGTGAGAAAAAATGTGGTAACCTATCATGTAAGGCCTAAATGTAGTTAATTTATTCTGATATGAATTCAAAATATAAAATTCATTTAATTGATAGTAGAAAATCTACCATACTGGACTATTAATGTCATTTTAAATTTCTCAAAGTTACCACATATTTACTTGTCATCTTTGAATTTCTCTACAACACCATGAAATAACTAAAATATGTGAATATTTCTGATGTACAAAACCAGATTAATCACAGGAAAGGGAGAAATGCAGAAATATCACACAACATATGCATGACCTCAATGGAAAAAAACTGCACATAGCAAGACAATCACTTCACTATTGAAAATCAAATCATACTAACAATACACAGCGACAAACATGTGGTAATCTTGCCAAGAATGTCACGGAAGTCACTTTAAGTTTTGATTTGATAAATCGATATATTCTTTTAATATGTCTTTTTTTAAACTGAACCTTCAGCAATTGTTTTGAAATTTCAAAACAAATGGAATCCGGTAAACAACATCCATAAAATGTTTGTTTATTTCCAATATATGTAGCTTGCAAAACATCTTATTAAATCTAAAAGTGTTGTAAATTGTTTTTCATGAATACATGTAATTCATCAAAATAAGACCAACTGGTAATGAAATATCATGCTTGTAAGTTTTTAAGTAAAAAACAGCTGTGCAAAAACTTGTTGCATGAAATCATTATTCAAACTTAGAAATACATGATACATGTAGACATGAACAGACACTATATGTGTGTGTGCACACCCTACAGTACTCAGCAACAAAATTCTGCTGCAATATTGAAAACACACTCATCTTTGAAACACTTCCAAGAGCTTTGTCTCAACACTGTCTACACTATTTTCAGATACATGAAAGTCCTTTTTTTTTTTACATTTATCATTCAAAAAGATGTTTTGTTGACTTTTCTTTCTAATTTACTGTGACCACCAGCTGCAGCTTACATTGTTATCCATTCATGTCTTTATTAGTGGCTTTAATGTATATGCAATACTTAAGGCAATTATTATTATTGTGTGTAATGTTTATTATGCTTCATTAGAATTTATTTACTTACTTTGTTACTACAAAAGTATGCAAATTGTTTTTAAGTTTGAAAACTTGGTAAACTACACCAATATTTTTGTGTAGATGTTTGTGTGCTGAATTGATGTATTTTAATAGCAACATGGTATTTATCCTCTGATTTGGTTTATTTATATGCTTATGATTTGTTTTTTTTTCATTTTAATTTTCCATCATTAAATTATCAAGCTATGCTGTTAAACGTTCTCATTTTTTTAAATAATTAAAGACCTTTAAATGACATTCTGCAGAAAATTATTGAAATTCGATATAAAAACTGCAGCAATCAAAGTTATTTTCATTAAGTATTTGAAATCATTTTGTATACTATTTTATCAAAATAATAAATAAAGTGTTTCAAAAATAAAGGACATAAAAACATATTTTATGTATACACCTTGTCCAATAATAGTTTATGGTCTTCCATAATTGATGGGATTTCTTTGGTTTTGATTTATTCCATACTGATACCTGTCACCTGGAATACCAGTTCATACCGTTTGATATGACATTCTTGTTTCATCTCTCATCATCAATACAAGGAGGACACATCTGAAATAAAATTCCTGAAAACATTTGCACCACAGAGAATGCCAAAGTGCTGACATTCTCAATAAACATGACAGAACATGAAAGGTCTTAGTAAGTTGTTTGACTATCAGTGGAAGTGCGACGTCTTTTCATCATTCCCCATCAGTCTTAAACTCCAGTCAGTCATCTTTCCTTTTTTCCAAAGCAAGGGCAAGGTCATCAGAGAGGGGGTCATCGGCATTCATCTGAACACTGGCATACATATACGGTCATTGCCGATGCATACCAGAAAACACAATACTCCCTGTAAATCCGTGATACTGAAAACTAAGTGCAGATGTTAGTATAATACGCGAAATCGACTCAAATCGAAACCTTTTTTTGTGGCTCCCAAGTTGTATGGAGAACAGACCTGTCAATGAGAAGTCTGTCGTCGGACATCCATGGGATCAGATGTTTCTCTTGGTCCACAAAAACCGCCTTTTCGTCATCCCGGAACAGCTTACATGCATATCCGAATACAAACAATTCTTCTTGTTCTTTGTTTTGGCGGTTTTCCTCTTCATTCGCCTGTGCCCACCACTGCGCCGCAGCCATCTTTTTTTGTTTCTGGTCCGTTTTGGATGAGTCTATTAAAGACAGAGATGGAAGTCAACTAAACAGTTTTAGTAATTATTATAAATGTGATAACTTTAGGAATTTTTTCGGAATATTTTCAATGTGAAGATTATAAATACCGATAAAATATCATTATTCATAATACACATCCCTGTGAATACTAAAATCATTCGAAATAAATTCTGACCTTCCCCTTCTTGTTCTTTTGTAATAAACCTTCCCACACAGCTTCCTGTTGCTAATAATTATTTCCGGTTTGTCTAACATTAGAAATGGAGCCTGAAGTGTTGTTCACGGATTCTGTTTTACAATTCTTGAAAGATTCACTAAAATATGACGATGGAGTTCAGAGTGATGCCGAAGATCATGTGAACAACTTTAAAAACCGACATAGTATTCCGTTTAGAGTGATTAGAGACATACACAACAGAAACAAAATAGCAGGTGCTTGTTTCATCACATTATTATCATTATCACATGATGCTATGATATATTTGGTTCTTACTAATGTGCAATCCATTATACAAGATAAATATCAAATATGGTAAACCTCGTATCGATCATTATGATACCACTATTATAACACGGTCAAACGTTTTGTAACGTGGGTTAAAAACGTGACAGTCGAAGGGAAACAACTCATTGAAACTTTGCCATATAACATGAAATATTCGGGAATACCTGTAAAAAAGAATGGTTTCCAGTCTAGCAATTTAAATATATAACTTATATATATATAGCTTGTGCTTTGTACTTCAATATAAAAAAATCTTCCACAAAGTAATCTTATAATATTCAATGTAATTCCGTTCTGAGTTATATAAACAACCAAAATTCTTACTGCAATATGATGTGTTTTCCCATAACAAGACATTAGTATTTTACATACATTTAATTATTTAACAACAAATGAAATATATTTTCAGGTCACAAACAACGCTATCTTCATGAAATTTTACAAGACAGTGACATATGTCTTCCCTGTGTCAAACTTCCACCTCGTGTAAGTACATGTGTTGTGAATTTCTCTACAAAAAGTAGAGACTTGACCTCAAACCATTTAACATACTTCAGTTTCTAAGCACCCTTCAAGGAGAGTATTATGTTTCCAAACAAACAGATTTGATAGCTGAAATATCATGATTATTGATAAATTGAATTTCATACTTGATAGATAGCTTGTTATATACTAGCTTCCTGCCTGCTGGCCATCAAACATCCAACAATTCTGGTCATTAATGTCTTTATACAGTTATTTGTAGGTTGTTGGCCTTGATACATTTGACTAGACAGTATTCACTTCATGTCTTAATGATCATTTACAGCTTAATTCTTATGTGATGTTGAAGTTTTACAAAATGATGGTTACCATGGCACCTCAGTGAAGTAAATTAGCCATTGTTATCCAACCAATATTTCTTTAGATATGTGACCTTTAATATGGGTATGGTTACAAGTATACTTAGTGTCATCAGTATCCACTCAAACATGTTATGTCATCAGTATCCACTCAAACATGTAGTGTCATCAGTATCTACTCAAACATGTAGTGTCATCAGTATCCACTCAAACATGTAGTGTCATCAGTATCCACTCAAACATGTAGTGTCATCAGTGTCTTTTCAAACATGTAGTGTCATCAGTGTCCACTCAAACATGTAGTGTCATCAGTGTCTTTTCAAACATGTAGTGTCATCAGTGTCTTTTCAAACATGTAGTGTCATCAGTATCCACTCAACATGTAGTGTCTTTAGTATCCACTCAAACATGTATTGTCATCAGTATTCACCCAAACATGTAGTGTCATCAGTGTCCACCCAAACATGTAGTGTCATCAGTATCCACTCAACATGTAGTGTCATCAGTGTCTTTTCAAACATGTAGTGTCATCAGTGTCCTTTCAAACATGTAGTGTCATCAGTGTCTTTTCAAACATGTAGTGTCATCAGTGTCTTTTCAAACATGTAGTGTCATCAGTGTCTTTTCAAACATGTAGTGTCATCAATGTCTTTTCAAACATGTAGTGTCATCAGTATCCACTCAAACATGTAGTGTCATCAGTGTCTTTTCAAACATGTAGTGTCATCAGTGTCTTTTCAAACATGTAGTGTCATCAGTATCCACTCAAACATGTAGTGTCATCAGTGTCTTTTCAAACATGAAGTGTCATCAGTGTCTTTTCAAACATGTAGTGTCATCAGTATCCACTCAAACATGTAGTGTCATCAGTGTCTATTTTATATGAGTAATTGCTGCTTGATGGCTTGGTTTTAAACATTGGACGAAGCTGAATTACATTGGTGACCATTGTTTTCTGACTATTCTTTTACTTATATATACATGTACTTGTAGATATCTGTACTTAGTCTGATGTTTTACAGAATCCAGAGCTTGAAGCGAGAATACAGAGATTAAAAGCAGAACAAGAAAACAAGAGATACAAGGAAATGACAAGAAATGTAGACAAATCTGTAAGTATCATAAAACAGAAGAACAGGAAATATGATACATTAAAGTGATGGTTATGTTTGAAATTTTCTTTATGGCATGATTTTGTTCACTTAACACTGAAAATAAAGAATACTGACATACCATTTTTCATTTTCAAAATATTAGCATTTACAGGTTACATTGAATTAAATCTCAAGATTAGATCTTTCTTGTCTCTTTTGAAACTTATATTTTATTCAGTTGTTTGAAAGCACACACATGACAATATTTGGTAGTCTATAACACACTTTACTGTACACTCATTCTGAACATACCATACACAGAATACTCAGTCATCTTAACCGTTTCATACACAACATAAATCTGGTTTGAAGTATTCATATTAAACATTTCGTACACAACATAAATTTGGTTTGAAGTATTCATATTAAATATGTCACACACAACATAAATCTGGTTTGAAGTATTCATATTAAACATTTCGTACACAACGTAACCTTTAAAAAGTTAGGATTCATTTGTTTGACCCCTTTATTTTTCCAGCAAAAAGATGACATGGATAAAATGAACATTGGTTCTGAAGGTAAGATCTTTAAAAGAAAGAAATGCCAAAAAGGTGCAATGTAAAACATCACTTCATAATTATGATACTGGTTTTATGTTAAAATTATACTGGTTAATTACATTATCTAGAAAATGTGTAGAGCTCACGACAGAATAGACTTAATGGTTTGCAGCATAGATTGAAAATGCCTGCAGCTAAGGGAGATAACTTAAGTTTTATTACAAGAAATTATTTCCATTTTTTCATGGGTACATGTACATTGTGTGCCCATTTTGTGATGGATGAGTGTCACTTGTGGGGCAGGTAGACAATGTGTAGTGTACGGGGAGGCTGACGTACATGTTACATGTAGTTAGAAAACAAGCATGATTAGATGTTGCTTTTTGGTGTCAGACAATTTGTTGCCTAGTACTTTAAAATTTAATGGTTTTAAAAAGGGAAAGTTTTATGGAAGTTTAAGAACGCATCATTACATGATTTAGAGTATCTTACAGTAATTAAAAAGCTTACCTTAGACATCAAAAACCAATATACTCTCCCCATATATAACTTAGATAATACTGATAATACTTTAGATGGTTATGTACAGTTTACAATAAATAGTCAACTTTATTTGAAAACATTACTAATGGGAATTAGGGGGGGGGGGGAATTCACATTCTTCTTCCAGAAAAAAAGAGCAAGTTAAGAAAGAAATTTGTTGGGGAGAAAAATATAGTTATTAGAAGTACAGGTAAATGTAGACTTTGAAATATTGAAATATTAGATGAAAAAAGCAGGAATAAGAAAAGATTAGACAACACAAACTTAAGGGAAGTTTTATTAGATCAAGGGTAAAATCAGTTGATGAGGAAGAAAAGCCAACAAATTATTTTTGAAATCTTGAAAATAGAAATTTCCAATCCTAACTGACAAAGCACTTCCTCTTTATAGTTATTTGTCTGTTCTCCTTTCCTCTAACTTATTATGTTGTACTGTTATATGTATGTCCTCTATGTGATATACAGTGTAGTGTAATGGTCCTGTATGTGAATGTCATACTGTTTTCATAGTACTATAAGTAAAAATTGGTGCATCTGTGTAACTATGTAGTAAATAGAAGTGAGAATAAGTTTGTTACCATGTATATGTAAATCGTTGTTGTACCTAATTAATTAATGTTTTAAAAAGATATAGCAAATATTAAAAAAAAGAAACTTAAAAACAAACTGTAAAAATAAACAAACATTTGTAATGACAGTCATCTTTAATATCTTGTCTGAACTGAAATCTAATTAGGCTAAAGGATTTTAATGAACCTTCATATGAATATGGTAAATTAAATATTGCATACTTTATCTGATTTATAACATTTACAAATCCTAAAAGCTCGAGACAGTCTTTCTGACATGAATCAGGGAACTTTACACAATGTAAATGTACAAATGCTTACGATTTTTGAATTTCTGTTTCTTTAAAAAAAAAGAAGGGAAGCACATATACTCCTCCCTGTAATATGACACTAGATGTTATTGTTCAATACTTATATTTTGACAAAGGACGATTGCCATGATATAAATCATAGTATTTGTAATCCACAAATGGATGAGTTGTAAACACAACATAATTTAATCCTGAGTGGAAGTTGGTTTTTATTAAAATTTCTTTAAAATTTTGAATGGTCATCCATCAAATTCCTTTCAATTAATCTGATAAAATTTTATTTATGGTAAACGATTTGAAAAATGAAGTTGTTATTCTTGATTCTTTTGTTTTTGAATTTCATAGTCAATTGAATTTGTGCATTTTTGTTAACCTTCTAGTAAAAGCTATGAACTCCCAGATGTGGTCCGTGGTCAACTTTGTCGTGACTGTAGGAGGAGCATTTGCATTTGGATACAAAGCCACAGAAATAGCCCTTGGTGGATCAAAACATGCCATGATGGTGGTATGTTTTTCTTCAGAAAGTTTTAAAACCCTGTTCTTGTACAACTTCTCAGACTTTGGGTTTCTATGTGTTTAATTTATTGAAATATTTTCAAAAACAGAAATTCTGTTACTAATTCCAAAATAAGCATAAAAAGTTAAAAGGATTGGAAAAATATCCTCGATACCTATTTCTACATTTGACAATAAACTAGCTGCCTAAAGGTCTATGACTAAACTTTTGTCAAGCAATCTCTGAACTTTTAATCACTGTATAATGCAAATTACCATATACACTGTACTGTTATATATTTTTTATTTCAGCAAATGGTTATAGGACTTATCTTTGGTACAATAGTTTTTTTTGCTGACTTGTATTTCCTTGTGAAGGAACATTCCAAATACTGACAGCACCTTATCATCAACAAAAGAACACATTTAAAGGGATCAGCCAAGGACATCAGTAAAGGATCTATTAAGGACATCAGTACAGGATCTCTTAAGGACATTAGGACAGGATCTCTTAAGGCCGTCAGTAAAGGATCTCTTAAGGACGTCAGTACAGGATCTCTTAAGGATGTCAGTACAGGATCTCTTAAGGACATCAGTACAGGATCTCTTAAGGACGTCAGTACAGGATCTCTTAGGGACGTCAGTAAAGGATCTCTTAAGGACGGCAGTACAGGATCTCTTAAGGACGTCAGTACAGGATCTCTTAAGGACATCAGGACAGGATCTCTTAAGGATGTCAGTACAGGATCTCTTAAGGACGTCAGTACATGATCTCTTAAGGACGTTGGTACAGGATCTCCTAAGGACAGTACAGCGATTTCATGAAAATAACAGTATGAGGATCTCCTGAGGATGACAATGCAAGTGTATTCTTCAGATGTCACTACAGGAATGTCCTTAGTCAATACAGTGATTTCTTGAGGACGACAGAGGAGAGATCAGCTCAGGATGTCTGTAGAGGGATGTCTTCAGGATGACGACAGGGATTTTCTGAAGACATCCGTACAGAGTTCTCTTGCAAATGTCAGTACTTCTGAAGATGTCAATACAGAGATCTCTTGAGGATAAAAGTACAGAGTTGTCCTGATGATGCCTGGACAGCAATCTCCTTAAGACGTTGATATAATCCTTCTGAGCTTTTCAATACAGTGATGTCCTTTGGACTTCAACAGGCTTTTGTCCGTGCTACATATGTCAAATTATACATCTCTGTGTAGAATCCATCCTCAATCAAGGGCACTGCTCACTATCGTTCTCTGTACCCCAGGAACAAATAGAAGTTTTCACTTGAAACACCTTGTGTATAAGACAAGAAGAAAAGTTTGATCTCTTGATGTACATCAAACGAATATGACAGTCACATGACAGTACAATTGTAGGCTGTACTAGCTTTGAAGTTGGGTGTCACCCATTTGTAATCTTCAAAGAAGCTATTAACCTTTGATAGGTAATTTTTTCCTTCTAAAACCCACTTTAGACCAATCAGATTACTTTGCATGTTCCTTCAGTTTTGCCAGGAAATGTTCCAGGGATGGACAGAGCAAAAGTGATTGTTACCCCTTGAGTATCCAGGATGTATGGAATCATGATCAAATGTATATAAGATGATAATAAGTGTAATTAATTCTTTGTGGAACAATATGGGTAAATCAGCAATACACATTAGCAATTATGCTAGATAGAGAGAATATGAGAACGGAAGATGTAAGATAGAAAATGAGTTGGAGTGAAAGAGAAGAAGTGGAAAATGACAAAATGGAAAATGAGTAAGAATCAGATGTGAAAATGAAAACACAGTCTGATATAGAACAATATCAGTCAAAAAAGTAAAAGACAGCTAGTTAAAAAAAAGATATGTTTGAAGTAAACAGACCATCTATCATAACCTTTATAAATGTACTTCTCCTCTAGCCATGTTCTCTACAAGGGATGTCCTTCTCTGTAGACTAGGAAGACTAAAAACCTACTTATTATTATAAAGTCTTCCTCATTTATGTAAATGCCTTAAGAAATGTCAGTTTTCTGTAGACTTCAGGTCCTACTTTAAACATGCAACACACTCATCCCCACCCAACTCCCCTCCACACCTTTCCATTTACGTATAGTCACCCATCCCACACTTTTCATACCATTTTAGACAAGATCCTCCCTTTAAAGTTACCCCTCCTTTAGGTATGATCCCACATTACTGAATATCTTGCCTAAGCATTTTCACATCTTTGTGAATGCCCTCCTTCCACCTCTCTAAATGCCCTCCTTCCACCTCTGTGAATGCCCTCCTCCCTTCTAGGTCATTGGCTTTCATCTTGCTCTGTGAAAGCTCTCCTCCTGGTCTAGGTTACAGTCCTTTCCCGACCTTTGAAGCTGCCAATTTTCCTCTAGGTTCTCCTCTTTACTAGCCCAGTAAGTATGCACTCCATGAACCTTTGACAAGAAAAGATGCTAGGTTCTAGGCCTCATTCCACTTCAGTGGCTGTCCTCTCCCCTTTTCAGGTTACTTATAATTACTTTAATGATATAGCACCATCTAGATCGGAGGAGATGACAAGGTAGTGACCATGGCGTTGTTGACTGTTTTTAGATGTATACATATTTTGTAAAATGTTGTTAATTTATTTGATTTCTACAATGTTGTTAAATTTCATGTTTATTAATAAACCAATCATGCAATCACATTCATTTGGCTTTGTGTAAATATTTTTCACCAACAGGAACACTTAGATTCAGCAATTCGGCAATCGTTTATTGATTAATGAATGCTTTACTTACACTGTAAACCAAATAACTTCAAGGAATATTGGAAAAAACACCAAAGTGTATTTCATCCGAAACTACAAAACTGTATACTTGTTATTTTTTCGGAACTAGTATGTCGGGTATTGGGGGCGGTGTTCCCTGCTGGTGCCACCTGTTCACAGGGATGACATTAGCTTCAGCAATAAATATGAGCTAATCTTTATCAATGTCATCTGTGTTTACAAGCATGTAATATGTGCTTTCTTGTATTCACTTCATTTACTGACGGTAACGTAGTTATTGAGTATATAATTTCTCACTCTAATAAATGACCAAAATACAGCCAAATTGAATTCTTGCTGAAATTACCAAATTTACTGTACTTCTTTGAAATTATAACGACTTTCAGCTTGTGGTAACCCACAAGAATACTGTTTAAACTTATATTGTAATATTTTGACGATTAATTTTCCAAGACAAAAGAATTTTCGAACCCAACAAGACGTAGTTGAAGGTGCCAATTTTTATAGTGGCATTCACCTAAACCTTTTGAATCGTGTACTGGTGTTAAAGGGATTTTATCTAATCGTGACTAACACACCACCACTTTTACAAGAGTTTATGACATCTTCGGAGTTAAGTTTTAAAATGGTAAAAAAAAATGCTTCACTATTTTCACTGGTTTTCAAAAATACCACGTGCATTCACTTCGATGAATCGTTGTATATTGAATTTGAAAAAGGTTATTATTTAATACTTGTAAAAAAGAATTAAATTGGTACATCTGGATACCCAAAAATATCAACAGGACCTCGGGGATTTAAGCAACGTTACCACCATTGTTCAATCGGGTTTTGTAAAATAAGAATACAAACAGGACCCCGTGCCTTGGTGATTCCACATCCATGGTCATTCTGCGTGTCACGTTGCTTTTCGACAAACTTTGAAATGTCATTTTATATACACATTGATACTGGATCAACTTTAAAACGTCTCGTCAATTTATGTTGAAATTCAATAAAACGGCTATAGATTCAATTAGAGAAAGGTTATTCGTCTATCACTTCTCATATTCTATAATACAAAATTCAAAGCTAACTTTAAGCCCGAGCAATGTCGAGAAAACTCCGTCACACCGCATGTCTGCAAACCTGAAGGACGCATATCTACATTGTATATTTATATCTGTAACTGATACTTTCACGAAACGTACATCACGGATTTATATATATCTAAGCCCATGCGTACTTCGATCAGCATCTAATCGTTTGGAAATATTGGTCTACAACTAAACTCCACGAAACATTTATCTATACTATACATACTATACCTCCCTTGACACTGCCTAACTTTGTGTCTTTAGTCGAATGTTCACCCGTATCAGGAAGGCTTTGGGTTCAATTACAGAAGTACGATTTGCTATTATACGGTCATGGGTTGATCAACAGGCACCAATAAAAGAAAGAATATGTCTCTAAAGATCGAAAAAAAAAATTTTAAACAGAAAAAAACGGAACCTTTTGTTTTACATAAAAATTATTTTAATGTTAAACTTCATGTTTAAATTATGAATCAGGCGGTGTTAAATCAAGTTGGACGCTTTGAAATTATTAATTATTGCTGATGATTAACGTAAGATATTATACAATCACCGTTAAATATCTCTGAGGTTTATATAAAACCCGAAGACGTTGTAATTATGATGTTATATGACTACAATGCGTACGTTAAAAAGATGCAGCACATGTTGCAGCAATGTTATATCCATCTATTCGATGATGAAATATAAATCGTGAAAAATGTACATCTTAAAAATCACATTAATACAGAAAAACCATAACCTTATTCGTGATATCTATTGGGTTCCTTTTTGCTTCATGATTTATTTTAAGAATTTGTTGCGTTTTACATCCTATGAGTTTGCGCCATTTATTCCGTGAATTATGACGTTATTGCGTAACACGTCATAATACTCGGTTGTAATGGCGGCACCAGGTAAACAAGATGATCTCCGCCTCGAATATTTAGAAGAGGACGACGTCTTTATTAACAGCTGGAAAAACCTACCTGACGTTCTAGTAATACAAATATATGGCTACCTTAATGACGAGGCCAGACTACACATGGCATGTGTCTGCAGACGGTGGAGGGACCTGTTTTACACGCCGTCCTTATGGCGACGCAGACGGGTACATTTCACGGGGTTGAAGGCGGAAAACAGGGCGAAGCGTGAATGCCAGTACATCAGTACCATGGGCAAGCACCTAAAGACACTTAAACTTTCATTCGGAAAACCAACATTTAGATCGGTCAAGGTCATTGCGCTAGCAACTGAAACTTATCTAAAACATCTGATTTACGACTCAAAATTACGACTTACCAAGTTTGTGTTGCATCACATGGATATGGAACATTCTTGGCACTTCTGGATATCTCGAAATAAAGTTATAGGGACTTTATGTAGATTGTTCAGACGACTTCGGTATCTGGAAACCGTCAGTGTCGTTTCCTGTAGGCTGTCGTTACACGAAGGATGTCGTTTACTGGAATCGCTTGGTCGTGGATACGCTGGGAAGACGCTGAAAGTGTTATCTGCAGACGATTTGTTTCACACAAGTGTTTTGCCTATACGTCACACACGGTATGTAAGTACGTTGTCCAAATTTTCCGGTCTGACGCAGATCTACGTGAACTACGGATCAATCAATTCCGATATTTTGGACTTATTTGCCGAAAATCTAGGCAATATATTACAGAAAATAACGCTTTCAATAGAGAGGAATGTAAGTCATATTGTTATCCCGTCTGAGGTGTGGAAAAACTTTACCGAACATTGTCCATATGCTGTGGTCATTGCCTACATATACGTAACGGGACAACGCTATGACCCTACCGCACCGCTAGTAAAGGGAGTTCCAGTCAAAGAATTGTATGTCGTGTCGTGGGCGTTGATTGCGACGCATGATAACATGCAAGGACAGATTCCACTTCTGCTACGACACATCGGACGGACGTATTCAAATACTCTAGGTGGGTATGAATGAAGCGTTCAATGGATAGTACACATTTCAAACATTTTCATCTGATAATGAGGAGAAAGAGATATATTTTGTTAGAGACGACATGTGCTATTTGAAAGACGGTGCACAGTTCAATTACTTAAAGAAAAAAGAATGAAAATGAAACAAGGGTGTAAAACGGCTGTAATACAAAATTGCAAATGCCTGGGTACGTGTAAATCGAAAGAGGTTTTGGGGTAATTAGATTGAGTGTTCCGGAAAGCACAACCGGACTTTGCTTTTAGATAATATTAAGTAATGTTATGTCCATTCATATGCATCCGAGGAATCACCATGAAAACACCATGCACAAACACAATAATTATAGAGGATCAATCATATCGAGCTTGAAGGAAAACATCGAGAGATATATCCGGCCTTGCCAGTCGTCCAGCGTGATTTCGACTGAGAACGAGATAAGCAGGTCAAAACATGAACAGTGTCTACCCAGAGTTGTTGTTCGTTACAATGGGCTATTCGTATGTTAGAAATATAGTTTTAAGAAACGCGACAAGTTAGTTTTATTCAAATAATGAAATATATTTCATTGAGATATTTAATATTTTGATGAGATATTATAAAAGGTATGTACTGAAATAGACATATATTTAAAACAAAAGAAAGAAATATCATTTTAACGTAATCAAAATGTATTACATAATTTGGGGTAACACAATGATGATAGAAAGTATCACCTCTGTGTAATGTAGACAAAGTTGTTTTAAAGCGATAGTCTTTGAAATAAATTTATATGAAAAATTACTCACGGTGTTTGAAACGACAACAGGACAATTATACAGGAAATTTATTTTCCCAGAACACCTAACCCTTCAGCTGGACCAAAACCCAACAATAGACAGAGACTTGCTATAGGTATTGACCACGTGCCGGAAGATGAGACATATACATCTATGCTGTCACCTGGCTGTTCCAACTATCGACAAGATACGCCTGCTGTTGGTACAAAACATCATCCGTAAGTGTTGATTTGAATAAATGTAGCGTAGCATGAGTAATAATTTGTTGTCATTATTGTGAATTGTCCTGAATTACGGTGATGATAAGTAAGTGATTTCTACGGTCGTCGGAGATTCGTTCTGTGCGTTTTTTTTAGATTGCACGGTCAGAATCTTCAAATGAAGTGAACGTAATTATTTTTTACGATCTATACTTGACGAAAGTGAAGTCTAAAATGCGAAGTAGTATAAATGGAGATATCAGAAAAAGTAATTATGAAGAAAGAAAAGATCTGATTTCAGACTTCAGCACGTCCTACGAAAGCAATCAGCAGAGATTGCATTGTTACGACTAACCGTAGGGGATAGCATTAGTCTGTATGTCAACAATTTACTCCAAAATACTGTTGTTTTCGGAAGTAAACATTTATGTGCGACTGATTGATACCGACACATAAGTTTTTCACCTCCGTTTCAGATTTTCACTCTATGACATTGAACATACACGGACTGAACGAACAAGAATGGTATCAACTGCGACAGATCCAACGATCTCTTGTCGACGCTATCAATGGAAGGTGTTGACATCGTGTTAAACATGTGTTGTCATCGACGGAGCCTTGGTAACAAAACCAAAGTCCACATTCTTGTTTTATATGTATGGAAATAAATAACATTTGCATGCAGTGTTGTGTTTCAATTATTGTCTCTGGTCGTGCGAATGACACCCATGTTTAGGGTCAAAAGGGTTATCGATGTTAATTTCTAAAAGGTTAAAGTTCAATCGATCAACTTGTCTAACAGCTGTCCCGATACTAGTATTTTACCAGCGCCTTGTTTCACTTGGATCATACAACAAGCGATTACTACGTTGCGCATCAAACATTGTATCAAAATAAGTAAAGCTTATGGAATTATCAAGAATTATGAAACTTGGAATGAGAACTTTATACACACATATGTAGATTCATGAAAACGGGAAACGGCACTGTAGTCACAAATTACGATATACAATGTACTGGTATTTTTAGCTGTCTTTAAAAAAATCCGATGTCGCAAGGTTGGTCATGTCTCAATTACCGAAATTTAAAGGTTTGTTTTAGAGAAAAATGTATGTAAGTAATTATTATGTCTTGTAGCTATAAAGCGAGTGGTTATAATTACTGTTTACGTCAACAAAGCTGTGGAAGTGAGTTGGCATACATGATGTATTTCAATACTAATTTTTCCCTGTGGTCTCTTCTTCTGCCGAGAGTTATTTCCCTTACTTCAATCCTTGAGGCACGACCTAGTTTCTACTCCTGCGTGTCAGGTAAAAACTCTCGTGTTTACTAACACGTAGCCCAGCAAATTGTTTAGGATTGTATTCTGTTTTAGTGTTAGTTCAGCAATATCTATAGTTGAACACATGCCTACTACACGATACTGTATTGTCGATATCAGACATTGTTTAAGCTTATGGAGAAGACGTGCTATCTGACATTCTAAAGAATATCACGGCTTACTGGTTTTGTCAAGCTTGATAAAAATAACTCAGACTGTCGAGTGTCGCCTGGTACATGTAATCTAAAACACAAATAGTTGACATGGATGATCTACTCCGTATTTCACCCGAGATCATAATTTAGTAAATTCAGTGTGTGTAATACATGTAATTATTTAAGTGTAATCCAATACATTCAACTCGGTAATGTACGGAAGCGTATTCCGGCCACTTTGTGTTTTATTTTAACTCGAAATTTCGATCATTTCGAGTAAGTAATCCGAAATTTCGAGTTAGTAATGCAAAATTTTGAGCTATTAATCCGAAACTTTAAGTAAATTTCAGTGTGTGTAATACATGTTTCGCGTTGCTAATTTCGAATCAAAATCTCGCGTTGCTAAAATTTCAATTAAAAATTCGAAATTTCGAGATAAAATAAAACAAAACGTGGCCGGAATACGCTTCCGTAGTAATGCTATTTGCTCGAGATATTTACATAACTCATTTATCGATTCTTGAATAACTTCCTTGATTAGAAATACGCGATATCGTATCGGCTTTTGTCCCTTTATTAAGGCGAAATATTTATAATCCCTTTTACGAGTTGATAAATAGTATATAGTATACGGAAAAGTAGCACACTTACAATTGATGATACAGGACACGATATAAAGTTTTACAGAATTCGTCTGTAAATGTTTTATACATCTAAGAGATCAAATACACATTATCACAAATTTTGTACGATGTCCGAAAATTAACGACAATTATTTATTAAATACGAGTGTTTCCCATTGGTATTGCTTGACTGACACGACGGTTGTCACGAGCAAAACATTGCTATAAAAATTTGTACCACTGTGATTGGGTGCTGTTTTACTTCTTAATTCTGCGGAAGTGACCACACTAAAACGATTAGGGATATCAGTAATTTCATCAATCGGTGATAGCATTTATTCATTATGGTGGTGACTATATTCAGACATTTTGGGTGATATCGCCACAATAAATAGGTGATATCAATAAATTATTTGGAGATATCATTAATTCATTATGGTAACATCACTTGGAGAAGTGGTATAAAAAGTAACATGGCACCCAAACACTGTATCGTTGTGTATTATATAATATAGCCAGGTACCAAACATGTCGGACGATGTGAAACATACCGGCGGATGTCATTGTGGAGCCGTCAGATTTGAAGTAATGGCACCAAGGAAAATTCACGTATACGATTGCAAGTATGACTGAAAATATTTCTGGTTTATTATTATTATTATTGAATATGTATTAAAGCGCTCTTGAGAATTTTAATATCAAACAAACCCCTGAATTGTAATAATGATAAAAATTGACTCCGTATTGGTTTTTCCCTAGAGACTTGTAACTTGATATCTAAGATAAAAAATTGTTGAAGAATGATAAAAAAAATCAGCCAAGGGTATTTGTTACTTGGAGTTTTATTATCTCTTATCTAGCTGTTCCATCTGTGCTAAGAAACAGAACAAACATTTCATTGTTCCGGAGTCGAAATTTAAACTTCTCCAGGTAAGTTATTCTTTGTCTTACAGGTATGATATATCATATATTGTCCCATACATAGAATTATCTCACAAAAATGGTGCCTTGTCCACGGAGTCGATGTTCGGTCCTATACTACTGATGTTTGCCAGTTCATTTTTACAATACATTCTTTGCATATTTTGGCAAAGAAACGACAAATATCATAGCGATGGCTCCGAGTGATATTTGTAGGTATTTATAGGGTTAAGAAATCGTCCAATTATTGTCTGCCAACTCATGTATTCAGAGAAATTATAGCTAAGGAGAAATAGCTGTATTGAGGTTAAGGGTTTGGTATAGACGTCAAACACAATTTCGCTATCAAGTAGTTCACTTCTCTTGTAACTGAAATAAAAACATAATGATGTACAGCACCATAAAAAATTTGTATCATGTATGGAAAGTCCGGTTTTATTTTTGTCTTGGTCGCGGACAATACCAAGACAAAAATGAAATTGTCAGTAGTCTGAACCCTTCGGATTAGGTATGACTATATGCCCAACAAAGGTAAACGCCTATTTACCAAGAACATTGGCAATACATAATAGCTCGTTTTGGTATATATTTGTATATGTCAAATGTAAATTGTATTGTATTGTTTATAGGGTGCCGAGAGTATAACAACGTACACATTCAACACTCACAAAGCCAAACATATGTTTTGCAAAGTGTGCGGAGTCCAGAGCTTCTACAAACCCCGATCCAATCCGGACGGGTACGGTACGTCAATAACAAAAATCATGTCACACGGGTAACAAATCTAAATCTCGCGTATAGTAATATCTGGTAATCAGTCAGTGATGTATTTTGTCAGTGATGTATTTTGTCAGTAACACGATCACTATCGAACGACTTCAAAGTAAATATTGGACGGTTGTGTTGTTTACATATAGAATTATAAAATTGTGATATTGTTTTATCCATTAATCAGGAGTGTGTCCACACTGTATAGATGATGGTACAATAGAGGACATGGTCGTGGAGACGTTTGATGGTCAGAATTGGGAGTCGCATATCGGCACCACGGACATCAAGAAATGGTCGAAGGAGTCAAACGCATCGAACCAGTAGAATCAGTTCAGACACCATTATATCATACATTCATAGCCATATTGTACAAAGTTGTAATACAGATTTAAAGTTTTCCTAGTCCTCATGTCATTTTTTCAATACCAGTGGGATATGCACAGGTGCCCATATACTCGTATTAAGGAGTGTATTGACAGACGGCGCTGGTAATTGTTGCATATATATGTAATGTTGTAATTCTTGGACTTTTTACCTCTGTCGATTAGAAATGTAAATAAGCAGGTACATACACGAGCCATTTGTATCTTTAAAAGAAATATATCTATTTGAAAGTTCTTGTAGCTACATTTGAGCATGCCTAAAAACAACAAGATAATACCAACATGACAATGTAAACGACTTTCCAACCGTTTTTAGCTCACCTCGCGGGAAGGGCCAAGTAAGCTGATTGCATACCGCAGCGTCCGTCATTTTTCCCTCTATTAATCCCTCGGCTAGTTATGAAAGACTGAGTGGATATTGATCAACTTTAGTTAGAAGCATCCTTGGGGAGGTCGAACATATAAATGGTAAATCTCAGCCTTGAAGCTCGGGGCCAAAATGGGGGAATTAAAAAAAAACTTCTTCTCCCGTAGAAGTGACTGAATTTTGCCCAAATTTAGTATGAAACATTCTTTGGTAAAGGGAATCAGTTTTGTATTAACGGTGGGTCTTTGCCTCCTGGGACGGGAGGGACGATGCCCTTCCTATATCGATATGCGATAAAAAAAAATCATGTTCGTTCTTCTCCTGTTAAATGGTCCAAAGATCCGATCACTTTGGCAGAGACCACGGTCTGTCAAGGCTAGGAATTCTGAGCGGCCTAACGATATTCCCGGTAGATAGTGTTGTCCCAAATGAATGTGGCAGCAGTAAGTGATATTTCTCTTAATAAATCAAATAATGAACGTTGTAATCGTGTGATATCCCTCCGAAAGCAGTCATAGTCAGTCCCACCAAGGACGAAGTCCCGTGAAACGCTGATGGACACGCAATAAGTTCGAATGGTAGTAGCACTTAAGACTAGTTCAATATAATATTTTATCCTGCAACTGTCAGTGACATTGTCGGAATACACCTGCCACATGTATTTTTGAAGTGACGGATAACATCTGTAGTTTAGCACGTGCGGTAATTCGACAGAATTACTCTCTGAATTAACTTAAATATAACATTTAGAAATATGAATAGTTATTGAAATGAGTGATTTTACATGTTGCGATGAGCTAGTTGATTTATGAAAATTCATAAATTCGCTGTTACATCCGATGTTTGGAATTATGTTTCCACGCAGCGGAATTATTTTGGCGTTCGTCATCGGGCAAAAGTAAACGTAACGTCTTTGTCATGTAAACACAGATCAACGACAAAAAGTTTCAATAGTCTAATTTTCTATCAAGGTTGCAGGATAAATAGCAAATAAATATAAGCTGTATTTTGGCGAGGATGAAGAAAGACAAAAGTGGCGAGTGACGTGACCCTTGTCAAATTCGCAAACGAAAAGACCCAGAGCATTTTACAATTATCAACAAATTAAGGTTAATATAACAAGCATAAAAAACCAACATAACTCGCATCAACTGTAGATCATGTTTTATTAAATTTACGATCATTATATACCCATTTTTGTACATAATATTTACACTGCATAACATATTATATTCTTTTGTACAATATATATTTACATCTGTGATTTAAAAATCCTCCCTAGATTTCTAATCATTTCCAGACTCCATACATCTTTACATGTTTTGGGATGCACACACCTCCTTGTACCAGAACGTGCTCAAATCTCTTAGATAATTTACTTTCACACAAAATAACTATTATAACTCTCATACATTTAAATGTTTCAACACACTCGAAACTCTCCAACACACTTTTGTGGTAAATCATGACTCTCATGTCTTCTTGATCCAATCAAACACATCATTTATTTGTGTACAGAAAACGATATTGGAATATGATCAATAAATTTGAAAAATATTAAATTTTAATTATACAATACACTTACACGAAGATGTATCAGTGCTACTTCAAAGTTGATATACCTGTGATGCAAAATTTTATAATTTTAATAGGCTAGCACCATAATGCACTGACTTTAAGCTGTTTATTACATGCACGCATATTTTATTTTGAATGCAATACTTTAAAAAATTAAAACAAAAAGCTGTAACGTTTGGTACTTACTTTTGTTATTTAGTCCCAACAACAAGTTATAGTCAAAAATCATTATTTCGTAAACTTTGTTTCTCACAATGTTGTTATTTGCAATGTTAGCAATTCTTAATCCACAAATAAAAAGTAACAAAAAAAAATAAAATAAGCTTCTATAATAAATAAATAGATAAAGTAAAAGAGTTCTACACAAAATATTCTGTCTTAATAACACGAGACTGAATATTCTGTCTACATAACACAGAAGTTTTCCAATAATTTCTATAAAATCTAATGATTTAGAACATATACTTTTATTAAATGCACTTTTATTCAATAACATTAAAGCAATTCTATAAAGGTATAGAAACGATATGTTCAAAAATGATAAAATGTACATACCACAATACAAGACAGTCCAAAGGCAACGTGAACAAAAAGAAAACAGTTACAAAGAAATAGTCAAAAATGAGAAGAATGACATAATGACACCTCAAATATGAATGATGGTGAAATCAGACACACGATCCAATCATGAATTGAGCCAACAATTAGAACCAAATCGTGAACACTAAGTATTATGCAAGCAAGTTTTCTTGCTATTGAGGTTGGTGTTTGCTGGCTATACATTGTCCAGTGAACAGCCAGGCAATTTGGAAACGAGGCTTCCATGCAGTTGTTTGTGGCCATCTGGTTAAACGACCTGTGGGAAACCAGTGGCATGCTAACCACATCAAGAAGGGTTTACTGTTTTCACCAAGAACACTACCATGCCAGCACTAGATAGTTTGTAATTACAGATTCTTGACAAATACAAATTGCCCCGTGTGGTGATCAAAATATGAACTACAATTTATTCACTGAGTCACAATAACAAACCAAAGCGTGTTAACGGATACGTAGACAAATGAGACATTTTGGGGAAATACTCACCAATACTGGGCGATAGCGCTGTGAATCTAGATTCACTACAGTATAGATTGGCCACACATATTGTATATTTGAATGACAATAAATAAAATAAAAAAATAACATTGTTTCTTATTTACACAGGACAATGCTATAGAAGTCGCAGCCCTATTCTCCATTCCGATTCCATCAGGTATTTTATTTTGTATATGTATCCCTACCCCTGTGTATTTGAACATTCAGTAATACTGATTTAGATTTACATGCTATCATTTTTTCCTGGCACTTCACTAGGTCCCTGACATCCCCAAATAGTCCTAAAAAGACCAGACAGTCATTACAGATGAAACTAATTTGCATAAAAATATACAAGTTCCACCACAATCCCATTGAGTATTGCGATTTTACAAGCAATGAAGCAGCATTTAATGTCAAATGACAATCAATTATGATTTTTTTGTTTGTTTTGTAATCCAGAAACACTTCCTTACCCACAAGGTAATTACCATTAAATGATCAGAATTAATCACCTGTATAAACACTCGGGAGTTCTCCAATACAACACCAGGTAATGGAAGGATGGATGGGAGTTAACAAACACCTATTGTTATCCCCTATAGTATCAACTATGACGTCACTATAAACATTGTCCTTCAAACTCTTTAAGTGTTACAAATATTTAAGTTTATGTCCGTGTGAGGAATGTTACGAAGAAATTATAGATACAATCTATCATATTCAAAAGAAACCTCACAAATTAAAGTACGCCTTATCTGATGAAATCTCACAAATTGATAAATCTGACGAAATCTCACAAATTGATATATCCCTTATCTGACGCATTACTTCCTCGTATATGAGCATGAATCATTTTCGTTAAAGCATTTCATTATGTGTGTATTTTATTAAGAACGCCTTACCTATAACACTGTCTGTTTACCCCTTACAACAATTCATCATTATTCCATGGTCAATGCTTGTAAAATGTTTATCTACATTAATGCACTGCGTTTCGCTCCTCTTTCTCGCGAATGCACAAGTCAAATGAAACCTTTCACATCTACATGTACATACAAACTATTGTATTTTCTAATATACAAGAAATTTGACACAGAAAGTGTATGTTTACTTACTAAAGACTGCTTATCTAATTCTAGATAGCAGGATATCTTTGTTTACTTTGAGCTGACATTTAAAGACAACAATACACAAAGACACCGCGAGTCTGACAATGACATACAGCAAGTCTTTGTTAAAAGCTACTGAACCAAGCATACTGGGAAACAATCTACTACGGATATGTAGGTGAGTATATTGTTTTTTTTTCTTCAGCAACGAAATCAGACATTTCTTTTCCCAACATTCTAGGCAGCCTTTAGAAACTACATCAACAAATATTTCTCTGTTAAAACATCACATGAATCACATTCCTGTTTGATATTCATCTTTAAATTTACACAAAAAATGGCAGTCATACTTTTTAAAGGATATTTCAGCCAAAAGCACATTCAACACATTACCACGCCAATAGCATACAACTTTACCTACATCTGATGCCGAAACAGGAATGAAAACAACAGCACATATCATCCAATCATGCATCAAACTCACACATCATTTATTACATGTAGACCTTACAGTGGACACTTGTGGCTCTAAGTAACAAGTGCTAGAATACACCAAAGTTCCCTATTACTGCTTCTGACTTCCGAAATATTTCAAACATTAATTATGATAAAACAGTTCTACAGGCCCCGTCTTTACTTTAAAATTCAATCATATTTCCCCAATATAATCACGCTCATTTATCCCCAGTAATTTCCACCACTAGGTGATAATTTTTACGGGTAGTATAAAACTAATATGATATGGGTTTAATCAGTGTACAGAACATGAGTATATAATGACTAACTACTTTCCAATGAAGGTAAGCAAACCACAACAGATTTTCCTAAAACAAATATTCTCGGCCAAGGACTTTGACACAGACTTCTCATTATTTTCGAACAGTATGATTACCAGGTATATCACTGATGATGGTCTTGTCATGCAATCTGTGTCACATAACACCTTTTTAGGAAAGAATCTGATATGAAAACTAACTTAAAGGCAAAGAGGCTGAAACTTGAAACTTTGCTTCTGTCCTTGCTACTGCAGAAAAAAATCGTTAAAAATGTGATAACTATTTTATCTGTCATACATGTAAAATATCAATTCCAACAAAGTAACATCAAGCTGAAATTGAAAGTTTGTTTTAAAAAATTAAAATCTTTAAAGCACTATCTTGTGTTTGTCTTTATACAGGTAATGAACTATTTCTATCAAAAGAATATTAAAAGTTTGCATCTGGGACAGGTGCCCACAAAAAAGTACATTATGCTGATGTGCATCAGTTACTTTGTGTGATCACCACCTGTGTATCACATAATATTTATAACAGCAAATATACACAGATTTTACGATGAAAGACAAAGTTTAGTGCACAGCACATACTTTTGCTTTCTGCTCCTATCATTTGAAAGTCTTATATTGTTTAACTACACAGACTACTATATAGTGATAAAACATCTGTACTGCAAGTTATAAGTTATCAATACATCACACATCCCCATTATTTTACCATATATATTTACTACACAAGGATCAGACTCAACATCTAAGGCCTTGGTCCAACTACATCGTAGTTGGTTGAGTGTTGTGGAAAACCTCCCTTCATTTTTACATCTAAGCTGAATACTACAACTGATATTTACGTTTTACTCACTTTTCCTCCCAAGGTTAAAAAAAAAAAAAAAAAAAAAAGAATTTATCAATGTCATGGTAAAAAGAAAATGAATAAATGTTATTCTTCACTCAAATGGTTTTAAGTCACCGGAAATTTTCAAAAGATGTCCATTTTAAGAATTATTTAGAGACAGAACAATTTGTCAAATATATATGATTTAAATGAAATGATTCATATATACACCTGGTATCTTACATCTGTTTGAATAATGGAAACCATGCACACTGTTAACATGAAGATTTATATAAATTACTTATTAATTTTGAAAACATAATTCATTTCAATATAAAATCATAAATAAGGAAAAAAATAGAACTCTTCCTCCGATATTTACACCAACAACCATACAATATTCACATAGTACTATTGTACTGACAGAAACAGAAGACATCTCCAAATTGACTGTGAAACTTATCTCCCCACCCCTTGGCTGGGCTTTGTTCTGTACTGTAAACTAGTGGTTAGAAATGTATTAGGTATCGCACAGTTATACATATGATGTACTTAACATGTAAAAATACAAAAGTATGGTACTGTTATACGGCTAGATTACAATGTACAGAGATTTTACTTCTAACTAATACCTTGTTTAATGTGAAGAATTAACTCACTGTACCAGAGTCATATCTGCATAACCAAAAGATTCTTTTAAAAACACACACAAAAAAGGCCTAAAATTCATTTCATTAACATGCATTACATATTCACATATTCAGATAACATTTGAGGCTACAACTAAAAATAACTTTGATTGTTTAAACTTCTAGAACAAATTTTTACTATTCTAGGTAAAGCAATAAATACAAGGTTACTACAACACTTTTCCCGATTTCACCAGGTTGGTATAAAACCCATTTATGGTTGACATACAATATCAAGTGGGTAGGTGACTGCTGTTTGTGGAGTAGCTTTCACTTTTGTTGTCACAATTTGGAGATTTGGATTTTATTCATAATCGTTACTACTAACCGTATTCTCTAGTTCCGTGGGGCATAAAACTGGCTAGGATTTGTTAGTTTGTGAATAATGTATCAGTTGGTTTTTCTAGAGTTAGAATTTTTACTGTTTCACCAATGGTTTGAGAGGAAAAGGGGTGTATATAATAAAGAAATTATTACGTGGATTGTCATTATATTTCTTCATCTGATGAACAAGGTATCTAACATTTTCAAATCTATATCATTCTAGGAAACCGTGAAAAAAAGCCCTTCATCATTACATCCTTTTCAGTCTCCCAAACAATTACACATTCACAAATTGTCAGTAACGTAAATTTGCCATTAAAAGTTAATCCATGTGTCCTCTTCAAGTTCCTCACATCTGCTATCTCCTTGACTAATAACATGACCACATGGTCCACATGACCGAAACAGAAATATCTTCCATGGAACTTCAATTCACCATGGTAACAATCACTTAATGAAAAGCATACAGTAATAACACTATTGTACATGTAGCTATAACACTAGCTATGATTATAGTATCTCTTCTCTTACGTAGGTTTACTTTCTGCATCAACGAATTTATCAATGGAAAACGATCTGATTGTAGGTTAAGGCATCAATTATTACTCTGTCTGATGGAGTCTGATTACAGATATATCATGTACATGATTCTATAACCTTTAACACCTACAAAATATTTGTCGAATTTTATGTGTCCTGTTTATTTCATACATGAACAAAATTTTTTATTTACAGAAATTACATTACATACAACACCATTATCAACTGATAATTTCTATGAAGAACTTTATATAGCAAAAGAATCAATTATCTACAATGGTTTTAAGCACAAAACAAGATTTTTGAATATTAAAACGTTTCGTTCTTTCAATACCATGAATGCCATAAAAAATGTCTAGGTTTGCTTGTAAAAAGGATACTTGCTACTGAATTCATTCTTTGTGAAATACTTGACAACATTTTCTTCTGTGATTCCATATTGTCTTTTGTCATCATTGCTACACTGATTTGTTCATCTATCATCCTCTCTGAGCTGAAAAGTTAAAGAAATGATAAGTAGTATTACAATGTATTTCAGTTATTGTGATCTCGTTTATTTATTTATTCATTTATTTATTTTTTGTTCATCCATCATGATCTGAGCAAACGATGATAGACACGCTTCACTCCTTATATAAGTTTCAATACATAGTAATTTTATTTGAATAAATCATGGATATAAGTGGCTGTCTTAAGATTTAATATCATCATATTTTGTATAATTGAAACAGAAATATTTTCAAACCATGATACACAGAGAGAAAAAATATGGTACAGGAATCAAAACTTCTACTTACTTTCGTATGTGGTCATGCTCTTTGAGATATAATTCTGATCTTCTGTTCAAACCAGAGGAATTTTTATATGCACTGTAAATAGATGAAGATTTAACAATAAATGCTGGCAATGGATTCTGTAAGGATACTAGATTGAAGCAAAACCATTGTACTACATACTGAATAGATCTAAAATGATATACTTAAAATATATAAGAAGGCAAATAATTATTGGTAGTATGCTCTGTACACCTGTATAAAACATATTATCATCAACAATCAAACAGAGTTCACTTCTCAATCATTATGAACTTTATTTTACAACAATGGCCAAACATGCTATTATCTTGTAGCAATCACTAACTGACTAAGATTAAAGCAAGCAAGACCCCATGTACACATAGTCCAAATTACACTGATGTTTTAGTCACTTTTCATTTGCATCAGTCAGGATTAATGAACATTGACTCCAAACCAAATATGAAAAGGTTGATGGAATGTCAGAATAATTTGGACTAGATGCCATACTGTGGCAGGAAATAAACTGGGCTAGCCCTAGGGACCCACAGGGTCTGACAGTGACCCCTTTCCTTTCCACATGCCACTAGTCACCTAGATGAAAGGCAAGTATGTAACCATTGCCTCACCTAATCACACTGAATCATTAGACCGATGTTAAAAACTTTCAGCTGTTTAGAGCCAATGACTTTTCTTTGATACCTTGACCACACAATCATATTAAATGAGTATTTAACTAATTGTATCAGAAAAATACTAGTGTCCTATGAAATTTGGCAACAAGAACCATGATGATACTATTTCTCAGACCACCAGTTTTTAGAGAGTTACCTGATGTCCCTTTGTACAGATCCCATGAGGTCCTCACGTTCACGGATTGCTGTAATGTTGGCTTTGGTTTTCTGGAATTCATGTGTGTAGTCCTGCAGTATGTCTCTGTGTCGCTGTAGTGTATGTAATAGCGCTGCACTTGGTGAACTCATACTGATATTCTGTGTGTAATCTGCCATTCGGTCATTCACCTCTTGAAGCTTCACCATGAAATCATATATAAATTTTTTTAGAATTTCACAAAAACTGTATTTTCAACTAAGTCTTTAATTGATCGGAAGCTGTTATTTGAAACACCAATGACTATTGGTGAGATGAATACTAAAAATAGGCAAAAGTTATTATGTAGAAACTTATTTCTATCTTGTAATGCCATTCCTTAAACGCATCACATATGATGTGGAATAATACATTGTAAACACAAGCACATATATTTCAGCTATTATCTTATTTCACTTAAAGTGCTTTAAAGTTTTACAATCACAGCAATGTATATTAGTAGATATCAAATAATTATACAATATCAAATAAATAGTTAAAATGCCACTAGTTAGCAGTTATAGCAATATATAAAATATATAAAACTCTGTATATCTTACCTTAGATACCAGCTGTTCAATTTCCATTGCCATGGTTTCAAACATATGTTCACTACTTGTTTTATTGATTAGCGGTGCAGATTCACTGAAATGAAATAATAAATTATGATAAGATAAGTTAAGACAAGTATGATAAGTTTATTTCTGGTTCAGGACTTGTCTTAGTCCTCTATACCAGACTCATTACAATACAGTAGGAATACATGATAAAATACATATATCCGGTACTGGACTTGATATCTAATTCTGGATTGTTGCTTTATCATTAAAGAAAAGTTCTTGGTTTTTCCAGTGATCATCTTTTTTCTTGTAATATCAGAATTGATCAATGTATCAACAAATTGGGATTCAGTCAGCCATCTCTGAAGACCAACGATCTATTTCAAACCTAAGTGAGAACATTGTCGAGTCTTTTAAACAATGAGTTGGTTAATATTCTACCAGTTATTTACTGCCACCCTGATTGGCTTACACTGTTTATAGCTTAGTCTAGCTCTGTTCCCTGGTATTGGTTGACATTCCGTCTCCTGAATGAAATTTTGAATATCAGATGTATTTGATGAAACTGTTTCACAACTATTCCTTAATTTGTAATGAGGTTAGATAATAATGCTCTTTTAAACAATAGAGATGGGATAAAATATCTCTTGATACCAATCGCTGAAGTGAATTTTCTCACCGTAATTTGTTTCTACATTGTGAAAAACATCATATCAACCGAACATTTAAGGATTACGAGTCTGTAAGAACACATAAAAGGACAGCTAAAATGATATTTCCCGAAATATGAGATCTTAAATGACTTTTCATTCCATACAAGATTTAAATGAAATTAATCTTAGAAACTATTATTTTTGTAAGTCTTGGAAAATAAAAATTACAACTTCAGGACTAATTTTAAAATATATGTCTCGAAGAAAATGACAACAAATAACTTTTTATCACATGACAAGATTTAAAAGTCAAAATGAGGATGACAAAATCAAATGGAGGTGGCCATTTTATTGCATCTCTTTCAATTCATATCTTACGTCATTGTCCATATTACTAGTGTGACACCTTCAATAAGTTCATTCAGTACAATAGGGGAAACCTATTATAATTATGATTCAGAAATCTACAAAGCTTGATATCAAATCGACAAACCCGAAACATGCGCTGAATGCATACATCATTACATGCAGACAAGAACAAAAGCATAATATTGTTTGTATAAATGTCACAAAATCTTGAACAAACATGGCTTTTTTAATTCTTTGTATTCACATGCACCTGGAAAATTGCATAATTCATATAGAGAATATACTGATCGTTCCTAATATCACGACCTTATTGAAGTCGGATTGCTTTATCCTAGTTCCTCATCAAAGCAATATGCTTTTTAGTTATATTTACAGAGCACAGGGACTTGACACCAATTCCCAACCAACAATCCATATATATGAATTATAGTCAATACTATAATACTATGTAAAGATATGGTTAGGAATACGTGTCTAGTCCTTGTGTTACTGAATATGAAAACTATTTTTGGAGGTGTAATAAATGTACTTCCGACATTAAAATTGTCTGTGTATCAACCATCTATGGGATTTTTTAAACACAGAAATTATTCATGGTATTTTAATGAACATATTCATAAGTCAGAGATGTTAAATCTGGTTTTTCTGTCAGACAGATTTCACTAGGTATATTAAGTATATATTACATTATGTAAGGATTCTTAAAGGAAGGTGATTAATAGCTTGTTTACTATTTGCTATACCTGAGCAATGATACAGTGAATGATAAACAAATATTACGTACAGGTGTTTTTAATACATGTATGTCTTCAAAAGTTAAAAGGAAAGTGTATTTGATGTAGAATATTGTAACACCTTCGCAATATAAGTTACCACAATCAAGGCATCAATCTTTTTTACACCAGTTTATTATATACAAGAGGCCTCGCAGTCTTGATGGTCACCTGAGATAAGCAATATTGAATATCAATGTTAAAGGATAGTTATCAGGTATCATGAAACAGAAATTGTGACACTGAATATAGACAGTGTCAATACATGTATTCCATCAAAACTGTCATCCTATACTGATAATTCTTATAAATCGATTTTCAGTGGGAAATAACCAATGTTAAGCTCAAAAATGGAATTTGACCCTTTTTGGCCCCGCCCATCAGCCCCTTGGGGTCAATCAGGATTAAAATATGGGCGTACCAATAAGCTGTCATCCTTCGCTCATAATTCTAACCAAGTTTGAAATACTGTATTTCCAACGGAAATTAAACAAATTATGCTCAAAAATCTAGTTTTCCTATATGACTACAGTAAACTTTACCAACTTCCCACTGGGAAATGTGAGATCCTGGGGCCATGAAATTCACAATTTTGGTAAAGCACCATAAGTTGCTTCCATTCATGGAAGTATTTGAATCTACAATATCTGGGTATTGAGAAGAAGATTTTTGAAATAGGAGCCACATCTGACCTCTTTTGGCCCTGCCCAGCACACCCCAGGGGGATGGAAACTGTACAATTCATGCCAAGGAAGGTTTCTGCAAAATTTCAATGAAATCGAACCAGGGATTTTTGAGAAGAAGTAGAAAATGTTAAATTGTTTACGGATGCACTGCACACAACACCAGATGAAGGTGATTAGAATAGGTCACCATGAGACTCAGGTGACCTAAAAATCTCTAGACCATCAAGGTTATACGTGATTAACTTAGTGACAGCTTAAAACACCAATCTACATAGCTTTACCTCAGAAATCAAAGAGAAAAAAATAATCTATTTATATTGATATAATTAAAATCAACATTCATGAGAAATTCTCAAGAACATATTGTATGTTTGTATTAATATAAAAGGTGTTAAAATCAACTCTATGTCTATTTTAACAAATATTGTCAAACCAAAAGTAGGAAAATCCTTAACATGTCGTGATGCGAGATTGGCATTTACAATAAACATGTATACACCTTATTTAGACTACAAAGAGAGCCATTAAACGACTTAACACTTCCATCTAGCTCAGATACGACATCATAAAAGTGTGTAGCATGTGCAACATTGCATTTTACCTGTAAATTCCCCTAATACACATGTTCATTACAGTATGCAGAGTCACCCTGTACTTTTCTTGCGGCAGTCTTTCTGAACTTTGTATGACATTTGTTTCGTTTCTTATTGGGACCCACTCTTATAAATCTTTATTTTGATATCCCAGGAACATGTTTCTTTACAGGTACCACTCAGCTTAAAAATAAGTAGGGAGTGGAAATTTTCTAAGAAACTTTCTGAATCAAAATGATACGTATATTGGGGTTTTAAGGTACACCTAGATTTGGTATTATTTACATAAAGATAGTATATAAACACTGCCTTTATGAAGGTTCCATAAATCATATCAACACATTGGTTGGAATCAATTAAAATTTTCAAAATCATCATTTCAAAATTTCTGTAAGTTTACAAATGTTCAACTGAACTATCTGACAATTAAGTTCATTGATTATGAAAAAGAAAAACATGAGGCCTAAGGGGCCTGCATTGCTCATCTGACTAATGCAGCTATTCAGTCATTTAACAAAGAATTTCAAATACGACAAATAATTTCTGAAATAATTTCCCTAGTGGGTCCTGTCCTTGTGGTCAAACAGAAGTCAGATTCACCATTCCTAAAAATTGCTTCCAAGCCAAATCAAACAATATCTCTGTAGGGAAAGATTTTTAAGAACTCTCATTTCACTTATTGGGCCCCACATCTCTGGTGCCAGACCCCTGAATGATACTAAATGAGACTCCTTTCAATCAGGTATGCTTCAGCCAAAATCAGGAGTGGTTCTCCTACACCCAAGCATGCTTCAAACTAAACTGGAACTATATTCAGAAATTCATCTAGAAGGATTTTAAAGCATTTTCCGTACTTTTCTGCCTCTCTCACCCCTAGGTGACTGAAACCAACTTCTTAAACAGTTGATTACAATTCAGCATGTTTCAGACCAAAATGGGACAACATTCAAGCATTTATGCACTATATCAACATGAAATATATACTTTCGTCACATACAAATTTTGCCATTTGATGTCATAACTGGTTTCCACAATGTCTTATCTTTGTCACTGAATATCTCCAAGGACTAAATTATCATGTTTTCCTCAAAATACCCAAGTTCAATGTATGCTATGCAATCTACTGATGATATAAGCAAAAATCACACCCTGCCAAAAAGAAATTGGGTATTTTCTTTGTCCTTTCAACATTTCACATATATCTGTAACTGCTCTCAATTACATTACATTTTCTTTATCTTTTAACTTCCAACACCACATTTTGACACCAACATAAAACAAAACAGTAACTGACTGGAGGCAAGCAAAGATAATATTAAGGTCTGATGTTTCTTCACTGTATATGGAAAGACCATGAAGACATTCCCTGGTAACAGAAATCCTACCTCTGAGTCTGAGTTCCTTCACCAGGCACGCTTGTCAAATAACAAACAGAGTATTTAACCTACATTTATGTAATTACTAGTATGACACATCTTATATTTTACCTTGCATGCTTTTTTTCTGGTGTGTGTTTTCTCTATTATCTTATTCTTCCCTCAATGACTCATTAAAATTAATGTCAATCATTTTCTTACCTCTTATTGATTAAAGAAATAAACAAAATGAACTAATTCAATTATTTCAGGTTTAATACAAAGTTTAAGTGAAGTAAGAAAATCTAACATTAGTTTATATATCAGCCAAAAAACCACAAATCATTAATATAAAAAAAAATGTAAATCTATTGACTTTATATATATTCATTCTATTAGATCTAAACGTTGCTAATAGATATGTCATAAATTCAACCGTGATAAAAAATCCAAACACACACATTGGCATTGATTAAATATATCTTCTCAGTGACAAAGTACAACCTTATGACAACATTTCACATTTTTCAATAAAGACATTTAATTAACCATTAATAATAAAAAAATATTTTTCTTTTTTCTGGGGAGAAGCTGTACTTTCAGTTTTATGTCTGTTTCATGGATTTTATCAATTACAATGTATTTCGATGTGTTCAATTTAATAAGTCAAATGTTTTCTACTTGTTGACTTAAGATATAGTTAGTAGCTCTCTATCAGTTTCAAATAATCATAACAGATCATAGTACATACCACAACTGTGAGAAAATTAAAAAGCAAATCGTATACAAACTTCTTGCAAGAATAATGCATGTAAAATTAACAAAGTATTCTGTTTCCTTAAATGGACAAGTAATGACAGGAAACAATTTTAATTTGCTCAGTATGTACCCTTACAGGTTTATCTAACTAGTAGATAAAAATTCTAAATTAGATTTACTAAAATTGCTTCCAAAGTCAACTTTAAAACAGTGAGAGCATTCTCATTATGCACAATCTTACTCCATATATTACAGTATATAAATATAAAACGATATAGTGCTTAACAAAATTACCTTCCAAATTCTTTGTGAGAAGAGTAATTAGTCCCTAATTTGCTGAATGAAACTAATTTCAAATCAATTTCATTTTCCAATTGCCGAGCCTGCTTACGAAGATCTGCAATAAAAACATAAAAATGTACATGTAGAACAGGAACACAATGGGTAACAAATAACAATTTTTAGTTATTTGTTCATCTTTTTGAAAATCAATGAAGTTAAATCTTTGAGATGAATAGGTAATTATCTAACCTTTACAATATACACTATATGTATGACACTGTCTTATATGTATATTGTGTAGGCTGATGTCAGAAATAAACTACTGGAAATCAGTAGTCGGTTGTTGACGAGAAGAGATATTCTCAAACAATGAGATTTTTTTGGTCAAATATCCATTAATAACCAATTTGCTCAAATTATACAGAGATTTGTTATGGTGAACAAAAACATCTTATGTCTCCACTTCTGTGTAAATATGTATATTTGCTGCTTTAGTAGAAGGATGGGTATGCAAGAAATAAAACTTCTCTTCTCAATCATTAATTCAATTTGAAATTGAGTTATCGTTATTAGTTAATGTTTTTGTAGCTATCATATACAAGTGTTTATTGTACATACAATTACAGTATGCTTCTTCATCAGAATCAGGTAATAAATAGCACAATACTAAGAGACAGCAGAATATCAAATATCTATCACATTTTGTACATATTTGATGAACAGGTGTTTTGACATATCCTGTTTCAATAACCATGGATGTATCTACAGAAAATTGTATTTTTGCTGGAGTTCAACAAAGCTCCAAATTGGGTAATGCCTGGAATATATCTTTTGGCCTTTAACACTGAGATGAAGGTCATAGTGACTTAACAGCAGTGTACTGCACATCGGCATTAAGTGGTAAAGGCTTACACCAACTTTCAATAAGATTTCTTTAACAGTTTAAATGTTATCATTCAGACAAGCATTTATTGAAATATTCACACTTATTTGACCTTTGACTTTCAGGTCAAGGTCACAGTGGCCTAACAACAGTGCATTGCACATAGGCTTTAGGTGACAAAGGTGTAGAGCAACTTTCATGAAGATAAATTTAACTGTTTAAAAGTTATTGCCAAGACAGAAAATTATAAGAAGAACCAGAAGAAGAACCTGAACCAGAAGAACCAGTACTTAAACAATATGTCTCCTTCCCTTCAATTGATGGGGAATATAAAAGCTGGCCATTCCCATTTGATAATTAACAATGTATACATTTTCAACTTTCAGTTGAAATTAAATACCCAGTATCTCTAACACGACCAATGTATCAATTCATATCAATTTGTCAAAGGGAAAGAGAAAACTACATATACTTATTTAAACCAATTAATCAATCAATGCAATCAATGGTACATTCCATGTGTGTAATCAATCAATTTTATCCAGTCATCAGGACAACCAGGTATTGACTGATACTCATAAAATTTCTTATCTAATGATGTTTGTTTTATTTGGAAGCCTGTTGTAATGCCATTGTCTGTTTTAAAGAATCAATTTGCACTGATGATTTATATAGACGCAGTTCTGTATAAACTATAGAAGGTTCTTTGAAAGAACAGGGAAAACACATCCCTGACAAGTTTCCCGATAGGAATTGAACACGTCTCTGGCCTGACTATCTGTGGATCTCAGACCAGATTATCTGTGGATCTATCAACGAGAAGTGTACGTGTTTCATCCATATCTCATTGTTACACCAAATACCAACACCTCCTCCGTTCATATTGCATTATCCTAATCATGTTGATGGTACTCAAGAAATAGAATCTTATATTTGATCTCAGCTGGATGCTCGAGTAAAGATTTCACTCACATTCTATCATTTATTGTCAAGACATGTAGAATATAAACGTGACACTGTACATTCTCAAAGCAGTGTTTAGTTTTGTTTTCGTTATTTCTGCGTCAAATCTTGACGGTCAATGACATCAGTGAGGTGATAATTTGTTTTTATTTTGTTTAACGTTGAAAAAAACTACTAATTTATCGACATAAACAAACATCACGACATAAGAAACCTATGTAACCATTTATATCGCAATGGCGAGTCTTGATAATACTAAAAATCAAAATAAACTTTGTGACATAAGTGCGTACCTTCCCAAAAGTTCCCCATGTCGGCCATGTTAGTTCCACGGTGTCGGACTCTCGCGAGAACATTTCTGTAAAAATATCGTATTTAATTAGATACGATTTACCTCAGTGGTACATTTCTATCAAATTAATATTTGAAAATAATAATAGAAAGATAACATTTTCTTAGGAAATTATTTTTTTGTTATTATTTATAGGTGCATTCGATAGACGCTATATTCTAGCCATAACAGTTACCTCCCTTCTAGTTACCAAGTTATATAGTGTAAACATTACACCATCGTATGTCAATAACATTCTGATCATTTGTGTGTTCATGCTAGTTTTATTCGTTATAAATCGACGCAAAAGGCATTTGTGTGTACATATGCCTAGCCAGGATGATGTTATAAGTTTGATTTCACGTAAGTTAACATTATTCAATTAATTAACAATAATTCAGCGATTTCATAACATGCAGTACGCTGGCTTCGAACTACCTCTGTTACGGTACATATTCTTTGCTGGTTATAAACATTATTGGAAAGTTAAACATCAACTGATTCGAAACAAGAAATATCTAAAATAAGAGAGCGTATTATGTTGTACAGGTACACGTGGCATTTACTGACTTTGATCCTAATTGAAATGAATTTGAATAGCCCGAGATGAATTCCCTTTAGATTAGTCTCAAAATGTATACGAGATGTCTCCCTTAAATTGGTGGCAGAGACTAACAGATCGTCCAAGTCAATTATACATGTACTACCTACAAACGTGGATTCCTGTTTCATTGTTTTATATGACGGTGGTTGGAAACCCTCTGCTGTTGTTTCGCACAATATTGTTTTTGTTGTATACGCTCTCTTTAATGAAGTTTTTGAGTCTATAGTTTGAAGTTTTAAAGTACAAGTTTGATAGGTAGGCCTGTTTCAAGTACTGATTTGCGGGTAACCTGGCTCTGACCCCCAAGAACTTTGTAGAGATAGCCAGATAAGCCTGATATTCTACTGCCTGTTCTAAAGCGTTGTATTTCACTTCCCGTTTCACCGAAAGTATACTTGTAGTTATCTGTCACAAATCTCGCTTCAGTGCGTTGAATGCATTCCAGTCTGCTGTCAACACCGTTCTTGTATGGGAGCATCTCCATAACACTATCCTATGTAGTCTATCTAGGATATACTGTCACTATGGATACATGTATTTAGGCGGTGCGTGTTCCGTTTGAGATTGCCAGGTATAGAATTGACTTTATTCGCAAGGTTGTCGACATGAGGATCCCCTTTGAGTTCTTTTTTCTGTTTTTGTTTTTTGTTTTTGTTTTTGTTTTTTTAATATTATCACGCTCAGGTATATGTTCTGAATTATTGTAGGATTGTTATATCCAGTGTATAGAAACGACTGGTCTTTTCAACTTATGCTGAGGATGTAGTACTTTCTGCTGGGTGGTGAATATACTTATCAGTGATTTGTAGCTGTTTATCAACAAGGAATACGTGACTTCTGCGGGTTTATCACTTATTCGTCGTGTTCGTTTGTCTTTCAGAACAGATTGCTCCAATTCTGTCCTATTGCTTAGATTTAAAGCGCCAAAAGAGATTGGTGTTGCCCTGGTTTGTTTCTCTAGTCGATGCCTTCTCTTTAAGACTCTTGATAGGCTTGTTGATCAATGAAGGGAATTTTCGTGTTGGAGAACACGCGATATTCTCGCCATACTGTGAGCGATGGTTGCCCCTGAAGTGAGTCCAGACACCTTTGACGTTTGACATCCGAAGTCTTGATGATAAAGATGAAGGCTTCCTCGCAGTCCTTACTAAGTTGTTTCACGGACAGCTCGAGAAAACATCGACTTAATGTGGTTGGTAGTGAACACTAAGTCGAGCATGTTCTTTTTCTTGGCGGATGACTTCATGGACCTGGATTACATTGGTGGATGTTGTGTCGATCAGTGCATGTAGGACATTCCTGTCTTGTGCATTTGGACCAACAGTCTGACCACTCCAGAGTTTATCTGCACAGTGTAACAGCCTGTGTATGTAAAGAGATATCTAACTCGATGATGTCGACCATATTTCTAAGGTATATTAAAATTTACCGACGTGGACGTGTTCCTTTCAGCCCAGTCTGACATTTTAACCACATAGTCGAACAGTTTCAGACCATGTCTAATATCTGTTAGGAAGTAGTGTTATCCTTCTTGAGTGTAAAGTCTTAACACACGAGAGAGCTAATGTCATTTCCGAGGGCAATATGATGTGGTTTTGTGTATGAGATTTCCCAGGTTTTGTTTCACCAAGTCAAGACTCAAAACACACAATTCTGATTTTGTATAGAAACACTCCTACAGTTTAGAATGAGAATGGAAAGGCATTTTCTATCGTGTAGGTTGTAAACAGACTTACTTCGGAATTGAAACGAGTGCCATTTTATATGATACATGTGAAAAAAATCGAAATTTGTTGAGTACATGGAGTATGTGTATACCTTCTAGATCTTGACATTTTCCCGACCAACTTTGATTTTCCTCAGTCGCTTCATAGGCTTGTAGATTTAGGCAGTTGACAATTTGAGGGGTTCTAGAAGGACGAAATTGCTATATGATGCAGTTTACTTAAATATTTACTATCTAATTCTAAATTTTTATTTAAAGGTGCTTTAAACTTGCACGTGTATTGAATAACATTCAAATATTTATTATTGACTAGGCTTCGCAAGTGTGTTTTGTTTTCTCTATGCATGACTGCCTGTATTTAATAAACAAAAAACACATTTCGGATGCAAATATTTTATTATTGATGTGTATAACATTTTCCTTTAGCATAATGCATTATTTTATCTTGTAATAAAAAAGAAAACAGGAGAAAAATAAAGACAATTAATTGATAAATACCATATGTAACGTCATTTTAAAACAATCATACAAATTCTGGCCTCTGGGTACTGTCACATTAGAAATGAACGGGAACTTCATCAGTTACACGATAAAAGATGTTTACTGGCGTTGGTTTCGTTCCCAAAGTTATTTTAGACACGGCCACTACATGCTCCTTGCTGGTGTGTTTAAAAAACATGGCATCATAATTCAAATTCAAATTCCTTAAACCTAGGGCAAAATATGAACAAAAGAAAGATTGACACGGAGACTCCTGCAAAAAGTACAAGGAAAATAAGACCAGGTGTTTCGGAAGAGTGAGCGTCTTCTGCTTAATCGACGACACCAGCCATGTAAACAATGGTCAATTTAAGTAAGTAATGTCACGTTCTGAGATAAGAACAAGGTATACAAAGACGGAACCAACAGGTAAACTAACGAGCATCTAATACGTCCAGCTTCATGTCACACAATGAAATAGAATATTTCTCAATGAGATTACTATGGCGACCATAAATCTTCCCCTTAATATCATCAACTTGCATGCAAGTGTCCTTACATATATGTATGAGTCATAAATATTAAAATAAAGATAATATTAAGATATAGCGCGACGACTAGTGACACTAGTACAATAAATAATATTAGAGAATGGTAAGGTTTGACATTGACATCATCGTAGGTATAAGATAACAGACAGGTAACATATAAAATAATATGTTGAGGTTCAGATACGTGAAATACAAGTAAAAATCCTGACGCAATTTTTATAATCAACATCAATGCTTTCAATTATATACATGTAATTACCCCTAAAACTTAAGCTAACCATGCCGTTTCAAGGCCAGGTGCTTGTTTAGCTTATTTTGGAAATCAGATGGCTTTAAATCAATTCAATGTTTTGAATCCACAGGTTAGACTATGAAGAAGTGCATTTTGGAATACTAGCAATGGCTGAACATGTTATTAAGGAGCAATCGTCGAGATCTACCAGTGTCCGTAAACAAGATCAGGAAAACATCAAATCAGCATTGTTTAACGATGGAAGGGAAGAGTCTTCCATGGAGACTTCCGAGGATACTGAAGTTCCGGTATCCAATCTTCCAGAGATACCTATACGGGACATGCATCTCAACTTAGTAACGGAAAAGCAAATATCAGAGAAAACGTTTTTAAGTGCGGTACATAAAGGATTCAGCTGTCTGAGAGAGGATGACGCGCTATGTGACGTCACAATATTTGTTGAGGGAATGGAGTTCAAATGTCACAAAACGATTCTTGCAATCTTTTCGGAATATTTTCGGTCGATGTTTACCTCAGGAATGAAAGAGACTGACCAAAAAGAGATTTGGCTATCAGGTTTTAGAGGTACAACTATTCGGAAGATGATAATGTGTATTTACGAAGGCTTTAACGGATTCACCATCACCGACGCAAGAGAATTGCTAGAAGCTTCCGTTTTCTTCAGAATTGAATCTCTGAGACACATGTGTGAAATGATGCTTTCTTTAGCGTTAGACATTCTAAATGTAATTCCTCTCTGGAGAATTGCCAGACATTTCCCTGAGTATAATTCCCTTCGCAAAGCATGCGAAGAATACGTGTTGCATTCTTTCAGTTATCTAAATGAAGAAGATATAAGGGGCCTAGATAAAGAGGAACTGGTGTTTCTTATATCCAGCCCTAATCTCCATGTATCAAATGAAGACAAGGTTTATCAAGCTGCAAGGATATGGTTTGAGTATAACGGAGATATTCGTAAACAATATCTAGCTGAGATATTCCAACATATTAGACAGCCATTTTTATCAAAGAAGCTTTATTTTGACTTTAGAAATAACTTCCGTTTTTTCACAGAACATGCAATTCAACCTTTTGTTAAAGAAGCACTAAAATATGAAAGGCATCCAAGCACTCGTATGAACGAGATATCGGTCAGGACGACGCTTCGTCAGCACTACAGCTTCGAAAAGGTACTTTTAGTCATCGGATTCAAACAGACGTTCACATGTACAAATCCTAGTATGTGGGCTTGGCGCTTTGATTGTAAACAGTGGTACTCATTGATATCGTCCCCGTACAAACTAGGATATGATTTTGCCACTTGTCGTTATGGTGAAAGTGAAATTTACTTCAGTGGGGGCCAAGGCAGAAAGACTTTTCAGAAATTTGACGGATTGACCGATAAGATTTTGCCATGCACACAGATGAAGACGGCCCGAATGAGTCATTGTATGGTTTGTGTGAGCGACTCAATTTATGTTCTCGGTGGTAATGACTTCCAGTTTGATAGAGAAGACAGCATTCCAAAAGAAGAAGCACTGGAACGCGTTGAGACATGGAGACCAGGAGATAACACGTGGGGACAATGTGGCAACATCCTAACTCCGGTATTGTGTGCGGCGGCATGTGTTTCAGGAAGAATTATCTTCCTCTATGGCGGGTTTACAGACCAAGAGAAGAAGGAACCTTCAAACATGACACAGTTCTTTGACACAAAAACAAACACGGCAGGATACCTTTTAACACAGCTCCCGTTCAGGTATCAAAATTTGAATGCTGTGAATATTGGAAATGTGACCTATATTCTTGCAAAGAACTACATTTTTGTAAACAAAGACGAGTTAGAATATACAAAGATTAAATCAGTAAGGAACGAGGGTAGTTGCTATAGTGTTTTACAACCTTCTGCGTTGACAAACGACACGAAATATCTCTATATCATACAGGAATACTGCCCCCGATCGATACCATTCCAAATGGACAGAACGTGGGAATTGCAACGATTTAATATATCAAACAGACTGCTAGAGCGAGTTTCTGAGAAAATCCAATTTTTAAAATCATGTGAATCTACATATACATTAGTGGTGTCAAAGTCAATATTACAGGAAAAGTGCATTCTTTCACCCAATGCTAAAGGATTTTTGACCTGACATTAACGTTAACGTGCGATGCATGCGATATCGGCATAAAGACTGTTTTACAAATGAAAGGAATTTTATATTAGAAATCACAGTACAAAAACATTGGATCTGACATGAGTTTCTGTTGATTGAGAAAACAAGATTGTTTTCTTGTTATGTATTTTGGCGAGTCTAAAAACAAGATTGTTTTCTTGTTATGTATTTTGACAAGTCTAAAAACAAGATTGTTTTCTTGTTATGTATTTTGGCGAGTCTAAAAACAAAATTTCAAAGAGTTTCTATTTCTTATAAAATGGAAACGAATGTAAGATTAAGTTCATGATCCTTTTATGTAACTGCTGAAGTCATCTTCTCTCCATTATGTATGTTATCTGCAGAAAGAGTTAGGCATATGAAACTTCATTTGCTTGACGTAGAATACTTTCAGACTCACTATACTGAATACTTTATGTCCACATAATAAACATGGATAGTCTGGCAAATCAGATCTAGACTTTAAGTGTAATATATTTTTGTACTGCATGTCTATAATTGGCAACGTTCTGCAAACATTATAATGAATGAAAAAACAACATGTCAACATAATCATATTCCAAGCTCAAATTCAATAAAACTAAGGTGAAATACGAACAAAAATGTATTTTCACGGAGACCCCAGAAAAAGTGCAAGGATAAAGAGACTAGGTGTTCCGGAAGAGTAAGAGTCGTTTGAAGATATTAGTCATTCATATTCTAACAATGTCTAATTTGTATCCCGCAAAATGGTTGGACAATATGACTATGTCATGTACAGATTGTAGATTGCTCATTATCTTACCGTACGCAATTTGAATATTCTCTTATTCATTTCAATCTGTTCACTTTTCCTACAAGCTAACTATAAACATATTTCTTCATTCTGTAAAAATAATTCATAATTAAACTAACAACATTTGTTATATATATGTCCAAAGCGTTCCTTACTAAATTGTTCATCATATTTGCCATTTTTTGTAGTATAATTGATATTTCTGACCACACGGAATACTCTTGAACAGTTCCAATTGACATGTCAGATAATACAAGGCTCCATAGTTCATCTGTACAAATAATACTATTGACAATAGCATTCACTGTGGTATAAAATGTCATTTTTATTGTACGTTTTGAAACCCTTTAGCCAACATGAAAAGTGCCATTTTAGAGTACATGTATTTCCCGATGTAAGCACGTGACTGCTGTATAATGTTGACACATCCTTTATTTATGGTGTTCGTGACCATGATGTTCACGCGGATGGCGACACACTAATGTTGGAACCGTTGCATGATGAACGACATAGTCACTGACACTCCCCATCAATGTCCTGCGGACTTTTCCAATACCACGACATCCGGTAACAATCATTTGTGCGTTACACTCTTCCGCTGCCTGTATGATACCTCGACCGGGTTGTGCAGCGTGGATGCTTTGTACAGTTCCATCTACCTGTCAATGAGACAATAATGACATTTTTATCCGCAAATACTCACACGAACACAAGGAAAAATATCATTTTATTTCCTTGAGGTTACAAAGACACTAACTCCGCAAAATCAAATGACACTTTCTGGTGGACATAAGAAACAGTATGACCTATATTTGCAACTGTCAAAAGGACGTACTTCTGCATCTTTTAAGAGTTGTCCATATCCCTCCAATGTTTCTTTGAGTTTAGCTTTTTCTTCTTCCAGAATCTTATGAATGGTATCAGAATCATGAGCTGTAGAAAGAAAAGAGGAAAATATCGAAACAAATATGCAACAAATATATATGATAGGATGGTATGCATGCATGAATGCTGGCTTACTATCATCAATGTCACGATTTCTTTAAATGATGACAGTTTTGATGGTATCCATGTATTGACGCTTACTTACTATTATCAATGTCACAATTTCTTTTTCATGGCACTTGACAGCTTTTCACTCTTTAAACAATTATATTCAATATTGCTTATCTCGGGTAACCGTTAATGCCACCAGGCCTCATTTTTATTTTATAGAATTCCTAATCTTTTCCCGTGTGGGATTGTGTAATAGCCAAGAACAGAACGAGCCATAACATGCATGATCTAACGAGATAGACTACAGTGTTCTAAAGGTTGATTTATTTTTTTTAACATTTTGGAGAGGCTATCGTTACCAGCGTTTAGACGGTGTCATTCTAGTCAAGTAGCCCTGGACCTTGTCAGACCACACAGCCAGCAGGATGTCATGCCACCAAATTGCAAGCTCTAATATCTAAGTTTTGCGTAATTGTTTGGCGACACCTTTGTGTATCACTATTTGAATGATGATTCAGATTCAGAACCTAAACGTCAAAAACAAACATAATTCATGTTCTGTATAATGGTCGTCTTCTATCAAAACGTACTAGTTAGTGAAATATACCTTGTAGTCTTGTTAGCTATGGAAATTACTGTAGACCTGTATGAGCTATAACACGTGTCCGACATCTACTTCGCCCCACCGCAGTAACGTTATGGTTATTTGTTTACCAATATACTCAGCCTATTATTGCTACTCTGTTATAATAACTAATTTACTATATCTCCAAGGTAACGTCTCCTGACATCATAGGACTATTTCCATAACCGAGGATGGTTCCAATATATATTCTTATTGTAAATATCAAAGAAAACAAACACCTCAACACGCACGTTCATTATTTTATTTCTTGTTTTCTTCTATTTTTCGTCTAACACGTTATGTTTGAGTTAGTCAGAGTGTTATGCTATATTATAATTTTATGGCCATTATGAAATCTTTGTTTATTATGGCATTTCGGAGACTACTCTTTCGGATCGACTAATTAAATATTCGTACCTTCCGATACAAACTTTCCTATCATATTTTTCATTAATTGATATTAAATCTTTAACATTTGAAAAATGTTAGTGTATGGCTAATTAGAAAATTGGAAGCATTCCCACAAACATATAGGATATCGACATATACCGACTTACCTTTGTACCATTCAGTCTTGTGTAGGGACTCGGGCGAGCCTACCACATGAACCATCACTATGTTAAACTTTGGGCTATGGATCTGCTCCATGTAATCTATAGAGCAATGAAAACCACATGTCTTGTATAAATAGTAATGTTGTAAATACCATTGTCTCTAGTAAATGGTTTTCCGGAAAACTAGTGATTGATGTATTTCACTTCACATATAGTTCCAATTTGAAACAAAATTTTACAGATGGGTTCAATTTCCCTAATATCTCAGAAATGTTTATTCCCTGTGTTATATGTAGCATTTTTGAATGTCGAGTTGATGGTTCTAGAAAAATAAATCGTTTAAATATGTTTACAATATATCTAAAGCACTAGTTGAGACCAATAGTAGTTCCTCATCCTGATAGGCAATACTGTTGAGGTCCTCGAATATACAATGTGACTAAGGCATATCATTGAGATAAAAACATACATTATCATTGGAGTGATGATGCAAGATTTCTTATATCACCACTGCAATGACGATGTAAATGATGGTATGTTTTTTCCGGTTATGACATGACTCTCTTTCTTTTAACCAACGAGAGTGGTGTTTTCTAGTCATTGCATTCAAATAAATCGATTGTCCTGTTCGAACGCAGATTAAGCTAGGTTGAATAAGTTGATTTCCATCAAATATTCCCATGCAAAGGCGTCGTCGTTTTGTTAAGCGTAACATTAAAATATCTGAGAGCGCTCTAATCCTCATTCTCTTTTTTTTAATAACGCTTTATTTCATGTTTGGACCGGCTTTTTTTATTTGGGTTTCCATTAAAAATGTATCAAAAGAAAAAGTTGAAAGCTTTCCCGTTAAATGTGATATATATTTGCGCTCGCGAAAAAAAAACAGCCGTGGAATATATCTATGCTATTTAACAAGAACCCGTTTAAAATCCTCTGTATGATTAATTGCTATGACAGTCATATAAGCATTAAGTCGTTATAACGCAAAACATTTGACTATTGAAGATGAATATGTTAATTAGAACGCTTTCCTTACCAAAACACAAGCTAATTTTAGATATGAAATTATGTTGTTGACAGTGCATACACTTCAAGTAATGAACGTCTTATTTTATTTACAATGGCAGCAGGCATTTGTAAATGTATATAATTTTGTCAAAATATTCCCTTAATTTTGGTTATTTTCGGGACACAATAGTCAACAGAATCCATTGCAAATATTTCCCTTTTTTAAGAGTTACTTTCTTACTTAAGCCATATGTATTACAGCATGTTTTCACAGGTTCCGGCTAATGTTTACCAACGTACACGACAGGAAATTGAATATTTAGTAACACGTAACTGTACGACAATAACAGTGTCTGGATTTTCTAGAGGGTCCTTGTCTTTATTATGACGTACACCGTGATTTAGTAATCTATTTTGGCTGAGACATCGAGTTGTTTAGCACACCATCTACATTTTGTGTTAATGATACAGAAACTGGTCTTAACGTTTGACAGTCATGTGGCTATTACTGAATAAACAAAGTATAGCAAAGCATAAAAAAATCCCAGCTTTAGTGTTTCTAGTCCAAGCACAAGATAAATATCATACTCACAATTAAATGCAAATTTGGCATGTTCGCTTCCGTCCATGGCAATCAACACATTGACTGTATCCTCCATGTTGTAGGAAGTAAATGCGATATTTCTGGTGAATGCAGCACTGAGAGATGATGTATATTATACTGACTGTTGTTACTACACTACCACTCGGAAGGTAACTTTACCGCCGCGCTGTCGTCTGCTCCTATGGTATCTGACTAATTTGTAATAGGTATCAGACTCGGGTCGCATTTCAACACTTAAGGCAATATGTAGGTTACTAAATGTCATATACACAAGTGTATTGGTCCTATTACCACAGCGTTGATGTTAAAACTTTGAGACTTCAAAAGTCACACTCTCTAAATCACCTAGGGGCATCCGTAAACATGAACATATAATAATCTCTTTAAAATACCCTGAGATATATTTTTTCATTTATTTGTTTACTTTGTGGTTTGTTTTAGCTTATCGGTTTGACACCTGTCTCATCACAGTCTTAGGACTACGTTGAAGAAAACTTTATATCGGTTAAAAATCTGGACAAATGTACTAATGGTTTTCATCCCACCATAACTACTGTCTTTTCTATACGCACAATGTACATGAGAGCACATATAGACAGATATAGATAGCCATGCATGGATAAATGATAAAAATGAAAAAATTCCGTATGACTTTAACCTGAACAGTTCTTCAACGGATTCCTCTGTAGAACCTCTAAAAAGCGAAATATTCTCTATTTGCCTGTTTATTTATTTTGTTATTTATTCAGGTAAAAACGTGTTCGTTATTGCAATTTGTCTTGGCAATAGAATATGCTTTAACAATCAGGCTAATCATATTAAGACTAAGCCCATAGGTAATATACAGCTACATTCAAAGTCAAGGGCGTATAGTCGATAGGAAGGTCATCCACCATGTGTATTGTACTTTGGTTATGAGTCAAGACATTTAATCTCGAAGACATTCTTCAGACAGCTAGTCTTATTGTTTCTTCGTTTTTTTTTTTTATTTCGATCTGTCTTAACAGATTACATTAAAGTTTGTTTTCATTTATGTGCCCTCCTGTGCCCTTCTGCCCCTCGCAAATTTATCGGTAATGTTTCAAAACAACTCACAAATTTCATGTTTTTAATATATTGATTATGTCTTAGATATATAACAATTTTATTGATCATGTCCAAAACTGGAAATCACGGACATGCCAAACTTTTCTACTACAGCCGCTTAAATCGATATTTCCCTTAACGAAATTAATAAGGACTTTCCTGCGTCCGCCTGATAAGCCTGATGATACTGATTTCCTTATTATGGTATTTCCCTTTCTAAATATCGACCTATCTGCTTCCCCACATGCCGCAGTTGTTTCGATATTCAAGAGCTTCTTCTTAATATTACAGTGCGATGAAGATTACATAGACATTTATGGTTGTTATAAAGATCTCATAGGGAAATGTAATATGCAATATGAGGTTGAACGTGTGTGTCTGGTTGTTGATTTGCTGTATTCTTTGTTCTGATTTTGAAACGTGACTTTATGCATATCGACGGACATAGGTATACATAGCGGACGTCGTCAATGAAGCAGCAGATGCTTACCATCTCAGAACACCTGGTCTTATTCTCAATATATTTGTTCATTGATATACGTGTTAATTTGTCTTTTGTTCTGAACTTGCCCAAACGTTATCGAATTTTGGGTTTAATTAAAATTCAGGCCGTTCTATATAATAACTACGATCAGAACAGTAATTTACTGAGACGAGGACATTTATGTACAAAGTAATAGTTATCAAATAAAATATCTCTGATCCCGTACAATTTACTGCTTCAATGTACACTAAAATGTACATAAAAGGTGGTATTATATATCATGTTATTTCAATTACTTTGTATACATGTAAATGCATCTGATACGTACGTGTTTCATTGTTTCACTAAAATAGGAACGTGATGTTGGTTGCGCTCGATAACTTAGATTTGTATTTATACTTATTGTTCTAAAATATGCTTTGTCATGATGTATTAACGGACATAATTAATCAGTATACATGTACGTGACATAGCAGAAAGACATATCCATTTTATTTAACACATAAGGTTCGGCGTCAAACCATTCGATGTCTATATATGTATGATGTATTACCTCATAAATTCGATGGAACGTAAACCGTTAAGTTTAGAAATAATGAGAAAACTACAACTGAAAGTGGAAAAAACATTTATTATTACATTCATTATCGATGTATAGTTACTACATTTCATATTCATACATCAATCAAAGCAAACATATTTATTTAGTTTGTTACATTGTTTTATATCACCATGAAAACCTTCTAATACTAAGTCTTGGTCGATGCCATTTTGTAAACAAGACATTACCTCTGTGAACGTTGAATGTCAAGGAAACAATGTTACATTAAAGGCGTTTTGTTTGAATGTATTTACACTTGGTTAGAAATTGTTGACAATCAACTGTGTCCTAATCCAATAATAGTCATTGGTAGGACCAAGTGCTTTTCTTGGTGATTAAAAATTTCCATTTACTAATGAGAGTATGCTAATTTAAAAAAATTAAACAGGAAATTATCCTGCGGCAACTGGTACTTATGTACTAAATACATATCTGTATACGATAATTTACGAAGCAAATACATATTACGATAAGTGAAAACAGGTGACGGTAATTTTATGGACCGATATTATCTAATGAATCTCGTTTGTTTTTACCAAATTTGCCAGTACCACAGCTCTTATCTGTTAATCTTCTGGACGTTTTAAATCTATCTGATAGTTAAGATATGTCCCAAGCAAATCTGTATCTTTACTTTTGCAGGATAGGTGTTGTATTACTTCATCTAGATATCGACTGTTTCAAATATAACACGCACAAGTACAAATATACTAGTTCATGGGATGAAGGAAACATTTGCCTGTAAAGTATACATTAAAATTGAACACATATGACATTAGCATAACTTAAAACGATACACAAACACTTTGTTGGGTCGTAGATAAATGTGTCTGTATTATAAGAATACACAATACAATATATAACATTCTGTTAAATACACCAATTACATATTGCTATTTTACTCCTAGATACACTTCATTAACATCTTCCTGGGACTATTTTTTGCCATGTTTATGTTCATCGTCTGGATGTCGACATACCATTGTTGGTACTGCTGAATGATGCACAATATAATCACTGACGCTACCCATAAGTGTCCTGCGTACTTTTCCGAGCCCTCTGCATCCTGTTACTATCATATTTGCATGGCACTGTTCAGCGGCTTGAATAATGCCCGCACCGGGTTTTTCAGCGTGAACGCTTTTCACGGTTCCCTCTATCTGCATATTGAAAGTATAAAGTATATGTGTTTTATTTTTTTCTTGTATATAATATCAGCGGATCGATAAATGTTTGTTTTATTTTACACAGTAAGAAATATGTACAAAACTGTATTATATTATCCATTAGTAAAATAGTAAGACGTACCCCTGCCTGTTTCAGTAGCTCACCAAACACCTGCAGCTTTTCTCTGATCCTCTCCTTTTCTTCTTCTATCAGTTTCTTTAGGAGCATCGTGTCATATCCATGCGGAGATGCTGTACGGAAAGACGTCACATAATCAGTTGAATAATGACGTTATTAAGTTGTTCTCTAATGATTTAAAGGTCGATGACTGTACAATGGATACACAAGTGAATAATATCTACAAATATAGTAGTGCTAAATAATGAATGAAACTGCATCATAGAGCTATTTCGTTCTTATTAGACTCGTCATTGATCGACAGAAATATAAGAATTTAGATGGGTAAGTGCACTAGTACAAAAGACTCATATGTAATAGCACCTTTCAACAACAATTAGAATTAGATACAGCAGAGGCCAATTACTTAATAAACTGCATCATAAAGCTATTCTAGAACGATGTAGAAAGTCGAACTAAATAACATTTAACAACATCATAATTTAAACTCATTGCTGATGTTAAAGGTAAAAGAAATGAAAATTCATATTTCTTATAGTCAGACAATATGTGATATATAGAAAAATATTTGAATATAGAAAAAGACCATCAGCTACTTGCCGGACTCCGAATTCATTATGAACGATTTGTCAATGCTGATGTATATGCTATTTTCATCTTACGGACTAACAACACATACTAACTTAAGTTGATTTCTACGATTTTTAACGTTTAAACTATATATTATAACACCTGGAATTGATCATACTATAAACCAGAATTACGAAGATATTAATTTCATTATAACCTATAAAAGGTGTTATCTATCCAATGCATGAAATAGTCGTGATAATGTACAATATACATTACACTATTCACTTATTTACACAATGCATTGTAATTTAGTAATAAAAGAATACCACACAACAGGTAGTATTGATTCCGTTATGAAGACCACTCAAACGATAGAAAATGCTGGTTAACTTAGTTCGCTCTAACTTGCATACCACATTTTGATTGAAATAAAACTTCTTCGAATGGTCAGTAACAATGGAATTCGGTAGCAAGCATGACATAAGGTATAAATGAATTCTAAACCTCTTATTACTTCTATCACTGGGTTTGTACCGCCGGCTACCATTTGGTTTGTACCACTATTTACCGTTTGGTTTGTACCACTATTTACCGTTTGGTTTGTACCACTATTTACCGTTTGGTTTGTACCACTATTTACCGTTTGGTTTGTACCACTATTTACCGTTTGGTTTGTACCACTATTTACCATTTGGTTTGTACCACTATTTACCATTTGGTTTGTACCACTATTTACCATTTCGTTTGTACCACTATTTACCATTTGGTTTGTACCACTATTTACCATTTCGTTTGTACCACTATTTACCATTTGGTTTGTACCACTATTTACCATTTGGTTTGTACCACTGTTTACGATTTGGTTTGTACCACTATTTACCATTTGGTTTGTACCACTATTTACCATTTGGTTTGTACCACTATTTACCATTTGGTTTGTACCACTATTTACCATTTCGTTTGTACCGCCAGCTACCATTTGGTTTGTACCACTATTTAACGTTTGGTTTGTACCACTATTTAACGTTTGGTTTGTACCACTATTTACCATTTCGTTTGTACCGCCAGCTACCATTTGGTTTGTACCACTATTTAACGTTTGGTTTGTACCACTATTTACCATTTCGTTTGTACCGCCAGCTACCATTTGGTTTGTACCACTATTTAACGTTTGGTTTGTACCACTATTTACCGTTTGGTTTGTACCACTATTTACCAATTGGTTTGTACCACTATTTACCATTTGGTTTGTACCACTATTTAACGTTTGGTTTGTACCACTATTTAACGTTTGGTTTGTACCACTATTTACCATTTCGTTTGTACCGCCAGCTACCATTTGGTTTGTACCACTATTTAACGTTTGGTTTGTACCACTATTTACCGTTTGGTTTGTACCACTATTTACCATTTCGTTTGTTTACCATTTGCTTTGTACCACTCTCTATCACTGTGTTTGTACCACGACCTTACATACCATTTGGTTTGTACCACTCAGCGTTGTGAACTGCACTTTCCATGCTCATCACGTGTACCAAAATCACATGGAAATCATGTCGATGAACATTTTTCACGTACCCTGAAAATTAAGTCAGAAATAAAATAATTTTGATTGCCTACAGTTAATTTATTTACAAACACGTCTTGAGCAGCGGTCGTGTGGCTTGAATTTTCGTAAGTAAAATGAAAGCTAGACAAAGTAAGATCATTTTAAAAGCAGGGTATATCATTCTTTTAGTATCAATAATGTTAGTCGTCAATATATGATTTTATCACTTTATCCTCCTCGTGATCGCGTGACTGTTGGAAACTTTCATTAATATGCATGAATCGGAAGGCATTTTAGACTGGTTTCAGCATTTGAAGACTAGATGGTAAAATCTGCTGGTTAAGATTTTTGTCCCTCGACGCTCGTCGTAACTCTGCACGCCTCCTTTCTTTTCCTAGTTACTGTGGAACCGAAACAGAATAAGCGCACTACTTAATGCTCCTGAAATTCAGTATAAAAATAAATCCGTTTATGAGCGCCATTTTGGTTGTTCTACTTCTTCCCTTTTTAACATCTTTGAGAAGTAGGAAATATAACATATTCATAAATGTATCAAAATGTAAGAGACTGTTATAAAATTCATTATTGTGAAGAAAATGTGATGAGATTGCCATAGAATCTCATTTTATTTGCTTGCTTTATTTTACGACAGATGTTGTTTTGTTTATAATTTTAACAGTTCACAATATAGGCAATAGATAGTAGTGAATAAACGATGACGAACGTGGCTACAACACCTGTGTTTGCATATATTACCATGTTAGCTTAAGCCAATACAGCTTCACATCGGTAAATTAACAATGGCATTCCCTGCTATCACTGGATTCGATTTGATGATGATATCGATAATTATCCTGGACGGTAGTAGTCACCAAGGGACTATGTTGCTTTAGTTGGCTAAACTACCTGTATTGATGTCCAGGTATGGATATAAAGCAACAACAACATTAATCAATATGGCAACCTCTAGTGTATTCAGTCGTCTTTTTCACGCTTTACCTCGTGATTTAAGTCTTATAGGTCGACGTTGCTTGATAACATATTATTTAAAAGACTTATCATGAAGGTTTTAAAGCTTTGCAGATGTGCAGCATTTGGTTTTGCTTCTAGAAGAGCAACAGACAGCTTAACAGTGTCCATGCTATATGGCTTCTTTAAGAGTACACACTTCATCGCTTGTATAAGTGTACACGCTAAATATATTTTATGACAGTCTCTATAGTACATAGCTTCTACTCGGTCTCACACAAGTGAATAACAAGCATGTAAAGTATATATGTACAGCGGTTTTGCTTCACATTGATGCGGGGTCAGTGTAAGTCACCAGTTTATATCTGTACACAGAATTCAGTTTTTACAAAGCATTTATAATGAATATTATGCCATAGTTTTTCATTGCCTCTCCCAAGCAGCAAATTGTAAAACCCGGCCAAGTGTTATTGGATATCTGCAACTCTTATCCAGTAAAAAATGTCATACTCACAATCGAATGCAAACTTGGCGTATTCACTTCCGTCCATAGCCACAACGACATTGAAGCGTTCTGGTGAAGATTCGGCCATCTTAGGATAAACACTTGCTCCTCCGTCAGCGTGTTTTAAAACTGTGCGTACGTGTTATTTGAAGCAGACGCCTCTTCAGAAATACACAACGCCAATATAAACGTAAACAGTGTGGCACTGACCTGGTTTGAAGACAAACGCTTGAACTTTATTTAACACCCGCGTTTAACATCATTGCTTTAATACATCCCGTTAACAAGCTGAATGCTTTGTCCTTCTTGGTATAATGTGAGGGTATTTGACTCTCACTCTGTAATGCACCAGGGACAGATCGATGTGCTGTATTTTGATATTGCCCAGTTCTGTGCTGTATAGATTTTTGTTTCTGTGGGGATTTATAAATAGTAACTAACAGATATCACACTACAGATGGAGTGTATAGTGTCTCGGTATATAGGTGTATAGGTCTTTTGTTCGTCCGTTTAATCCATTAGATGGACTGGTCATTTGATAACTTAATATACTCGACTGGAGGAAGGCATAGCTGCCACATATATGCTCATCACTGTAAAATGTTAAATGAATTTATATCTACATATGTAAATTAGTTCTCGTCACCACATAAATATGTAAATATTCTGCTTTTAAATAAGAAAACATTTCTACAACTTATCCATCATTTCCAATACTCCGAAGGTCCGTTACTCCGACGATTATATCTAATAAAATAGTAAGACAGATCCAATGTTCCAAAAATGAAATGGTCTGGAAATTGTTTTAAATAATAATATTCATTATAAAGTTGTTGTAACTCCAAAATCCTTACAATGCAAAGACCAAGTACTTGTGTCATCATTGCCGTCGTCAACTAAACTTAAGTTCTAATAACTCAGTCAGTGATAGTATTTGTATATCTTAACTCCTTCCGAACAATATCGTCAAATACCTTGTAACTATTATAACAGTAAATTGTAAAATTTGCTTATATGTATTTGATATAAGAGCTGCACAAAGGTATACTGATTACATACATCATTCGTTTAACACGAATGGGCATATTTCAGAATGTTATTAATTGACAATATACTATACTCAAATTGCATTTAACCTTATGTCATATCACAGACATATCGAACGTCCTTTGTTATTTCGAAAACAATGCTAAGCATGTGTAAGTAACATATTGTAAAGAAATTCGACGATAATTATAAAGATCACATTGCAAGCGTGCAAAGGCGTGAAAACATATGGAAAGTACACCTGTATGCACTTTTATCGATTTATTCTGCATGTATGGTTTGGACTGCGGGCTGATATAGATCCCTCCATATCTGTTGTATTAGTTGATCACTGTTGTCTTGTTTGTGTTTCAGCATACGTAAGCATGTGCAGTATCTTGAGGCGTTCGGTATATTGCATTACTGCAAATCAGTTTTTAATTGTTTATAAGTTCTAGATTGTGTACTAGGTTGTCAGTCGATGGTTATTCACGATTTCCACCTCTAAGTCCGGTCAAATTAGATATATTCGTGTTATGACTAAAATTGAGTTATTCATACGACACCTCATGTCATGCAGTATTTCAACTGATACATGAGTTGAATTAAATATATCTATATATGCTGTTTTCTCAAACTGCCAAACTTTTCATATTGATTCCTTCTCATTAACAATAAAATCCCACAATGCACCTTGTTAAATAGTCACTTTATTAGTCATAAAATTGTACAAAAGACACACAAGTGAATAGCATTTTTTTATATAAATTTACAGTTGGATACAGTAAAGCCATCTTACAGCTGTTTCGTACTTTTAGGACTCGTTAGCGATCTACAGGCCTGAAGTTTGAAGCCTATGAGGCTATTGAGGAAAATCGAAAGTAATTGAAAGAAAATTTAGATGACGATGTGCACTAGCCCCATTGTTCAATACTTTTCATAATGTATGTACATCTGATGATTTTAGAACAACGTATATGTACATATACACAAAGCACATGTGTATATTCTGAACCGTGTAACTATTTCATAGACCGTGCTGATGTTACATTCCTTAAAAAATCTATACTTAAACATGTACAAGTTCCACAGAACACCAATTCTTGAAATAAATTACCTATTCAGCTCAAGGATTCAGTCTGGACATACAACCAATGTGACATTACTGTTGTGTAAAAGATCTTCAGTCGTGCTGCCCAGAACACCAACCTGGAAGATCCGAGCCCCCCTCGATCCAGATATTATACAATCGGCACCACAATTCTCTGCTACAGCCAGAATTCCTTTCGATGCACTTGCTGCTTGGATACATTGTACGGTTCCATCAACCTGGTATCAAAATGACTGTGGTTGATCATTCTTCATATATAATATAGAGTATCATTAATTATTATACAGGTGTTTGCAAAATATCATTGTTCCATGTTTCTTGTCCGGATATTATAGTGACTCCTATAACTATGTCAAACTGCAACTTACTGTGGAAAATGACTTTTAAATGGAGGTAGATAGCGTAACAAGAGACGGAGGTAATTGACGGATTTGATTATCCGGGAACATTTTCCAGTTAAAAATAGAAATTCAAATAAAACATAAAAGTATGTTACATTCAGAGCAGGATATCATCATATGTTGTAAATAACAAACAGAAAAACCAATGTTTGAATACGACACAGTGTTCAGGTGATGCATCTACTAATTGAATTTTAGGATATTGTAAGATTTAGGGCCATCATTACATATCAACAAGTAGGAAAGGTCCTCGCGTCCCAAAATAAAATAAACAACCTGATATTTAGTAGGATTTCATTTGATCCAAGGAAACCTTTTGGTAAAATGTATACAAAAGTTGTTAATTAAAAAAATCAGAATTTCGTTACCTAACTTAAGCAATTAAGTAGTACGTAAAGAGGAACTCACTTAACACCAAAGTCAGTTTCATTCAAATATACATCAGAAATATACATGTGTACTTATCGTTATAGAAAGTCAAATGCCATTAAAACAGTATTGTGTTAAACATAAATGTTAAATGTTAAGCAAAACAAAAAACAAAAACAAATACATTACATCTGGATTTCAAGACAAGGGAAGATATACTGAAAAAGACTTAAAAATACCGGTAAATTATTTAATAAAGTGATGTTACTTTGATAATAGTATATTATTGTTTACACAAACATTTTATTGTTATATATTGTGTGGACTCCATGGTATCTTTCAATCTCACCTTAGCTTCTTTCATCATGACCCTCAGATCCTCTAAATTTTGTTCCAGTGTTTGTCTTTGTTTCTCGACGTTGAAGCTCGAGACATCTAAGTCAGATGAACTCATCACTAGATAATGAAATGATAATACCATATAAATAGTAAACCTGAAGCCTGAATTAGTCAAAGAATAATAAATGGTGTTAAATATACGGAACAGATAAGAAAGCTTAGCAAACATATGCAGTGATTATCAACAATACAAATCAACACATTGTTATAATGTATAACAAAGTTCTGATATTTTTTCTAGGACAAACACTCTTAATTACTTAATCACCTTACAGTATAACGAATAACTCGCAAAAATCCTAAAATTTAACTTATTTGTTCTGGTGGGTTTTTTTTCTTTAAAGCTAGTTTTTAAAACGTACATATAATAAAAAAATTAAAGACATATCACTGCATTTCAATTTTCGCTATTGTTGTCAACACCTCTATACCAGTATATAAACATTTTCATCGATTATTTTTTGTCTTTTAGCGAAAAACAAGCATTATTGTTGTTATTTTCGAGGCAATCTTTCTTTCAATATATTTTAACGACATAGAACGGTGGTATCTTAAGATGATAAAAAGAAGTAAAACAATCAAACTTTCGTTTGCTTTTACGAGTTCAGAATAATATAGCATTGAAAATGTGAACATTTTGAAAAATGACTAAAATCATATATTGGACAATTATGTTCTGGTTATAAACTTTGTGGAAACACTCTGTATTTGTACAGAAATATAATTGGATATTTTATATAACTGAAAAAGGGGTTGCTGTGTTTTATTTATCTATTTATCTATCTATATTTATTATTTGTTTATTGTAATTATTTTTCCAATTTTTCCCCGAACACCATGATACAAGATAAAAAAACAAACAAACAAACAAAATTTAATAACTGGTCAAACAGTGCTAATTTCCAGTAAGATGCAACATTTCGAATTGGTGATTTGTGGTGATATTCAAGCATACTTTAATTGAAATTTGCCCACGACTTCCAGAGTTATACATTAGAGAACTAACAGAATAGCCACGGAAATAACGTTGAAATTGTAGGCACTAAAAACCGAATCATGATGTCAAATACGCGATCCTAAAATATAGCCTGCTAGTAAAAGTGACACAGAATGTCATATTTAGCACTCCATATTACCTTGTGTCAGCAAAACTACATAAAAAAACAAGGTAACACAAAGATATAGCATATTGTGCTAGTGGCCATTTATTGATGTTTATCTACAATTATGTGTCAAAATGGTTATTTTGAACCAAATTTATTATAACGCAATGTTGTGTCAATTTAATCTAATTTTAAAGAACAAATTAACTGTCGCAAACTTCTTTTTTTTGTTGTTTTTTGTTTTTGTTTCGGTATACAGAAATGTAAAAAAAACACTTTTGAATCAATAAAAATCTTCGTTTACCATACTAAAAATAGGGAATACAGATAATTAACACTGCAGTCATCATCTTGTATTAGTTGGATAAAAAGTGCTTCTTAAATGAGTGTCTGTAAAACAAAATAAGAAAATGTCTTGTCGACATGGTTCTTTGACTTACGTTCACGCCATTGTGCTGGTGTAAAGACATCCATGACGTGAACTACAGTCACCATGACCACGTTGTCTTCGGGTCGGCGCAGATTCTCCACATACCCTGTATGTAATATAATAAGGTTTAATGGTTACTGACCGGTGTGTAATTAACCATTTAATACATGTAAGTTATCTATTTAAGGATTAGACAATTAAAGGCCAGTGTACTTTTTTAAAATCTGTACATGATGGCATTGCACGTTCTTTTCCATTATTATCTTCAAGGATGACTGTACTATCTAAGCAATTACATATTATTTACATACAAAATCAAACGTCAGCTAAGTGGACATATGTAAGGAGTTGGAAAGGAATGGTATACAGAAAGCGTTCGTGATTAGTGTTTCGGGTCAGTGAATGACTCAGAAAGGATTGAAGTAAGGGTACCACAAAATCTCATTACGTCACAACCATTATACTAGCCACTTCACCCCCTGAGGATGGGACTTTAAATGGTGTTCAGTGTTAGGACTGCCCATATAATGAAGATATCTTAGACTTTTCGAAAAAAAAGTAGGCTCGATGTACGCCTGTCCAGAGGAACAGAGATAGAGATAGGTAATGTAATTTTATTAGTGTATTAAATGCACTTTAATGTTTTACTGACAGACTTCATAAATTGATTTGGCCTGGTCCATCCCATCCAGGATCTTTACATCGAGTTATTAAAATAGAACATTGTAGGACCAAAGGGAACATTGTAGGACCAAAGGGAACACTGTAGGACCACAGGGAGGGAATGTTGTAGGACCAAAGGGAATGTTGTAGGACCAAAGGGAATACTGTAGGACCAAAGGGAACATTGTAGGACCAAATGGAACGCTGTAGGACCAGAGGGAACATTGTAGGACCAAAAAGAACATTGTAAGACCAAATGGAACACTGTAAGACAAAATGGAACGTTGTATGACCAACGAGAACGCTGTAGGACCAAATAGAACGTTGTAGGACCAAAGGGAACGTTGTAGGACAACGGAAACATTGTAGGACCAAAGAGAACATTGTAGGACCAAAGAGAACATTGTAGGACCAAAGGGAACGTTGTAGGACAACGGGAACACTGTCGGACCAAAGAGAACATTGTAGGACCAAAGGGAACGTTGTAGAACAACGAGAACACTGTCGGACCAAAGAGAACATTGTAGGACCAAAAAGAACATTGTAGGACCAGGAATCATCTTCTAAAACGTTTCAGTACCGATACTTTGTATAGGCGGTTCCATCCAATCAGGAGATTCAAGACGCCCACTCACACGGCCAGAACGCTGATGTTTGTCGGTGATACACCGCTTATCAACAGGAACTAACTATAAAACATGGCACGATAAACATGGCCCCGTACTACTTCATTGAGGATAAGAATGCTACTACGGAAAAGAAAGATTATGTAGGATATTTTGCACTATGAATTATGTTATCTTCAATATCAAATTTAAGTAAGCGACTTACTGGGTAACAGGAAGTAACGATTCGTTTAAATAACAATTGCAATGTCTAGGACATCAGAAAAATAAACAATATGTCCAAAACAGCTTTTAGGACAAATATGTAGGTCACTGTAACCTCGTTATTTAATCATCTTGACAATGTCAATGTATCCTCGTTCCATGATCATCGTGACCATATCACTGAAGCCTCGTTCTATAGTCATCGTGACCATATCACTGTAGCCTCGTTCTATGATCATCGTGCCCATGTCACTGTAGCCTCGTCCAATAATCATCGTGACCATGTCACTGAAGCCTTGTTCTTGGATCACCGTGACCATGTCACTGAAGCCTCGTTCTATGATCATCGTGACCATATCACTGTAGCCTCGTTCTATGATCATCGTGCCCATGTCACTGTAGCCTCGTCCAATAATCATCGTGACCATGTCACTGAAGCCTTGTTCTTGGATCACCGTGACCATGTCACTGAAGCCTCGTTCTATGATCATCGTGACCATTTCCCTGCATCCTCGTTCTAGGATCATCGTGACCATGTCAATGTAGCCTCGTTCTAGGATCACCGTGACCATGTTACTGAAGCCTCGTTCTATGATCATCGTGACCATGTCACTGTAACCTCGTTCAATAATCACCGTGACCATGTCACTGAAGCCTCGTTCTATGATCATCGTGACCATGTCTGTGTAGCCTCGTTCTAGGATCATCGTGACCATGTCACTGTAGCCTCGTTCTAGGATCATCGTGACCATGTCACTGTAACCTTGTTCCATGAATATCGTGACCATGTCACTGTAGCCTCGTTCCATGGTCATCATGGCCAAATGTCAGAGTATGATGTATCAAAGCTACTCTTACACAAAGCTCTGTAAGCTTATAAGCGCACATAAATTGTTGAAATGTTCTCTTGTATACTAAAGAGGCAGTGCAAATATAGACGGTTCGGATAGTTGGAGTGAAAATACAAGTATTTGCAAATTTCCATGGGAAAAAATTATCATGTTTTGTGAATAAATGCCAAGCCGATGAATTACATGCATTGAACTAGGCTCGGGACATTGCACACATCTGTATTTCCTAGGAAAATCCATATCCCTGATGCAATTGGAAACTATCCTCTGCCGCCCCTATCGATCTGTAGGCAACAGACTGAATGAGGTCGTCACAATAACCATTGGTACAGTGCACACATTGTCCTAAATCAGTCTCATCAGTCACAATCCAAGTCTCCTCAACAAATCTCCAGCTTCATGTGTCTTTTGACGATCTAATCATGATGTATTCATTCAATTTATTGCGTGTATAGGATTTGGCTTGCAAGATCTGTCAGACCACAGATTTCCAGTAGTTCAATGAGCTTAAGATTTCCCAGCAGCCTTTACGATTTGTCCAATATATGTCTAGGTTTATGATGCGTTCACTTTCCATCAGTTTGGGTTAAAGAATTTAGAATTTCAATAATAACATGTGAATCAGAACTATCATGTTTCAATTCAGATTGAGTTTTATTTCCAACGGACTCTTATTTTCGCGATTTTTATTTGTAAATCATCCACAAAGAATATTATTGTGTATGGGTGATTCAATAATGTAACTCATCTTTGGAGTTTGTGATTTTTACCAAATTTTAAAGATTGTTTCAATTATTTTTTTAATGTTGTACGGTATAATATATTGTCAAAGAGGGCAATCAGATCCATAAATACAGTACTGTATGTTGTTAATATGAACTACGGTATAAATTGTTTGTGAGTTTTATATTATCCCTGTCGGGTATATGAGTGACACGCTGATTTCATATGGTTGGTAAGTTGTATACAGTAATTATATATCCGCTGTAAACTTCGTGGTTATTTATGGGGCTAGTTAAGGCCAACTCCCTCGCCCGCATAGGTCGACAGAGCGAAAGGAAGACAACGCGAGGCGACGAAACGAGATCAAAACGCGCAGGGAGCGAGATATCGTGATGGTCTCCCAATGGTTATTTCGTTCATCGTCGCGGACGGGAGGGCGAGATTGCGATATGTCCTTAAGCGCCCCGGACACTTGAACAGTTATTACAGGCAGACGCGTAACGATAGAAACTTTTTAACAACTACATTTACATGTCACGACTGACAGACAATAGAAAAAAATACAAATATTTCAAATTTCAAGTACACCAAGCAATTTACTGGCGTGTCATTGAAAAATACTTACATTTGAAAGCTTTTTCAGCGCTGGCACTGGAATCCATTGCTATGACGACTGATCGTCTATGTCCAGATTTTTCCTCCATCTTTACTGCTGGTTCGCGTGACTGGCTAGTACAGGGCAATATGCACGAGATCGGAGATTATCGTTCACCTGTGTATTTGTCAGTGGTACAATGTTCAGGCCGCTTTTTCTCCTGTCTATTCTACTCTCACAATACATCAATATTCTGCGATAAGCGTTCATTAACGTCCACTTGTGTTAAATGAATGTCCTGCAGAGGAGATGCAGTTTCTCATTATGAATCGATAGTTTCATGGAAAGAAAGTCGGTGTTTGACCTTTACGCTGTAAATACATTTCTCATTTGACATTGGAAAAGGTGGACTTTAATGCTCATAAATACCGATGCAAATTATTTACTGCAATGCACGCGTTAAAAGAAATTAGGTTGACAACAAACATTTTACGCTATCGATGACTCCCCAAATATGGAATTGAATGTTGACGCCACGGAATAATGTAATGTGCCCGATTATTGCCGGAATTCCAAATAAGTTGATGAACACAAATTGGTTAATAAAAACACGAGGTATTACAGGCCCGGCGGAAGCAATTTGACATGGGGGTGGGGCTGACATGCATAATTAAAGCAGGGTTTCTTCTTTTAATCTATAAGAAATGTACAATGTGGGAATTTCATTGTCCACGATATGATAACTTTCAAGAACAGAATATATTATCTCAGTGTATCACATTATGTGATGTAAATCTTAACGCGTTACTATACAGTGTTACTGGAACGTCCATTAAAATAAATATTGAAATTGTGGATCCTATATACAATAAACGTAAATTAAATATCTATTGATTTGTCTGTAAATAAAACAGGAACCATAGTAAAGTTATATGACGTTTTCTTCTTTTTATCTTCGTCAATTTTGGAACGAGTGGTTTTAACATTGAACAATTATGAGTAATTATATACTTAAGGTTGTAGTGTTTGTAAATATAGCAAGATATCCAATTAACAGTATTATTTGTGTATACTAATTATGAAATATTTCAGTTGTATTGCGAATGTGAAATGTAGAAAGTGACTATTTAAATCAATGGAAGTGTTACATTTATTTTTGAAATCTCTCATTAAATAAATTGTTTCAAGCCTATATTACACCATACATACATTACAAAATATCCCAAAACACACTGAGAATTCAACAGTAGGTTCTCATAGACATAATGTTCCATGTCGTTTTTTAAAATAAAACTTTATCTTATCTTTTAGTCAATCAAGTTTAGCTCCACAAGTTTTACAACTTATCGAAATTTTAAAGAATACTCATAAAACATATAGATAGTGCACAATAAACACTATGTATTACCACTATCAAGGTCAAAATAAGGACGTTTGTACAATATAATGGATTCAACGGTATAAGGCAGAAACAAAGTACAAAACAAAGAGGTAGATATACTAGGGTGGCTAGAGATAAAATTAATTTCAAAACAAAATAAAAATAATCATTTTTTATCATGAAGATGTGTTAAATTAACCTAAAAATGTCAAATTAAATCAACATACTGAACTATAACGCCATTATGACAGAAAATGCTGATTTCCGCTATAAATGTGAATTTTAAGTTAATGCACATCTTAACCCCATGCAGTTACTCAACTCAATGTTGCAAAGTATGCAAAGCGTACAATCACGTGTGTCGTAAGAGAGTTCTGATACACGGATTTTATCATGTAGTTATTGTACTAAATAGCAACTGTGAATGTCGGGATTCCTCTTATTATCCTTCAGTCGGCGTGTAAATGACATACTTGTATGTTAAAATAATTCCTGTCTTCATCTTCCTGTTCATCCAAGTATCAAAATAACCAGAATTTGATGTTTGCCACATCAATGATAGACTGAAAAAGTCCATCTTTTAAAATTATCACAATAAGTAAAAGAAGATCCACAAAATTCTGATTCTGTTTCGCATATTTCTTCCTTTCAACTTTCCATCATCTGAAAATCCACACCGTAGTCAATGTTATATTTCGATATTTTGGATTAACAATATTATATTTACTAAGATCTACTTACAATGGTTTCAAGGTCAAATGACGTCAAAAAGGTGTAATAATTATACAGATTACACTATAATTGGTTGTTAAATTGTGGTTTTGTCATTTTGTTCAAATGCCTTATATAATTTACATCGATCAATTACCTACAATTAAATACGGTTATACAGGTGTCATCCTGTTTCCCTTTGTCCAGACTGGGGCATTGGTGTTGTTATCCCCTAATTATACTAATTAATCTGTTGTTTGGCTGGTAATAATATCGCCCCGTGGTGGGTTTCCGCTCTATACAGCACCAATCAAACGCGCCCAAGATTCAAACCCACGTGACCACTCAGCTGATCACCGTAAATGGTGAGAGGTCACAAAGCTTGGCGGTTCATTTAAAACGGTCACAACACCACAACACTTGCATCATGTCTACAAATCTCAGAAAATCGTTCCGACTATCGTGGTTGCCAGGTAAAAAGTACAACGTTTTGGAAGGAAAAGAAAACATGTATTTCAATACACCTAAATACAAACGTGCTATTTCCGAAGGAGATATTCCAACACAGCGGCACGCAATCCATCCGATGAGAAACCGTGAAAACCAGAAGCCGAAGTTTGAAAGGAATTCTACCCTTACAAAGTCTGTTCGGGAAGCTGTCGGATCTTTGAAACAGGTAGATATTCTTTAGTGTTAGCGTGTATTTATCACAATTTTGTATAAATATTATGTATGTCGCCGAATTTGCCATTGCCCGCAATATTCTGGTTAAATCGATCATATTTCGAACATGCATTATTTTTATCTTATGTTTGTTTTTCAGTCATTCTGCAGCTGAAATTATTTAACGTTTGACCAGTGTGATATTAGATTTCAATTGAGTAACGACAGTTGTCATGAATATTTGATTTTTTGAAATTATAAGTCTTCAATTTACGTCCCTGGTTATAATTAGGGACGTCTTATACAGTTACATAATAATCTGCTTTACACGTCCCTGGTTAGACCTATAACGCTGAAAGCAGTCTTGCAGGTTTTCATGTTTGTGTATTTATTTGTTATGTCAGTGGTGTGTTTGTTTTACACGACAAAACATGCGTCCACTTGCTTTTTGATGTTGTGTAAACATGTCCACTGCTGATGTTTGCATAGCAGCTTATATTTTCTAAAACCAGAAAATGTCAGCTGACAGCTTGTGATCATAAGCAAAACAAGTATGGTGACTTTTGAAAGAATAACTGGTTTGGTCTAATCGACCAATGATATTTCTAGCTCTGCACATTTCAAATACTACTACTACTACTAATGATAATAATGAAAAAATGATAAATAAAAAATAGAAAAATAACAAAACAACTAAATGACAATGTACAAATTGAACTTCAGATCATGAGACAAGATAATTGCTTCTAGATTCCACAATAAATGTTTGTAATGTCAAGTCATAAGCTTATATTATCAGTCCCACAATCTAAATCCAGCTTAATGTCTACCGAGTTGTAGCTAAGAAACCCTGGAGTCATGCCAATTCTGATACAGTAAAAGCCTATGAGTCATCTTCATTGTATGCCCATACTACAGTACTTCCCGCTCAAATTCAAGTAGAATTGTTGACAACCAAATACCATAGTGTCACCATTATAAGTACATTTATGTATCAAATAAGAATGACAAATGCTATGGGTCACCTGTCACCAAGAATGGTGAAGTATGTTGCTAGTTTGAAAGATGTCATGTGATAGTCATGGGAGAGTACACATGAGATTCGTTTTACATTTGAAACTTTATATTGATAAATGATTTCAGATTTTTTAGAGGATTTTAGATTATCAGTACCCATGCCTGCAATATTTAAATTTTTGTGACTATACAGCTTTCTTCAGATACATTAGGGAATTACTCTGTGCGTGTACATACCGGGTATAAACAATTTGGTGTTAAAATTCAATATTTAAACAATTGTTTTAGAAATTCTGAATTGCAAAAATAAACAAAACATCAGAAGTGTCAGTAACATGAATGCAGTGATAATTGTTATAATAGAGCATATTGATGCTTTTTACAAAAATTATTTGAAACAAAAACAAACAAAATTGTATGTATGCACTGCAGCAGGCATTTGTCATGGCAAGTTCATATGTTTACAATGTGTAATATTCTACTGTAGAAGGTTAATTGAAGATTATTGATTTATTAATTTGCATTTGAATGAAAGTCATAACTTGTGTGTGCTAATCAATGTGTCTTGCTACTTCTAAATATTCATCTGTTCTCGAGATATTTAAAAAAAAAATTTAAGTAATACTATCTCACTGGTTCTACATGTTTTTTTACAAGAGGCATTCTGATATCCCGGAATTACTGCCCTTTGTTTCACTCTAGCTTGATAGCCAAAGGGGCCAAGAATGTATATGGGGTCAGTTTGGCCCTTTATTGCAATTGGCTATACTACATGTATTTGTATGTAAATGAAAATATGTGCGATATTTAGTATATTATGGTACTTGGTATGCCAGGGATGTATTCCTTTACCGTTTGACCAAAAGTAAGACATAATTCAATATAAAATTTTACATTTCATGTAATTTCAGAAATTCCGTGTATCCACAAAAAAGCTGAAAAGGTTAACAAATGAGACAAGAAGCCCGTCACCTACCAAAGGGGTTCGTCGCAGTAACCGCACTTCAGGAAGAACTCCACCCCGGCCAGGTCATCATGATGTGAAAATGTATTCCCCATTTTTGATTGACACACCAAACACAAAACGAACACCTACAAGGTTACGCACATCAATATCTACACGATGGTAAGTCTCAATTTATTAGAAATTATGTTTTCCATAACTGGTGGGTCATAGAGGCATTTGTGTACAAAATCAGATCAATTCTGAATGTAAGATGGGGGCATGAAAATAATTGGAAGATGCTGGAATTCTGTTAATATATTCTTCTTAAAATGCCTGTGAAGAATCTATTCTGATTGATGTATGAAATGTGGTGAAAAACTTCTATCTTCACATTACTTCTCATTTAGTTTTTTTTGAAAACTGAGTGAGAAGCATAAAGTTTGAGCAGAATTCCTGATACTAGACTGGTCAACTGCTGAATTGAAATTAATGTAAACTCATTTTATAGCAAGAACATTTTGAAATTCAGAGTTCAGCATAACAAGGGAAATTAATGTACAAAATTTAAGACTAAATTGCACAAAATGTGACAAGTAGATTACTTATTGTTTCTATTCTTTCTATCAGAAAATTTTTTCCAAAAAATTACATTAAATTCAGTTAGTATTAATAGCACATTGAAGTGTTGCAGTAATTAATCAGAACTTTTCTGTATCACCAGGACTGACAACATGGAGACCCCGACTCGTCTTCGAAAGGAGGTAGAGGCTCTCACCTCCAACATGCAAGCTCTAGCCACACTCACTCCTGGGGGCCTGCAGCAGAGACCCAAAACTAGGTAAGGATATTGTATCTTATCTTAAAATGTAGACTAATTTTCAAAACTATGTAGGACCAAAAACAAAAAAAATAATGTTCAAAACAGAAACAATTTTGGTATAGCTAGCATGAAAATAAATTGCAAAAATATTAAAAGAGAGATGTAAACTCTAGTATTAGGACAAACATTGGATTAACCAAAGTTCCGAGAGAATTCATAGATAGGTTTGCTTTAGATCGTTCCTTTTTACTAGTAAGTTAATTGCTTCTATGTACTGTATTTTGTACTTCCAACCAAACAGTTCACTGTAATGTCGTAGTACTAGAAGCTTGAGTCTGTCTCATTTTATGTGAGAGATTATTTTTTGTAATCCGTTGGATCGTCTCTATGAGTACCTGTACTAGATAGACCATTTTTCTATTTTCTAGACGATCCACAATTTCCCCACTGACCAATGGTAGTTTGAGGACGCGACCAACAGCTGAACGGAGTAGTGAAAGGTTGCAGACACGACAACAGAGGATAAAGACTTCAGCTCTAGTGTACTGATCAAAGATACAGACATTTCTGGTGCTTTTCTTGATGAATCTCTTAAATAGTGCCATTACATGTAAGAAAACAACTTACAAACTGAACATTTGCTCGGTCAAATGAAGTGGTGCTAGCTAGATACCATTGTTGTATTGCTTAGCTTTTTGTGTTGAAATCATCAGTTATGTGGCAGCTTAAGCTGTCCAGCTGTTAGTTATAACATAAGCTTAGAACTGTTGGAAGATCTTTAGGATAAAATCACTCTATACCAAAAAATACTTTGAAGTCGTTTAAGAAATTAATATGTAGTTTTAGTACATAATGTATGATGCATTTTGTGATAGATTAATGCTATTAAGGTAGCTATCCTGTTAGTGAATTGTTTTAGTCCCATCTGTTTTTTTTTTTTTTTTTTTTTTTTTAAATTTTTGACCTCAAAACACTTGCCAGTCTTTATTTGAAATTTGTTATGTACATGTACTACACATGTACCAGGTGCAATACATTAGCAGGTTAATACTAAATTTCTTTTGGCTGAATTCAAAATATTGTCTTCAGACTATTTTAAAAATTGATTTACTGTATAATTGTTTACTTGGCAGGGGTTATAATTCATACTTGTCCCAGTTGTGGCTAGTTCATTGAGATTAGATTTAATGCAACCCTGCATTTAGCAGTAAACGGGAACATTGTCACCCATGTGTTGTATACAGGCATTAGATTTTCTGACATTTTTTTCCACTATCAAAATACTTGCTGCTCCTTTTATTATGCATTAAGGTCATTGACCGCAAACATTAAGTGAAATCCCCCTGAACATCACGTTTTTTCATGACTATTTTTCTGACAGTTGGGATTTTTTTTTATTGCTCTTCATTAAAGCCACAACATATTTGTATGAAATGATTTTGTTTTGGTGAAATTTGCAATGTCAAAATTTCTTGTCTGTGTAAGATTTTAAAAATCCTTGCTGAGATAATAATTTTACTGTGTAGTAATTATTATATTTTGATACTTTTACTTTGTAACGAATAGTCATTCACTCCATGACATTGGTGTTTTCCAAGTTACCTTTGCCCAGTATTACATTATCTCTTTCTTTTGTTGTCGTCCTTCATCCTAAATTTTTATACTTTTTTTTGTAATGGACAGTCATTCAACCCATTACCTACGTGATTTTCTACCTACTTTTGCCCTGTACTTGTATCTCATTCTTTTGCTGTCTTTCCTTCACATTTTCTGTTTTGATTTTCATAAGTGATACCTGTATTTATTCACTAATACAACATACATCACTTGTATATTTTACCAGGTATAGGTGCCCATGCTTAGAAATAAGCCCATCTCGCTCTTTTCACATTTCCACAGTGTATAAATGCATTCATATTGTTGAAGCAGAGATAATATCATCATTATTCCCTCTTGCATGCATGTATTTTATTATCTATAAAACAATTTGGGCTATTCCTGTAAAAAGCATCTATCCCACCCAAGGACTCCAGATTTTACATGGGGTGCCACCCTTTGAGTTTAGTAGATAATTCATCTAGAAATAATTGGCTGGAAACCAAACCATGGATACAAGTGATTTATTTTGGAGTCCTAGGGTCAAATAGATATTTTACAGCTATAGTCCTCATGGTTACTCTGTATATTGTAGAATTAAATTTGTATTGTGTGGTTTTAATACTCATTCCTGGAGATATTTAATTTTTTTTAACATTTCTTACTTGCACATATAACTATAACTGAAAATAAATATTTACTAGTAGTAGTGTCGATATGCTGATATCAATATAGGTATGTAGAGGGGAGGAGAGGGGCACAGACGTATTCATGATCACAGTATATAATTATAGATATATATGTGGTCCCTTAAAATTAGGAAAACATAAAATTTTGGCGTTTTGAGCATAGGAGGTGTTTCTTAGTTGACTAAAGAAAATGCTTTTTAAAATCACACAATGCTCCAGAACGTTTTACTCTTGAAACAATATTCATTTAAAATAAAATTGCATGTCATTTTAAAGATATTTGTTGTGTTATATACTTACTTGTTTTATGATTATAAATATTATTCATTTATCATATACAACTTGTTGTCTAAGGTTATTTCAGTTAAAAATCTATCCTACCCCAGGTATCGTTTCAATAGGGTACCATAGAATCTAATTAATTATTTGCCAATTCTGCTGCGGAGGAATCGAAACATGGATGGAAGTGATTCATGTTGGAGTTTCAGGTCAAGTGGATGGCTGCTTTTCAGAAAAAAGTTTGATTTTGTTGTCGCCAAATTAAATAATTCAATGGTACCATTATATATTTGATTACCAGTACCATACAGAGTATTTCAAACAAGAGTAATGATATGGCAAATAAGTTTTGGACTACATGTACGTCTAATTAAACTCGTTCATTACATGTTGACACAGTGTTATATTTCAGTGGTAGTATTTTAGAAAACTAAATTAATTAATAAATTCATTGCTACCAGAGAACTAATCTTAACATCTTTGAAATTGTGAAACATTCTTGAAAAGTTGAAAACCAGTAGAAATATTGTATTCAACTGATCAAAAGACACTGAATAAGAAAGACTTATCTAGTGTTGCTATGATATTGGCAAAAGACATCCACACTGTTTAGACATTTACTCATAAGGTAACAATATTTGTTAAATGTATTTCAAAAGGCTGTACAATAAAGCCTAACTTTAACATAAGTGTTTGTCCTTTTTTCATTCCTAGGAAACTTTCAATTTTGAGTTGCAGGATCAATCACATTTTAGCCATCTATCATCAGTTGGTGTGCTGTTCCAATTGTTCATCTGTACATGTACATGTTCTTGTCATCGATATTTCGTAGAAGTGCAGAATGGATTATTCTAAAATTTTAGATTCTTTCTATTCCCTAGTTGTGCATTGTCAAGTTTGGGAAAGGTCAGAAAAAATGGCTAACAGATGGCCATTTTAGATTTTTACAATTGAAAGTTTAGCATTACTTTAGAAGATCTGAATATATCATACTTTATGTTGAACAAACAATGCAAGTTTATATTGGTCTCTAATTGAGCACTTTGTTAGGTCACCTGAGACAAAGTCTCATAGTGAACTATTATAATCACCTTCAACGGATGTCATGCATTCATAAACAATTAAACATTTTCAACTGCTTCTCAAAAACCCCTGATCCGATTTCAATAAAATTTTCCCTGGCCTAAGTTGAACCAGAATTGTGAATGATACAGTCCCCACCCCACAGGAGCCTGATGGGCAATGCGAAAAGTGTCAAATTGATTCAGATTTCAAAAATCTTCTCCTCAAGACCCTAATATGGTAAAATCAAATACTCTTCATGAATGGAAGCATCTTAAGGTTCTTTATCAAAATTGTGAATTTGATGGCCACTGGGTCCCACATTTCCCCATGGGGAGGGGGTAAAGTTTACTATAGATTAAATATGAAAACTTGATTTTTGAGCATAATTTGTTCAATTTTCATTGGAAATATTTCAAACTTGGTTAGAATTATTAGTGAAGGATGATGGTGTGATGGTATGCCCAGTTTAATCCTGGCTGACTTCCAGACACTGATGGGCGGGGCCAAAAGGGTCAAATTGACTTACATTTCAAAAATCTTCTCAACACTCAGATATGGTAGAATCTTAAATTCCAAACTATGTTGATTGTTATCTCCATTTCCAAAAAAAACAGGTATTGAATGGAACACTCATCAATTTCATTTGAATGTAAAATTCTCTAAATACCTAGCTATGCATTGTTTTGGGAATGGTTGGAAAAATAGAATTGAAAAGACTGCCATTTTGGATTTTGACAGTTTATCATTATATTGGAACATTTTCTCCAGGTCAAAAGAAAAGAAGTTCTTATAACACAACCAATAGAAGACTAGGGTGTGACGTTTTGATGACTACACAGTCACCTTCACCAGACAAATGACCAGTGTGGAGCGTACTAGCACTGTCCTATGTAGTGTACGAGATGGTACAGTATTGAACTTTTTCAGCTGCACTATAATCCTATATGTACACTAAGGTTGAAAATAGTGTGACGAGATGGTAAACAGATTATAGGCCCCAAAAATACACCAGATGATAACAATGTACTGAAGTCACTTCGGCCACACTTGGTCAGTTTCTGAAGTTTATCATTACTTCTGGAGAAGTTTTGAATCGATTTGATCTGGGTAAAGATCAGAAAAGGGAAAAAAAAAAAAAACTGATAGAGAACCAATCAAGGTCATACTGTGGTGCCGAGATTCCTCTGGGATCTCTCGTAATGATCAAACCACTTTGTTTTTAGCAATAATCCAAAGCCTGGCAATAAAACAACAAACATCAGTTGCATTCAAAGCAGACATGCCAAAAACTATATTGGTGCCCTTTAGTAAGTATTCTTTCCTGTTTAGTCTGTATTTACATCAAATGAATCAGGACAATGAGCTTAAAATCTTATCGCAAAATACATATAGTTCACTTGTGTCAGAAGGCCTGGTCCACCAGAAATCTGTTGACTAGTAAGCATCAAAGTGTTTTCTGAATGTAATTGGCAAATCTAGCACAAGCTGCTAGTCCATCACTGAATGTTTGTAGTCAATCATGTTATGAGCAAAATACATAACGTTTCAAATTTCATGGAAAATGATATTGGGCCATTCCCTTTCTTATGTGTATGTATATCAAAGACGATGCATGCTAGGTGACCTAATTTCATGTAGTGAAACGTCAAACAGTCATGTTTTGTTAACCAACTAAAATTGCCCTTTATCTGCCATTTTTTATCAAATTCTCATATTACCATTTCATGGTTTATCTTGAGCATTCTGAATTGCCTTCATTCACAAAAAGAATGATAGTGAATCAAAACCCCATCTCTTTTTATAGTTTTAGTGAAATGCTCTGGATATAATTTAAGTATGAAAAATAACAAAGGGCAATAACTCCTAGTTTATGCTAAAGAGAGTGATAGTTCTGGTGCACTGCACTCCTCTTTGTTGAGATCTATCTACCAATGAAGTTATATGTTGATACATCATACAGGTTTTTTGTGTGGTGCTCCAGACAAAATTATGACAGACGGACAAACGGAGGAAGGGACGGACAAAGTGACTATATGCCCTCCTGAATTAATCCTAAAGGTTGAGTGCAGGAGGAAATTTGGAGAAGTTTTATTTAACAGAAAAGCAAACAAAATATAAACTAAGTTTACTACACATTTTATTTCATACATTTGAGAGTGACAAAATGCTGAACTATATACAATAGTGTTGATGCTTATTAATGTACATGTGGTCACTGTGCGAACTTACAACACATGCTTTTATCACACATCACAACATTTATTACTACACAGCCACTCATGATAAATGAATAGCACCCACCCTGGTCCTAACAGTGTATTCTTAAAACATTAACTGACCGTAAATGACATGACAAAGTGTAAGTTGATCTATGCAGTATGTATCTATTTCTTTCCAATGTAGAATATTACAGATCAGATATGTTGTGTGATGAAGGAAAACGTAATATCTCTGTCAAATTTCAATACAGTGGTATTATACTGATGGTTCAAATTTCAAATAAAAGAGACAAAAAAAATTGAAAATAGTGAAAATGCAAAATACAGAAGGTCTCCAAAATAACAACCTTTACAGTGTTTGGTCCTGAATCTATCTTTTATTCTCACACCTTTCATCACTTATACTCTTCGCATTGTCAGAGGGTTTGGCATGTGATACAAAGGTACCCCTTATAAGAGCTATGAACATGATTGTACAACCTTACCAGTCATTTAAATGATTTATCAACATTGTAGCCTCCAAAGAAACATGAGTGACTTGCCAAAGCCACAAGCTCCCTACAGCCCTACAGTCAGTATGAATTTAACAGTTTACTGTCATCAGGTTGATGTGCAATGAATATGTAAACCTCTTTAAAAGTCCTCACTGAAAAGAATTTGTTCATTTGTGTGAAAACTTTTGTGGTCATATAGCCTCTTGTAATTTTTTAAGTAAATACATTCAACCGTTTTGTCATTTACTGGTAAAAATAAAAAATGTTAACAGAAATGGTGTAAAAAAAGAAAAAAAAAAAAAACCAGGATGAATTAACTGATTTACCATGTTATTGAAGGTGTAAATCAGAACTTTCAGGAATTTTGCTTCATACACATGAACAAAATCTGTTATCAAGACCATACAGATACTCTCTCAGCTGTGTGAAACTGCAAGCAGAAACTCCAGGATGTTTGGACGACAGTAATGTACAAGCTATCTCCATAGTCAGGTAAATGAACACATTCAATGTAAGTTGGTCATCAACTGGAATCTGATGACGATGACTTCACTTTTTTAGATGGTGGATCATCAGATTCATGGTCTGTTGGAGCTGCTGAGGAATTTGAATCACCTAAAAATATTTCAAGGATGAATGATCATGAGAAAAAATTGGTGTAAATAAGGAAAAAACTGCATTTGTATCTAAAAATAATAAATTGTATTAATTTAACAATATCATCCACAAATTATGTTAAAGATGTTGTCATTTGCAATGTAACTGATTTCATCATCCGGACTAAAACCATCACCTCAGAGAGAATTACATTTGATACAACAAACAAAACAGTTACGGGACTTCGTAAGATGAAAAAGCGACAGTTAAGGGACTTAGTAAAATGAAACAAGACAGAGCTATGGGACTTTGTAGGTTCAAAAACAAGACAGAGTTACGGGACTTGGTAAGATATCAACAAACTAACCACTGTCTTTCTTTAAATTACTTTCTTCTTTTTTCTCATCTCGAACCATACTCATTGCTAAAAAGGAAACAAGTATAAATGAAAAAATTAGTATAGGAAAAAAGTCACCATATTCATTGGTCTATCAGGAATCTCTTTGATTCATTTTTCCATAAAGCCAGTGATTGTAAATTTCCCTTTTTTTGTGGTTACCCTACAGCTTTTTCAGTTTGTGTACTTGTTCATTGAATATCAACAGATAAAACTGTATCCCTGTATCCAAATTCTGAAACTTTCATTAAGGGGTAAAATTATTTAAGCAAAATCTCCCAATGTATAAAATTGAAAAAAAGAAAAACAGTCTTTATATACTCAAAATGGCGTCAACACTCAAAGAGATGACTGATAGTGCTCTTACTGAATGAATATGACACTTTGCAGTCCAGTAGAAGTGCATGGTAAAATACAATTAGTGTTTCCCAGTAAATTCAAAGCTATATGTTATGTTGGTATTATCAAATATGTCTCAAGTGAAAACATGATTATATGATTAATATTATAAATCATAAGCTGTCATGTGTTTATTATTTATAAATCATAAAATGCTCCGATATTAATTTGCATTTGACCGCTACAACAGAGAAGTTGTTACAGAAAAAAATTAATCTGATATTAAACTCTAAAAACTTCAAGGGAAAAACAAATTGTAGCACCTTAAGAACAAAGGAAGTTCTGTGGAGGATTATGTGCAGAATGTGACTGAAGCTGAAGTCACACAGATATTAGGAAGTAGGATGTGATGTTAGTCTTCTGATTATGATCAATTTAAGGATTGTTGTTGTTGGTCTCACCTAATCTCATATCGGCCTCATTGCTGTCATTATCAGCCTCCTGCGAGAAGGGAGGGTTGGTGTTCTGGGTGTCGGCAAATGACAGGTTTGAGTCCTCATTGATGGTGCCTGAGCCTTCACTACAATTGGAGTCTGGTACGGACTGTTGTGTGTTCTCGTCTGTGTAAACACTGGAGGCTGTAATGACACACCACAAAATACCATCAAAAGGAATGTGTAGCATTATAATAACTCCCAAAACATCTTCTGTCAGAATACATCTTCATCATTGGAATTTGGGTGAAAAAAAAATATCAGAAAGAAAAAAAGAAAAAGAAGAAAAAAAATCACTGAAGTAATTCCTGTCTTTGTTCTTTCATTTCTGCAGCAGTGATGTATTCAGATAAAACATACCATTCTACTTCATTAGATATGAAGAGAAACAAATCCTCATGGAATTCAGCACAATGGTAGCTAGTAAAACAGAATTATGGATTGATCATATGATTCAGTAAGTGCATTATACTAATGCTATCAATGTTGTAGAAAGATTTATGAACACCAGAATTATCATGGGTAAACAGGCAAGTTTCATAAAGAGTACATTCAATCATTCTTACTATTTTCAAAAAGATGTCAATGAGGAAAAACTGAAACAATTTTTACATTTTTACAATCTGTTCTCATAATTCAATCCAAGGTAAGTGGTTGTATTTTTGTTATCAGATATACAGGCCGAGAGTTTTCATTAACTCTTGTTAACAAACAACTGACAATCCTTGAAAGCATACATATTGCATTCTATACCCAACCATAAATATACACTGTACTACATGTGTACATCATTAACAGTTTAAAAATGAAATTAAAGAAATCTACAAAACAAAATAAATATCTACCAAAAAACCACAAAAAGAGCATTGATTTTTACTTGTTTCAACAAAAATATATAACAAGCTTAGAAGAAAATTGAGCTTTGTAATTTCTCGCTAGTTTCAAAGTTCTTTAATGTCACATACAGAGAAAATCAGAGGAGGGACCTATTATTAATCTATATACTATATTATGTTTTGTGACAAGATGTTTTCAGATAAAAATTACATGTCAATTTTTTTAAAAAATATTGGTTTTACTGAATTTTGATATTTCTGTCTGAAAAATATCAAGGGGGTAAAGAGATGCTTATTATATGATTTTCATGATATGCAATGAATAAACTTCACTAATTTGATCTACAGTAATGTGACATAATATGACAGTGAAATGACATAGGATATTTAAAGATTATAAAATGTAACTTCCCCAAACCTATCCTTCTCTAAGCTGATCACCTCTAATACTGTATATAAATGTACAGTATGGTTTTCTCCAAAAACCGAACTTCCCTAAACCAGCCAATCAAGTTCTACTACTTTGTCATTATTTTTGGTAATTAACATAAGGAATTTTCTAATTGAATTATTCTGTGTCAAACAAGAAACATTACTCGAGAATTAATTGCTGTCAATATACAGATTCAGAATACATATCACGTAACGATTCAAACATATGCATTATGGACGCTTTTGTGCCAACCAAACCCTCCCTAAACTGGCCAAATGGGAAAAGTTCTACAGTGCTACGATATCACCAAGGTTAAAGAGCATTAATAGGATAACTTAAAGAACAACAAAGCAAAGCATATTTTCTGCATTATTAACAATAAATAATGATAAAAAGAAACATGGTATTAAAATATGTTTCCATATTCATAAAAGACTTAAAAAATGTGTTCGGAAAAAATTCTTATTAGCTTGTCAGAGGCAGTTATGAATTTTGTCTCGTAAATCTGGTACAAAATGGAAACTTGCAATACTTATGATATACATCAAAATGAAATCAAGCTTTGATTATAACAAACTCATTATAAAGCAGAATAGCAAAGAAGTAAAAGCAAATGAGCAGAAGGAATTAAAAGCACACCTATACAGCCCTTAACAGATTGACTTTTTCCGTTAAGCATGCTGGGAGTTGAGCATTCTTGGGTCGAATTCTTGGCATGCAACTCACTTCTCTTCCCTTGGCAGGATTCCTGATCTACTGCTGAAGAATTGGAGTTCTCTAAATAGGGAAAGGAAGAGATGAATCACATATTCTAAAATTTAATTTGGCATAGCAATTTTCAAACTAAGCCTTGTTATGTAACTCACAGAACCCACAAGTTTACAAAACACAAAATTTGAGAAAACAAAACCTATTTCAACATTGGAACACCAAACAGATCTGATAAATTATATAAAATTTGTAAAACAATAAAGGATTTGTGACCAGTCAACAGCTGTTATGATGTATATGTATTATACCTAGACACATGGTTGTACTATTTACTGCTTAGTATAAATAAAGGGAGATAATAAGCAATATGGTATACTGTGTGGATACAAGAAGCCACAAGGGACTCCTTCAATTTTTAGGATAAAGACGAGATAGAGACCAACACTCAAAATGTGCAAATTGTAACGGAGTTATAGAGGGTGGATCCACTGTGATGAACAAATATGAGAAAAACTTGGATTCCAGTCAGTCCTACATGTAACCATCACACCTTTGATAATAGCCAGTATAAGGTCGGTCCTCCAAGACTATATCAATTTAAACCAGTCTGAACTTATCTTATAATCTTTTTAACAAAAATTATTTCAATATAATCTTTACCGTCAAATGTAAAATCTGAAAAATTAACAGAATGCTAACATAGTTCTTTTTTTTTTTTTTTAAATGTTTCATTCAACATATGTGACACTGTATACCTTCCTGGGGGAAATTTCGTTCAGTTTCCTTGTCACTGCCAATTTTTCCTCCTTTCTGACCTGCAGACTGACCTTTAACACCCTTTTTAACCAGTGATGGCTGAAAAACCAATTCATAATCATCATCCGCGACTTTTCCTGCACAGTATTTTTTGCATTTCACTTACATCTATAGGTTTCATGTTACAGACGTAAGTTACTGAAAGCCTCAGTTTTCAAATGATTTTAGTCCTTTTTTTCAGTTTCTAATTTTCCTCTCTTATTCATGATAAATAATTGCTCCTAGGTCAATATATATCATGAACAAGCCAGCTTTCAAAATGGAAACTTCTTAATCAATATCCTTAAATTCCAGTTGTTTTACTAGTTAATAGACAAGTGAACAACTACCAGATACATGAAGTGTTCTGGATCTTCTAATGAAATTATTCTGTTTTAACATTTCCCTCTTTATCCATGTAAACTAAATGACAAGGTTATAACTTTAGGTTTTTACTTCCAAAAATTCCAATCTAGTCAGATAGAGATTGTTTGTAGATTAATGTACACAGAAGGAAAAAAATGTTTCATTAAAGAGTTAACATTGTTTTGACATTTATGTATGTATATACTACCTGTGTTGGTTCCGGTGATGATACTGAAAAAATTAGAAAATAAAAAGAAATGAATTCATATCAGGTAACAGAAATATACAAATTTGATTTGGTTTAATATGCAGTAAATTTCATAAATATGTCAATTTCAGGATATTAATGACAAAAAAATAATCTTCCGTCATCAAATTTGTATGTCAAGATTTCCTTCATTCTGATTGGATCAGAGACTGTCACATGCAGGTCCATACATAACATATGGACTCCATGATTCTAAATTTAATACTGACGGACATATGGACACTAGAATATGATATGAATGTCTTTGAGGATAATTTGTCCTATTCTAGTACAGGTGTTACTTATTGATTAAAAGCTTTAGAATTTTTGTACTGCATTAACAAAATTACATGTTTAGTGATTATTATGTATTTGCCTGAATGTTGAATTTTAAGATAAGATTATTTCATGAATATATATATAGGCAATAATACAATTACCTGTACATATGTTATATGTAAAATTAAGGATATTTGATTTTGGTCAATATGGTGTCACAGCTGATAAATGTATTATGATTTTATTATAATTTTAAGCATGAGCCTCATTTGTCTTGGGGTTTTCAACTGCTAAAAAAACTGTGTTTTTATACAGTCAAATCTGCTTTAACAACAACCTGTAAGTACCAGTTTTTAGTCCCAGTGTAATCGCTACAACTCTTAGTAACTCCATATAAAGGCCATGTTTGTCATTTACATAGAGGCCATTATAATTTATCACTAAAACTTATTTTCTGCTCCCTTGAGAGCCCATTACAGACAGGTTTAAATGAATATTCTGCTTTCACTAGCCTGTGTCATCTATACTCATTCTTTGTATACTAATAATTACCTGGAACCCACTTGAAGATGCGCATAGTGGTATCACCGATGGTTACCCATTTCTTCTCCCTGAAATACAAAGTTACACAAAGTCAGCATCAAAGTACTGTTCATGTAATGTTTGTGTAATCCTAGGAAATATATAAGTCAATTGCAACAGGTTCGGGATAAGTTGATTTTTTATTAGTGTGAAACGTCTACCGGTTTCGTCCGAACAGTGTGCTTCTTCAGGACCTGACTTACATACTTAGTTTCCCCTATTCTTCAATCGCCCTGCATACTGGGTGGTATCCAGGCAAGGGATATAAATAACCAACGGAACCTCAATAAGAATTTTTCGGCGTTGGCTCTACCCCTGGATTTATCCTAGGAAATATATACATACTAGCCACAATAAACCAATTTAGCTCAATTGGTTGAGTGCAAGACAGTTCAGCCAAAGGTCATACATTTGAGTCCAAGTGGAACCAATAAAATGAATACTGGCTTCTGTTACATTGGCACCTATGCAGATAATCTGGAACGGAATATATAAACTTAATGTAACAGGAAAGAGAACAATGTGTTTCCACCTGGGATCAAACCTGCGACCTCCAGTCTCTAATCTCTCATGTTAAGCTAGAAGTCAACCATGATCACATGTACAAGTAAAGTCGTGTTAGCCCTAAAATACCACATCAACCTAGGTTCTAATTCCCTGTCACCACAGGAAGGGTCATGATCACCATCTGTAACAGGAAAGTGTGCTTTCACCTGGGATCAAACCCGCGACCTGCAGGTATCTAGTTGGACGCTCTAGTGAGCTAAAGGGAAATTTCTTCTAAAGAGAAGCTAGAAGCCAACCATGATCCTTTATACAATTAACAGGTTGAGGTTTATTCTCAAGTTTTTTTTTCTATTTTTTTTTATATAGACCTATCGAAAAGCAACAAAAATAAAAATATGAATTGATAGTCTTCTTAGCCAGTACTTTTCGAACTATATATAACTGTTATATAGACTGTTAAAAGGTTTTTTAAAATACATGCAATTAATGTGAAGATGTATCAGGGTATTTAAGGAGGGTATATACGAGGGATGTGGGATGGTGTGGGTTGGGCAATGTTTTGATTCAAGTTTCCGTAAGGTTTGTACTTATATTTAGTCACATACCACTTCCGGACTTTGTCGATGGCACTAATAACCCGCTTAATGTCTTCTTTGGCACGACTTCTGGTCTCTGCTCTTATCGACCGCGACAACATGACTTTGAAAATTGCGCTTAATGTAATCAAATAGGTACTTTGTCTCTTCCACCACAGGTTTTCCACTGATATAAACAAAAGAGGGACCCGGATGTTCCGTTCGAACCACATTTTATATGAAAAGTCTAGAGAGACTCGAAGGATTAAAAGAGGCATAAAGGGCCGTAAATTGTACAAACGACACACATCACAGAGTTAGATAAAGTAGAGCCAAACTGCATCACACAACTGCTTCGAACTTCTAGGACCCGTTAGCGATGCTAAGGGCCTAATTTGTAAAGCATAGGAGGCAACTGGGGGAAGTCCAAGTCATCAAAAGTAATATCAAAATTTAGATGGAAATTAAAGTGCCCCGTAGCCATTCGATTAATCTTGACAAATTTTGGAAAGAAATGACTCTGTCCCACATTTAAGGTCCTACATGTAGCTACATAGAATAAAGTATAACAAGTGTGAAACAAATTACGTAGACCAATATTCAATCTGTAACAGAGAAGTGTTAAATCATTTAATAGAACATCTACGAAAGCGGACATATCAAGTGAAGAATGGTGAATATTAAAAAAAAACCCAATTGAATAATACCAATTTCAGTGTAAATAATGAAGAAGTTGTAGATAAATTAGATGAATTTGATAGTAGAGGCATTGTGTTCATTAAATTGGACAATACAGTAAGTCCGAAGGAAATTAAGAAAATCGCCAAGGAACTTTCAGATGGTAAAGCCCTAAATGCACATGGTTTTCTCAAAGAACAGATGAAGTGTGCTGGCAAGATACTGTTCCTCTTCCTAAACACACAGTACAATCACATCATGTAAACGTGCATTTTTACTTCTGGCAGCTTTGTTGAAGACTTTAATTATGACATTTCAAAATATAATTCCATGTCTGAATCTAAAATTGATTAAGCACAGGGAAAAAGACACTATCCTGTCGAGTGCCCCGACAAGGAATTGAACACGGGTCTCCAGATAATCGATAGGCTCAACTACGACAAAATCCTGAGAAAACGATTTCTGTACTCATGGAACATGTCATGGCAAAATTGAAGGCACAATGAAAGTAATTTGATTGGTTCCATAAGAAAACGACTAACCAATTGATTACAAAGGAGCGACATCCAACGTCAAGGCAATTACAATACACCGTTATGCGACCCAGAGATTCGTTTGATGAACTTCAAAAAATCTAACTACTCATTTCGTCTCGTCCACAAAGTGTCACACACGGAACCTTCAGTTTTGCCTTGACATATTCCAAGGATGTAGAGAGCGAAAGTGATCGAAATCCCTGGAGTATCGAGGGTGACTTAGAAGGAGCAGGGTGGTTATGGATAGGGAAATAAAGTATCTGCGACATGTTTGTGTAAAAAAAAGTATGAGGGAAGATTTTACTGTTTTCATAAACTTTTCCCAATCACGTGACAACACACAGCAACACATATTAAAGTTTGACTTGGTTTAGATATTATCAGTGATAGTTTTACAGGAACCGTCGACTCTGGAAATGTACTACGTTCTTGTGTACAGATCGAGAATTCGCAATTATCGGAGGGCTGTGACTTACGACAGTCGGTACGTGTTGTTCACCTTGTATCTAAACAAGTTAACCATGATTTTCCATGATGAGAAATGTGATGGAATATATGTAAATAAGACAGTACGAAAAATTCATATCTGTTTTACACAGCTAAGGTGTCAGGGATATTGTTTTTAGAAATACACATGTTTCGGAATGAAAGTTATTATTTTAAATTCATTTTTTTTTAATACAAGCAAGGAATGTCATTCTTGGCGAGTTGTGTAGAAGCTGATTCCACACCAATTATATGTGTATCCTAATTAAATACGGACTAAAAGTGAAACTAGGTTTTCACATTTCTGTTACTGAGTGATACTAAAGCTTGACGAGTCCGATCTGCAGACAGTAGACAGTTTTTTTTAATGAAACTGACTTCGAAAAATTCGGAGATCGACGGAAACAGAGAAAAGGAACTACTATACAAATTGTACAATAATTATGTTCCATCTTACCTAAACGACATCTTACCTGAACTAGACCATCTTAACTAGAACTTTAGAAACAGTGTCAGAATTATACCTGTATACAACAGAGATCTCAACTGGTCAGTCACGAAATGCTGCTATGCATATATGTTACAACTATATATTTGATTACGAAGGAGGGGGTCCCTAAGTTGTTTATCTTGCGTCTATTTTATTTTCAAATAAAAATGTGTTTAAACTGAACCTTTAAAACAGCTCCTGATAATTAGCAAAATAGAGAGAGAATCGTGAATCGTAGTATTTGGTTTATAAGTTTCCCGGACGGAACCAGACAACCCATGGGAAAATAAATCGCCATAAGTCATATTCAAGATAACTGGAGTCAATTTGTGAAAAAAATACTGTAATTAGTTATTGACAAGAACTAAAATACCTAAAGAGTACATATGAAAATGGAACAAAATAGTTCTATTTTGGAAGCATTGTAGTATATAAACTTTTAAGAAGTATTTTATTTAGTACCATGTATCGCCCTCCTAATCAGGATGCGCACACTAGATCCTCGTTTTTAAACTATTTCACGGACACAGTCCAATCCATGCAGTCTGAAATCCCACTTAATATCATAATCACCGGAGATTTTAACGACAGGTGTTCTTCGTGGAATGATCAGCATTCCACAAGTGAACTCGGACGTCGCCTCTTTGATGCTGCTACCCAAAATAATTTACATCAATTGATTCATGAACCGACACATATTACTCATAACTCAGCTCACATCCTTGATTATATTTTTATCGACAAAGCCCATTGGGTCGTTGATAGTCAGGTAACTACCCCTCTCTGTAATTTTGACCATAGTACTATTACCTGTAATCTGAGGTATCACGTACCAAAACAGAAGTCATATAAGAGAACTGTTTGGGATTATAAAACAGCAGATATCGAAGGTTTGAATAATGCTTTCTCAACTGCTCATATTAACATATTTGTTAACGTTTTTGATTCTCTAAGTGATATAATTACTACTGTAAATACTTTTATTTTAGATACCTGTAAATTGTTTATAGTGAATAAAGTTGTTACTATTCGTCCCCGTGACAAACCGTGGATTACAAATGAAGTACGCAGAGCTTTTAGGAAAAGGGACAGGTACTACAAGCTATTTCAGCGTACCAAAAATGATTTTGATAACTTAAGGTTCCAAGTAGCACGTCGAGAAGCAAATAGAGTCAAGCGTGATGCCTTAAAACGCTACCAAGATTCTACAATTAGAAAACTAAGTCATAAAAATACAAATCCAAAACAATTTTGGGCTATTTCTAAATCTTTGTTAGGCAAAAACAATGTACAACTTATTCCCCCACTCGTTGATAATAACCATCTCATACATGATGACCTGGATAAGGCCAACAATTTCAATAATTTTTTCTCTGAGCAGTGTACTATCCCTGAGTGTGTTGAGAAACCAGAATTACCTACTATTACCGTGGATGATAGTAGACCTACACTTTCTGATATATGCACAAATCCAGAAGAAATACGTAATATATTCAAGGCGTTGAACATTAGCAAGGCATCAGGTCCCGACGGTATATCTAATTTTATCCTTAAAAACTGCTGTCAATCTTTATGCTTCATTTGGTCCCACATTTTTAATCTCTCTGTCAGCTCAGGTATTTTTCCATCTATGTGGAAAACAGCTCAAGTTTGTCCTATTCACAAAAAAAGGTAATAAAAATATTGTCAGTAACTATCGACCCATTTCTCTCCTTTCCACTGTTTCTAAATGTCTTTAAAAAATGTATACAAGAGAATGTATAAATTCCTTACAGAAAATGACATTCTTATTAAGGAGAATTCCGGGTTTAAGGAAAATGATTCTACTGTAAATCAATTGTTGAAAATAATTCATAATATATATCAATGTATAGATGATGGTAAAGATGTATGTACAGTTTTTTTAGACGTTTCCAAGGCTTTTGATAAAGTGTGGCACGCCGGTCCTTTATAAACTAGAAAATGTTGGAATCAAAGGTAATCTACTTTGTTGGCTGAAAAGTTACTTATGTGAACGAAATCAATTTGTTGCCTTGAATGGCCAAGCTTCTGAAAAACGTTCGATTAACTCTGGGGTTCCTCAAGGATCAATATTACGACCTCTATTATTCTTAGTTTACGTTAACGACATCAGAGAAGGTATTTCGTCGGATATCAACTTATTCGCTGACGATACGTCACTTTCTTCGACAATATCTGGTCAGGCCTCTGTAGAAAGACTGAACAATAATTTATCTATATTGTCTCAGTGGGCGAAACGATGGCTAGTTTCTTTTAATGCTTTGAAGACCGAACTTGTTCTTTTTACTAAAAAACGAGCATTGGTTATACCTAACTTAATTCTTGATAATGTTGTTATAAAACATGTTAATACACATAAACATCTCGGTGTTTTCTTGTCTGGGAATCTGAGCTGATATTCTCATGTGTCAGAAATTGTCGGTAAAGCTAATAAAATTTTAAACATACTTCAGTCTCTATCGTATATAATCCCACGAGCCTGTCTTGAAACTCTCTATAAATCAATGGTTAGATCTATCTTAGTATATGGTAATGTATTATTTGATAATTGTAGTCAATTTGAATCCGACCTCATTGATCAGTGTACAGAGAAGAGCAGCTTTGATATGCACTGGTGGTTACAAGGTAACTAAATATACTAAACTGTTAAATGAATTAGGATGGGAATCTCTTAGTGACCGAAGAAGAAATTGTAGACTAAAAATGTTGTATAAAATTAAGCATGATCTTTGTCCTTCATATCTTAAATCTGTATGTCCCATACTTAACCATCGTGCTCAAAATTATGGCTTTCGAAATTTTGATACTATTCTTCCCATAACATCTAGGAAATCCTTCTTCCACCAATCTTTCTTTCCCAAGTCAATAAGAGACTGGAATAATCTGCCTGTACATTTTCGCTGTAGTTCTACATTAGCATCTTTCTCAAAATCTTTGTGTAATAGTACGAATCCTCTGT